TAAGATCCGTGGCTGAATCACATCTATACATTTTACATTAATTTTTTATTGTCTTTTATATTTTGTATACTATATTTCTATGTATCATTTATTTATCAATTATTTATAGGTAGACAGGTAACAATAAACTCAATGTACAGAATTGTGTAGACAAGGACAAGAATAAATGTACAAAGACAGGCACTATAAAAATATAATCTTACAAGACGTGAGCGACAGTCTCTTTTTACATTATATATTGGAATTGAAAGCAGAATGGGAGGAGTAAAAATGTGTGTGGGGAGGGGTGATGAAACCTCTCATATTGGGACAATTAGGCTTGTTGGTTACTAATGAAGACAAATAAAGGCAAGCTCCAGTAAAGAGCAAAAATACTAAAATATGTATAGGTCCTCAATACCTCAGAGCTAAGAGGCTCTCTCACCTACATCTTATGTTTGGTAGTTGAGAGTTTTTTTGTTTTTTTTTTAAATGACAAAGGACCCTAGACCCTATAGCACTTCTCTGATTGATGGGAAAAAAGATGATTGATGGTAAGGGGATCACCATTAAATGTTCATTTTATTCATAGATCAAGTGACAAGTGGCCAATAGAGGGTTAAAAGGAGGGTCAATAAGAATAGTTTTTTATATATTCTATATTGAATAAATATAGAATATATAAATATAGATCTGCGGATGGTGGCAAAATGCACCTATTAGTGTACTGCAGAATATATACAGAATATTTATATTATGGATAAATTTCACAGGACCTGATTGCCCCATTTTCACGCCCTTTTAATTTGTCCAAATCGTTTTATACATGGAGCCATAACCACTACCACACTTAAATTAACTACATATATATATATAGTTATGGCTTTAGAGTGGCTGTCTAACCCATTTACTCCAAGAAAAATAATGTTCCAATTCTATCCCTACTAAAATGTCATACTGTTATATTCTGTCCACTGACATACGCATCATTTAAAAAAAACTTGCCACAATTAAAAAAAAATAGACCCCCCCAAAAAAGGAAGCAAACAGCCAATATTTTTCTCTAAAATGGCAAGTCACAAATGTGCAATTTGCAAAATTAGCTCAACTCATCATTTCCTGAAGAGGCCTACAATTTAAGGAATTTTAAGGAAACATAATAATAATATAGTCAAAAAAGTTTTTAAATAAAACTAAAATTCCCAGGACTTACCAGCTAGTGTAATACATGGATGGTGCATGTTTTCTGTTCCTTTCAAATTTGTTTGCAATTAACAAGAAGAATCGCTTTTAAAACTCCACACTCAAAATAAAGAACACAAAGAAATCTATTTTTTTGTTTTATGTAATGATTTATTGTCAGGTATATAAATACATACTATTTATTTACATGTTCATATATGTGAGTGAAGTATATACATATCACAATTACAATTATTTACATAGCGCTAACGTATTCTGCAGTGCTGTACAGTAGGGAAACAAAACAAACATTACATTCTAGCAAAACATGATTGACATACTGGAGCAGTAGGTGAAGAGAGCACATTTGCAAGTATATACACTGAACAGAGACTGGCCATATACTGATGAATGACGTGCAAAACTGAGGCCAAAATAATGGATTTGGAGAAAAAAAAATATATAGTTGTTTTTTTCCCCACATCTTTTAACTTGGCTATTTTAGCCCTACATTCTACCCACAAGAATGAATAATAATTCATCATAAACTCTGAGAAAATCTATACATTCTACCCACAATAATTCATCATAAAATCTAGACTAAGATAGTTAATATTAAAGCACTTTTCTTTTTTTCTGTAAAATGGTATCATAATAATTTAATCAATTGCTTCAATTAATGAATTCCCACTTTACTAAATTATAATGTGCATTTTCTAATCTTTTACAACATACAAAGTAAAGAGACTGGAATTTCTAGCACTCTAACCAAGCCACCCTAAATGATGGTTAACTACAAGTCCATAATGCTTAGCCAGACAAGAATTAGTGTCCAATCTTCTGTGATTCCCAAACCCAATAATGGTGGTTACATATTAATGATCATATTTGTTTCTGGTGTAAACAAACACATCATTTCAAATATTATTATTTGGGTTTTTTGCATTACTTTATTTTCTCCAATTATTAATACATCACATTAAAAAAATTTAAAATGATTTCTTACTATATATCACAAACAATTTCATTATAGCTTCCTGTGTGCAAATTCAGACTAATCTTGTGAATTTCAGTTAGCAAGTGTCACCCACAGACTCAATTCTTGTATCTCTGGCTCAAGTGCAGATGTTATTTAAAAGGAAACTGTTTTTTTGTTTGTTTTTTGTTTTTTTAAAGTATTTTGATGTCTGTTTAACTCCAGCCTTTTCCTTTCCTGCTCTCATAATAATCGGCATCCTTTCCTATTCTTCTTATCACCCTAATCTATTCTGACCCCCCACCCCAAATATTGCATTGAAGGAACATGCAGGTTTGTGTTGTCTACACGTAAAGCTGGCTTCATTTTGAGGTTTCCTGAATTTATCCTGCTCTGTCATAAATCATTGTTCCCCCTTCTTTTTGTGTTATAAGAAGGAGGGGAAAAAAAACTAACACCCAAACAGGACTGGGATAATCTCCAGCCACATAAAAGGGGTTAGAGACAGGGGACTGCAAAATAAGCCCTCCTTATGTAATTAAACACAGAATTTGCAAACCTTAGAGAATGCATTGCTCAGACACTAATCATAACTGCAATAGATTCACTTCCCCTGTATAACATAAAATAATTAACTCTTTAAACCTATTTATTTTCTTTAATGATTTAACTCTTAAATATTCATGTACTTTGATACACCGCTCTATATCACAATAAATAAATAAATATAATAAGTACCGTATATTGAAAAAAAAAAAAATAACAGATAACAGCTAATCTCATTTTTTTTCTCTGTAACCTGTAGTGCATATGAAGTATATTAGGTAATAAAAAAAATGCATATTTAAATGTTATTTAATCAATAATTAGTCCTTGTTATAAAACATGAATTACTCCTTTGTACTGCGCCGCTGTATATGTTGGCGCCGTAAAATAATAATAATTATAATAATACATAATAATAATAATACATAATAGTGGCAATAAGACAAAAGAGAAATGGAAAAAAAATCATTTGCTTATCAATTTTGTTTTAAATTACGTTCCTAGTTCAGATGATCGAAACGGACTTGATATATATTAATGGGATTGGTAATAATGTGATACAAAATTGTGTTGAAATAGGGGGTTTATATGTTAGCCTCGTGTCTAAAAATTCTATATACAAATATTATACACACACGCTGGCTGTACATCTTCTGTAGAAGTGGTCAGTATTCCAGAATGGCAATGTATCTATTTCTTGTCCTGTTGTTTTAGTAGCTTATTCCAACTGTCACCTTGTATCCAGGCAAGACTGACAAAACAATCAGTGCACTATCCTCGCTAATTATCTATGCATTTATTGCCCTATCTCACAGCTTGCAATGAAGTCTGGGGCAGGGAAAAGGTACTCTAAAATTATTATGTAAATCCCAGCAATTAACATGAGGAAGAAACTGGGATTTGCATTGGCAATAGGTGCGATTCTCTAGTATTGTGTCTCGCTCATTTACAAGTCCCTGGCTGCCCCCTCTTCCAGATATCACACAAAATTCAAAAAGAGAAAATAAAATACTTTTTTTTTTTTTTTTTTGTGAATGGGACAGATCACATCATGAAACAATAAAGGCTTGCCCTGCCTGCACACTATACTATTTCCATGTATAGTACTTCTACTTCATAACAGACAGCAAGTCACCCTGTTCAGAAATGAATTAGAAATGCCAAGTTTAAATACAGCTGTACCAAATTAGCCAAAATATTTCTATGTACACCAAAGTGTCTTACCTAAAGAATGTTAGAAATAGTGCAATGTTCGTGTTTATTTATTTCTAAATTAATAAAGAGTGTATTCTATGTAACATAGACTATACATAATGTAGTCTATATAGAAGGAAGTTGGTGTAAGAGATGTCCCATGCGTTTGGGCAGTTTGCTGTGTGTTGGTAAAGTGGCGCAGTTGGTCCCTGTAAAGAGGGTGCTAAGAATGAATGGGCTCACCTCATCATCCCAGATGCCCTTCTCATAATGGGAGCTGATACTGTAGATTAGCAACATGCGTCTCTGTGTCCTCGCTTTTAATAATAAATCCCCGGTCGTAAGGAAGGGCTATATCCCTCATCGTTCAAATGGGATCTGTTTGATCTCAGCTAATACTCACCCACATTAAAAAAAAACACTTCTGTGAATGATGCCTCTGGGTAGTGGGCTATTATTATCATATGACAAATGGCACACAGTGCATAGGGAGCTTATTCATGGGTGTATATTTTCAATTATATATATATAGATATAGATATACACACACACACTCACACTCCATACACTTGTTTGAAGAATGTATTTATACATGTGTATTACTGCTGAGAACATAGATGAAAGTTTACTGTAAATGTCATTATTTTCTGTTATATATGTGCATATTTTTAGGTTATTGCCAGTACCATTATTAAATATAACATATTGTACATACTTCTGTTATTTAATGTACTGTTCTACAATCTATATAAAATGTCGATTCCCCAAAATGTATACACTTTGTATGTTTCAATCGTGTGGCTATAACGTTATTATTATTTACTATTATTCTATGGATAGTGACTGATCCAGAACGCAGTGTCACTCCCTGCTTGTTTAAATTTCCTATTCCCTTGCTTGAAGTTTGCCAGCCCCCCTTCCCCATGCCCCCAGAAAGCTCCCTGCCTGCAAGATGTGTACACCTGCCCTACTTATTAGATCTGTCTTCTGTGTTTTTGTTAATTGCTGTTATTAGGATTATTTCATTTCGATGTGCTTGCCTCCCCTTTTAGTTGATTTTCCTTTCCTCCCTTCCCCTCTCATCGTGTCCCCTCCTGCCCCTTCATTTGCAGAGCTGGTGTGTGTGTGAGTGTGTGTATATGTATGTGTGTGTCTGTTTCCCTCCTCTATCAGCAAGCTGTCAATCACAGCGGCGGCAAGTCTTTCATCTCTTTCCACCGCCTCCACCCCTCCAGCAGACTGAAAGAGAGGGGGGGAGGAGGGAGGCACGCAGAGGAGGGGGATGTTAAAGTTACATTACACAAACACACTCTGCTTGCCCCTTCACATTTCCCTGGGATAACAGGCTGCATGTCCACAGCTAATACAGGAGTCAGTCACAGGATCCCTGGAGAGAGAGGACTATAGGATCAAGGTGAATGGACTAATTCCCCATTTTTGGTGGTCTGTGTAACTGGATAGACTGGTGTCACACCTGAGCCTTAGAGGAGGAGCATTTCCATACCCCTTGCCCCCAATCTGCCCCGTGTAACTTTGCACTGCCCACTGGAAGATCACGCGTGGAATACCAGGACCCTTTGTAACAGGACTGGAGAAAGAACACATTGACACATCACATCGCATGTGGCGAATTCTTTTCTTTCCCAGATCAGACATCACGGTGGTTACTCACCTCTGAGTCACAGGCTGGGACAAAAATGACTTTCTGTTAAGTCACAATCACAACAAAACTTTTATTTTTTTTTAATTTGCCTGTACTTTTCTGTGCTGTGTTTCACGTGCAGGTCTCTTTTTCTTTCCCACTTTATGAAAGTTTTTTTGGATGATTACTCAAGAAAAGACTTTGGCTCCAGGAGAGACACACAGTTCAGTGACTGCACCTTTTAGGATCTGAGCGGCAGACTGATCGGTAGCCAGCCTCAGGAGGGGACTGTCCTGGCCATTCTGAAGGGAATAATCACATTTTGGGGAACTGTATCCACACTTGTAAGAGACAACTACTCCAAATTGGATATAGCCTGGCATTTACAAGACATTTAAGCTTTAATTTGGGTCGTTACTGGGTTACGCTTCAGTTTTATAGATTGTCTGGGGGGGGGCGTTTTTGTTTTGTTTTTTTACACAATTTGCTTAGCCCCGTTTGCACAATAGAGGTGTAATCTATAGCGGAGCTATGCCTCAGCTCTCTGGAGCAGGAGGAGGTAATGGGGGTGGAGGAGATCCTGAATTATGTGCCACAGACGAGATGATCCCATTCAAGGATGAAGGGGATCCTCAAAAGGAGAAAATCTACGCTGAGATTAGCCACCCGGAGGAGGAGGGTGACCTGGCAGACATCAAGTCTTCTTTAGTCAACGAGAGTGAAATCATTCCAAACAGCCACGAGGTAAACAGGGGGATTGATCTCACAGCAGGCACCTGAGTGAGTGTGGAGAGGCACTGGTGTTTGCGTGCACACGTGTGTGTGGTTACAGGAGTTATCCGTAAACCAGATGGATAGGATCTGTTTCTTAGTATGGCTGTTATAGCTCACGGAGCAGTAACATTGCAGAGGACGTCACTTGCTTTTGAGTCAATGTTTCATATTGACATGCTGCGTTAGAAAACCAACTATTTATTGATAATATGAACCGGCTGCTTAGAATTCTAACTTCACTTGCATGATTGTTTATGGGAGCAATCACCATAGAAACCATTGGAATGTTTCTGATTGCACCATTCTTAGAACGTTGCCCCTGGCCTGCTTCCCTTGACTTATAGGGGCTATGTAACTGTTGCCTAACCCATGATTACAGCAGTCCACGTCATGATGTGTCACTCAGGTTTTAGTAGCAGTTCATCTGATATCCCCTTCTAACACAACAAAAGATGGCTCTTGACACACACTGAATGAACTGACCTGAAAGCATAGCCCAGGTCACAAAAGTTCAACATTTTGGAATGTTATCATGTATGTAACTAGATTTATACAATAAAATGTGGTGAGTTGAAAATCCTTTTGCAAAGTTTAGTCCATAATTGCCTGATAGGGTGAGAAGAATCTTCTAATTAGCTGGAGCATTTAAACTTTTCCATATTGATGACTTTTGTTTAAATAACCACACCAACCTGCTGTAATAGTTATGGTGCCAGGTGTATCCTGGCCCAGTTCACCAATAATAGAGGAAACCATTATAGCAATGGTTTGCCCTCATATCTGGGGTCCCTGCTGGACTCCAATGCTTCCTGTTGGTTCAGTGACACGTTTCCTGCTTCTTCAGTGCTGCAGAAGTCGAAAGCTGCTGCCATCGCCATTACTTTGAGAATGTCAGCCGCCCGCTCTCAGCCAGTGAATGCAAGTCTGTGCAAAGTTGCACAGAATTGACATTGGCTGATGACGGGTAAAACGCTGCACATACAGACTCCAGGTGTGGAGACCACTTCAAATCACTGAAGAGGTCATGGTGCATGGAGTAACCCTTTTCATCTTTTATAATTGTGGATTCATCACACACCTGGGTTTAATCAGTATACACTGAGGGGTTTATTCACTAAGCTACAATTTTTAGGAAATCAAAATGGCAAAACAAAATTTCGACAGAAATAGCAAAGGTTTGACTGTAGTCATGTTGAATTTTTCTTCTCTATAATTCGGAATTAGGTTAAAAAAAACCCTTGACTTGTGGTGCATTGAAAACCAAATTGCTAAATGTAGGCAAAAATAGTTCAAGATTTGAATATAACCGAGCTGGATGAATAGTCTAAATCAGGAATTTTTGCCTAATTTGTGTACTTTGTTCTTCAATTCACTAGAATTGGGTGTTTAATGAATAAATGCCACTGTTAATTGAATATATTCAGCTGAGATATCAATTAAATCTATTGCAGGGTTGCCATTTCATAAGCATTGGTTTTGACTTCTTGGACAGTCTGTTTCTTCTAGAAAGCCTGTCATATAATTGGGGTTTCTCTCCAACCAGTTTAAAGAAAGAGGTGAAAAAAAATTAAAAACAAATGTGTATTTGAATGTAGAAAGCATGTGTTTGTTATATGTGAAATAACAGCTGTGGCCACTTCACAAATAAGAGCACTTATAATTGGGCGTTATAAAGCAAGGAAACAATATCTCTGAATATTGTCACCTGTGGAGTGGTAGCTATCTGTTGTATCTCTATAAAGAGCTAGATTTATGTCACTCATGGCCTTCAAGAATTGCATCCAGTCGGCTTCTTTATAGTTTTTCTAGATTCTATATTTTGCAAGCATCTGTCGCAGTTGAATGTTGTTGCACATTTTGTTACGTCCTGTTGCTTTATTCTGGGCAAAGTGCCATTAAGGTGGAGAATCACAGCTTTGTGCCAACTGTTCTGGAGATTAATTTTCATGATGGGATTCCCCTTCAGTACTGTTTGTTTTTGTTGCTGTGGTTTCACTGTAGTTTGGTAGTGGATTCATGGCCCCCACTAGACCGATATAACATGCTACTTTTAATATTCCCTGTGATAATCATATCTTCGTTATTTAGTTGTGTTTTTTTTTTGTGTTGCGGGGGAGGGTTCCAAGTGGACATCCGATGATTAGTAGCAGTAACATGAAGGAACATTTAGCAGCGCTCTTGAGTTCCAAAAATATTTACACCGTAATAATTTAGATTACTGGGTTTTCACCCCCAGGGGCTGGACCCAAACTCTGTATCCCCAGGTTCCATATTCATTGTAAACGAAGTTTACTGTCGTGACGCTGCTTCCCTGGCTTCAGTGGTGACCATTTGAAGCGTCTAATGTAGATGTTTTTCTTTAGAGTGTGTGTGTGTGTGTGTGTGTGTGTGTGTGTGTGTGTGTGTGTGTATATATATATATATATATATATATATATATATATATATATATATATATATATATATATATACACGCAGATGCACAGGTCCTATGTACATAATGTGGGACCTTCATTAAAAAAAAAAATGGTTAAGAACAATTGCTTTAGAACAAAGTATTGTATAACCTGTCAAGGATGTGTTCTACTCCTTACTAATTCTTTTTAGCAATGCATTTTTATTAAGTAGCTTACAGGACCAATAAAAGCATCCAGACTACTTTATCTCAATGAAATGATCTGGGTGCAGTGGTCCTTTAGTTTTAATTGCTGTTTAATAGATATGGCAATGCTTAAATTGCAGGGTTAAATACACCTCTAGTGAGGCGCTTCCATTGTTAGAAACAAAATAAAACTCTTTTCTCACAGCTAACCTCCTTTTCATTGGAGGAGCACAGCGCTGGGCACACATGCACTTTTTGTCACCAATCCTCCCCTGAGGAACCATTGGATTAGACCAGTTTTCCAAACTCTGGCCCTCCACATGTTGCTGAACTACAACTCACATGATTCTTTGAATTCAATATCCAGAGAATCGTGGGAGTTTTAGTTCAGCAACATCTGGAGGGCCAGAATTTGGAGAACCCTGGATTAGACGAAAGATAATTTTCATCTCGAGAGGCAGATCAAGTGGCTGCAAGTTCTCTATCTCTTGTTGGAAAACAAAAGGTAAGCAATAACCTTTATTCTATAATTTATTTAAGTTTGGGGGTGAAGGGATTCATCTTAATAAAGAGAACACTATAGTTTTAGGAATACACTAAAGTATTCCTAACACTATAGTGTTCCTTTTATTTACAACACAAACAGGATACACAGTATATACCTAATCACGTGCACTAATATGAGAGCACAATGACTGTGAGCTTCTTGTTGAGTCTATATTTCACAATCATAGTCCATACAATGACTTCTAAAGCAATGATGTGTTCTTAAGACCCAAGAAAGAAAGTACGTACACATGTTCTAGTAACAATTTCAATGATGATATATAGTAGATTTTTTAAAGTTAAAGGACCACTATAGTGCCAGGAAAACATACTAGTTTTCCTGGCACTATAGTGTCCTGAGGGTGCCCCCACCCTCTGGTCCCCCTCCCGCCGGGCTCTAGGAGGTTGAAGGTGTTAAACTTACCTTTTTCTCCAACGCCGGGCGGGGGACTCTCTGCCTCCTCTCCTCCTGCTCGGCTGAATGCGCATGCGCGGCAAGAGCCGCGCGCGCATTCAGCCAGTCTCATAGGAAAGCATTCACAATGAGACAGCCACTAGAGGCTGGATTAACTCTAATATAAACATAGCACTTTCTCTGAAACTGCTATGTTTATAGAAAAAAGGGTTAATCCTAGATGGACCTGGCACCCAGACCACTTCATTAAGCTGAAGTGGTCTGGGTGCCTATAGTGGTCCTTTAAGACCATTTTGGTCAGCGCATTTTGGTTGCGTGAAAAAAAAGGTTTAGGACGTATATATTGCGCGTTAAGGGTATATTAACCATGTACTGATATGATATACTTTGCTGCCATCACAACATGGTCTTTAAAGCCTATTATGGAATTTACTGCTTAATTACTGTGGATAGCTGTATATAGCACTGCTGTCAGTAAATAATTGGGTCGTTCATTTTATTTGTGATCCTTAAAGGCGAGATTGTTATTACAGCATAGATTATCATTGGTCCTTTTAGGATTTAAACAAAGGTAAGAAAGAATACCGTTAAACTATAATGGACTGTAGTAAACGTGCATCCAGGCATTCAGAGAACTAGAGACTGCCCTGACCCTATTAAAATAACCCATTTAAATAAGCATAGTGTCATAACATGCCTTTTGACAGTATTAGTGTAAATAAGGGGAAAAATAGGATCAGATGGTTGACACAATAGCCTGGAAGAGGTCCGTCTTACCAGATACCCTACTTCCTTTTTTATTTATTTATTTGGGCCTTTTGCCATCCCAAGTAGGAGGGCTGTGGAGTCAGTACTCAATTTATTGGTTATCTCAGCCATTGAGGCAGGGTATGCCAAGGTCAGTAAAAACACCTTTCCCAATCAGAGGGTGGCATTGACACACATTCTCTCACACACTCACAAATTTATAATGTTTTTTATTCAATTTATATCCATCCAGCCTCCATACCTTTGGGAGAGCTGGATTGGATCCTTTCCCTAGGGTCCAGTGTGACTCCTGTTTAGTGATGCTAGGGCCGGAGTGACATCATATCCAGGCTCCCAGAATCACCGCAGGGCACATGAGGGAGCAGAGCAAGATGAGCAGGAAGATGACCGCTCCCTTAGGGCCGCCTCCATAGCTCGCAGCCGTCTGGCTCGGGTGGTCCAGGCGCCAGGAAAATATTCTGGCATTTGGCAAGCGCTGAGATAGATTGAGACATTGATATTTCTCCCTAAATGTGTGTGTGTGTGTGTGTGTGTGTATAATATAATATATAAAAATGTTATTATACACACACATTTAGGGAGAACTGGCACATGGCCTTACCACTAGGTGACCGGCTGGAGAAAGATGTACCATTGTGCACATGCGTGCCATTCATGAGTAAAAAAGTAAACTACACGCTGATGTTTTCTGTTTACGTGTAAACTCCCACCATCTTTTTAATCATATAATAGAATTGCCTTTTGTATGTATGCAGTAAGGAAAACATTATTTGATTTTTATAGGAAATGGGACTATTTCTTGACTTTTGCTGCCAAGTCGCGGCCCAAACTGCAAGTATATGAGTCCGCAGGCCTAGCTTAGACATTTTTGGGGGTTGACTTGTGTCTCAAATATACAGGCATAAATCTATAAAACAACTTTAGGTTTTGGTGGTCTACTGCCGCTTATATACGTTACATTGAGTAACCCAAAACTGCGTTCTACTCCTCCTCCCTGCAAAGTAGACTTGGAAAGAGAAGATAGGGAAGAGTAACTAACATAGAGGGAAGCAGGCCTCTTGATGTCAATGTAGTTAAAATTGCATAGTCCATGAGAAGAGTTTCTAACCGTTAGTGGGCGTCTTTTTCCTAATTATGTTCTGGGTGGATGTTGGCCTGAACTTTGAATTGCAACATCGTTGCAACATGAAATGTTTTGATAGTGGCAGAATGGCAATGGCACTAATTATGTTAGTAAAATTGTGCCAGAGTGTGTGTGTGTGTGTGTGTCTGTATGGTAAGGGAAAAAAATTAATAAAATAAACAAATGACTGATTATTATTAACATAAATGTTTTATATCATTAACAAATTATGTTAAATCAAAAACCTCGATTCTTGGTTAGTTTAGTAGTTCAGCAGGGTAAAAAGAAAATTAAATTTAACAGTTGATAGCTGTAGGATTCTTTTACAGAGATGTTAAAAGATGATGCATAAAAATACAATATAGAGGGCATACCACATGTGTCAGTTTCCAAATATTGTATTTGCTTTATAAGGCTAAACAGGAATACGAATTGGGAGTGAAAAAGCACAAAGACAATTATCTTCTGTACTGAAATAGTTTGTGTTTTCATTCAATACCTGCAGGAGCCCTGCTAGAGCATTATAAATTAAAGGGTTAGTGCAACCAAAAATAAACTGTGGTTTTTATAAAACACAGTTTTTGGTTAAAGTAGTCCTAATCTTGCTGGTCAATGACCTCCTGTCTCCAACTCTCCAGATTAACAGAATACATAAATGAAACCTCTAAAGTTACCTTACTCTCCAGCTTTACACTCTCCCCCAGTGACATCACTGCCCCTCGCAGGAGGGAGGACAGGTTGACGGTAGAACAGGGACAGCCGGGGGTAGATGGGTGTGGCATGCCACCATTGGCTCTCTGGTGGTAGCATGCTGTCCGTGCTGGTGTAATTTTGCACATAATTGACAAATTAACAGTAACCATTAGAAACTCTAGTTCTGGGCTGGCTGCCAGAGGTGGGGTTGCACCTGCTGTAGAGGTGTTAATCTCCTTATGTGCAATGTTGTAAGTGAAATGTTTCATGTACAGACTCCAGGCTCAAATTAATGAAGTGGTCATGGTGCTTGGAGTAACCCTTGACACAATGTGTACAGAGATGTTGTATTATGAAAAGGAAAGGAAGTCACATGCTCAAATTAACCTCCACCAATCAAATTAGCAAAACATTATTATTATTTTTTTTCAAATAATTTTTATTAAAGTTTTTAAATTTTGTATAACAAGTAATAATAATACAAACATTGTATTAGGAGTAGGAAAGGAAGGGGAACTTGGAAATGGGAAGGGTTATCCATCCATCATTGAAATAAGCATAACAATGTATATGGCAAAACATTTTTTACATCAATGCACTTTAACAATAAATATATCAAAGACCATAAACTGTTTTGATTTTTTTTCTTCCCATTTATCCCAATTATATTTTAATATTAGGAAACCATGCATATTAGCTCTATGCGATAATTTGTGTGCCTTGTTTTCTAGAATTAAATTAAAAACTTCTCTGAGAGATGGCACATTTTGGGACTTCCAATGTCTAGGTAAACAGGATGTAGCAGCGATCAGAATGTGGCCTATGATTATTTTATCTGATCTATTAACGGACTCCGGGAGTTTTTTTTAAATAAGGCTAGTTCCGAAGTTAAGATGCTAATGGGTCTGTTCACTTTAATAATTAGATCATGAATCATTTTCCAATAATTAGTTAATTTGGGGCAAAACCACCAGATATGGGCCATATTGCCCACACCTCCACAGTCTCTCCAACACCGGTCAGAATACATATTGTTCATGTTGTGCAATATAGATGGAGCCAGGTACCAGCGATATAAAATTTTATAATGATTTTCAAAATGGTCGGTGCAATACGAAATACCTTTTAAACCTTTAAAAAAAACGAATCATTCTTCTAAATCGTACTGTGCACCCAACTCCGTCTCCCATGACAACATATGTTTTAATTTACAAAGGAAAAAATAGAGATGAGGAAAAAGCAACCCTTGAAGAAAAGGGAGCAAAATCCCTCAAAACCAGTACCCCAAATAGAGCAAATTATTAAAAATTACAAACGGATGTGTATCTAGCACAAGTAACAAAATAATAAACTTTTATTGATAATTAGAAAAATCCAGATACCACATATCTAAAATATACCAGACAGCCTCAAAATAAAAGGTGGAGGGACACCAAAAGAAAATATTCCAGTCCAGATCAATATAAAATTCGGAGATAGACACTAGGTGAATATATCGACTCACTCACAAAGTAGCAAAGATTATAGTTACTACAGAGTGTAGCAATATCTGTGAAAAAAAAAGTATATAATTTCCATATTCTTAGAGACTTACTGGAATAGAATCAGGGTCCTCCCAACCAATATGATATTAAATATCTATAAATGAAGCCCACCCTCTCCTCTCTTATCCCCGCTTACTGTGCCCTTGAGAAAGGCGATACTGTGTCGCCGAAACGCGCGTTGTTTTTTTTTTTTGGGGGTGGGGGGGAGGTGGGCTTCTTTTCCACACCCTACAGACAGCTCTCTTGAAGTCTGCTACAGCAAATACAAGAACCTTCTCTATCTACTCTTACTTTATTTTCCTTCCACTTGCCGCTCTCTGTCCTTTTCGATTTACTAATCTTTTTGATTTATACTGAGATAATCTAGCTAAGATATTTTTATAGTAAGCCATCAAGAGTAAGCAAGCTATAAACTGCTCTTAAGCAGTATTTATATATATTTTTTTTCACATGTAAGAAGGGGAAGAAAGAGGAGGCAATAAGAGGGGATAAGAGAGGAGAGGGTGGGCTTCATTTATAGATATTTAATATCATATTGGTTGGGAGGACCCTGATTCTATTCCAGTAAGTCTCTAAGAATATGGAAATTATATAAAGTCCTATTGTCTCCTTGCACACACACTTCAATGTGGATTTCTGCCTGGTGCTGTCAAGCCAATGCCATAATATGCACAAATATAGGGAACAAGAGGCAAGCACTCACGGTCTTTTGGTTTCTTTAAAACGATTTTCCTTTTATTTCATTGCTTAAAACTTGATCGACGTTTCAGCCACAGTACATGGTTTTCATCTTTCAATTCCGGGTAGCGGTAGATTGACGCATGCGCAGAGATGGCGATAGAACGCCGGGGAAGCGGTACAGCCTTCAGGTGGTGAGTGTTTTAATCATTAATTGTATAATTTGTTTTGCTATATAAACGTGTTATTTGTAATGCATATTTTGAGCTGTAAAGATCCTGATGAAAGCCATGTACTGTGGCTGAAACGTCGATCAAGTTTTAAGCAATGAAATAAAAGGAAAATCGTTTTAAAGAAACCAAAAGACCGCGAGTGCTTGCCTTCTTGTTCCCTATATTTATGGAAATTATATAGATACTTTTTTTTTTTTTTTTCACAGATATTGCTACACTCTGTAGTAACTATAATCTTTGCTACTTTGTGAGTGAGTCAATATATTCACCTAGTGTCTATCTCCGAATTTTATATTGATCTGAACTGGAATATTTTCTTTTGGTGTCCCTCCACCTTTTATTTTGAGGCTGTCTGGTATATTTTAGATACGTGGTACCTGGATTTTTCTAATTATCAATAAAAGTTTATTATTTTGTTACTTGTGCTAGATATACATCCGTTTGTAATTTTTAATACTTTGCTCTATTTGGGGTACTGGTTTTGAGGGATTTTGCTCCCTTTTCTTCAAGGGTTGCTTTTTTCTCATCTCTATTTTTTCCTTTGTAAAATTGTTAATTAAGGGTTAAGCCCTCTTAGTACCCCTGTAACCCTTTCCTTTGCACTCCTTGCTGGATTTCTTCTATCTAGGAGTGCATTTTGTTCAAATTCTTATTCTATGTTTTAATTTAACTAAGGGATGGCATTATAAAACAAATAACATAAGGATATCATACCTTTCCTAGTGGGGCTGTATAAAAAAAACTTTCTCTAAAGGAGATATCTCAAGTGATTTATAGTTTTTATCTGTTTCAGATACCTGGTATATTTCTTTCAATTTGCCAATGATTAGCATACATTCCAGTTCACATACATTTGATAATCCATACTTAAGCTTCAATTTTTCCAAAGAAAGAATAGCATTGCCATAATTTTTTTTATCCAGACTAGTTATAGAGGAATCCTTCAACAGTTCTATTTTTAAGGATGGTATATAATCTATCAATAACTCAATAGGCATTGCTCTATATAAACTGGGAGACTGGTCATTTTTAAAAACAATGTCCCAGGCCTTAAGCGTAGTCTTGGTAGATAAAAATAATTTTGTAATTCCAGGTCTTTTCTTAGGATTTAACCAAGGTAATTCTGATAATCTAACCAGTAAAATTTTCGATTCTTCTATTTCCATCCATCTGGGTTTATCAACCTGGTTGTTAAAGTTCACAACCACTGCAGCGTTAGTGGCGAAATAATATTTGCGGATATCAGGGACACCGATACAGCCATTCGATTTATGGTGCTACAGGGAAGTGAGCCTCACTTGGGCAGGCTTGTTCCCCCAGATAAACTTCAGCACTGTCGAGTGAACTTTATTAAAAAATGATAATGGGATGGACAGAGGAATGGTCCTAAAAAAATATAAAATTTTGAGGAGTATCATCATTTTAATAAATGCGACCCTCCCCAGCCATGAGAGCTCCATCCCGCCCCATCTCTTTTTGTAAGTCTGACCATGCTTTCCTCAAGTTGTGATTGTGCATATTGACCAAATTTTTGCATAAATTAATGCCAAGATATTCCATATAGTCAGTTCTCCAATCAAATAAATATGATTTCTTAAGGGCAATGGTTTCCAAATTATTTAAATGAAACGGGAGGGCCTGAGTTTTGGACTTGTTTAATTTGTAATACGATATCTCGCCAAATTGAGTTAAAATGTCCTTGAGGTGTTTCAAAGATTCTTTTGGGTTTTTGACAGCTGGATTATATCGTCTGCAAACAAGCCAATTTTGTGAACGGTTCTTTAATAGCAATTCCTACAATTTGTGGGGTCGTTCTAATTAGTTCGGCCAGTGGTTCTATCGCTAAAACTAACAAAATTGGAGATAAAGGGCACCCCTGTCTCATCCCATTGGTTAGAGAGAAAGTTTTGGATGTGAAGCTAGAAGCTGAGACATGGGCGGAGGGTGCGCAATATAGCGCCTTAATTGCTGTGATAAAGGAAAATGGTAAGTTGAACCTCCATAAATATCCCCAATGTATCCTGTCAAACGCTTTCTCTGCGTCTAGAGATAGAAGCAAAGAAGGCGTTTTGGTCATATTGGTATGCTGAATCAAGTTTATGAATCTTCTAGTTCCGTCTGGCGCCTGTCTATCCTGTACAAAACCTACTTGATCCTTATTAATTTGGTTAATTTATTTGCGAGAAATTTAGAATAAATCTTTGAGTCATTATTAATCAGAGAAATGGGCCTAAAGTTAGGGCATCTATCGGGAGTTTTTCCCAGCTTTGGCAAGGTGACTATTCGTGCGCACAAGGACTCCTCCGGCATCTTTTCCCCAGACTTATAGGAATTGAACATTTTAGTCATATGGGGAATTAAAATTTCCGGAAAAGTTTTATAATATAAAATAGTGAATCCATCGGGACATGGGGCTTTTCCAGATAGCAAAACATTTCTTAATGTAGGTGTGCAGGTGGACCTACTGCATATAGTCACAGGATGCATCTGTTTTACTTTTTTGTTGTTTGTTTTGGAAAATATATAACTTTCTATTAGTTTGGCTCTGTATTTTAAAACCATTCAACAGGCTATAAAATGTGTTCTTTATAGGTATATTATCTATCCAAAACTCTAGTTAGGGACAATAAATAAAATAGCCGTCAAACCATATACTTTCCTGTTTTGATGCCTGCAAGGTTTGTAGCTTTGTTAAACTTTGTGATGTAGTAAACTGTGTCATGCTGCTTTTTAACTTGGTAATTATAAATCCTTTAAATTAAACACATGAAAATGAAAAATCAACCAAGCTGCATTTTGAGAGAAATATATTATGTTATTAACTACTGTCCTACATGACTTCAGAAATGACACTGCGTTACCCATTTAACCACCTGAGTCTCTTATCTTTTAAAATTCTGTCTGCTTTTGTTTTGCCTGCATATGAACTTTTTATTATTTATCTTATCTAAGATTATACCTCTTTTCACTCTTGTATATTTTCTGCGGATTTGTAAATTTTATCTGATCAGTAATGTCTATATTTTAGACATATATACATGCATTTGTATGTATCTGTAATTTAATTTTAATAGCCTTTGGAAAAATGTCAGTTCTCTAAGTATGGACCTAATCTTAAAGCTGTTCTGTTACCTCTGATCTTGAAATACTCGCGTTGCCCGAACACAATCAAAATATATAAGACAATGTAGGGAGTACTTTTGTTCCATGAGCAAAGTCCATGTTTACAATAGGCAGAGCTTCCGCTGTCACCTTTTCTCAATTTTGTTGGAAATGTGAATCTTCTTGCTCATCGAGTGAGTTGGTCCATGAAGGATCCTGTGGCTTTCCGTGGGATCATTGTCCCTGTAAAATGAGAACTTTCTCCCAAATGCCAGCTTTTCAGTTGACGAAAATAGGTTCTTCTGTTGTATTGTGCCATTTTACTCAAATCAGTCTTCATTTAACTTTCACAATATTCTCAGGTCTTAATGATGAAAAACAACCCAAAGCAAGTTGTTGCTACCACCATGTCTTACTATAGGGAGTGTTTGAGGTATGGGCATTGTTATTTTCTTGGTTTTATTTTTTCCCCACTCATACGGGTTTTAAACTGTGAGCAAAAGCCTTCATCATCACATCAGGACAATATCTTAGTCACGTTCATCTTGTGCATTTTAGCTAATTTTCATATGGCTGTTTTTCAGTAATATCATTTTTCTTGCCAACCTCGCATGCTGGCTAGTTGATACAGAGTATTGAAATTGTTACCTACAGCTTTGGTCGATGAACTCTGCAGCTTAATTTAAAGCACCGTGGCCTTGTCTTGGTTTCTCACACACTTCTCTGTTCTATATGTAAAAAGTTCAATATGTAACCTGAATTTCAGAAAATGAAAATGTGTGAGAATTGGTCAAGGGTCTAAATATACATTTGCAAGTTGCATTGTATTTGGTCCAAACTATTGACAATCAATGAAAAATTGTTTTGTAGACTCAAATAAGTCTGTGTTTTGCATGCTTACAATGCACAACTAATTCTAAAACCCATCTTTACAGAACTGTTATCTTTGTTAAAGGTAATGATTTTCATACATTAGGTGGAAGATGTAGGTAAAACGGGTACTATTGTTGGTGCAAAGTGCTAAACATTAAGAGACATCATATTGGTTTCCATGGCAATTGGTATTAATTTAGCACTCTGTTCCATTTCCTTTGATATATTTCCCCTCCCCTTGTCTGCACCGACTGTGAGTGTATTTAACTACTCTTCTCTTATAAGATAATTACAAACCATTTTATCTAATGTAAAAGTCTATTTATATACAATCTTATCCAAATATTATATATTTTTTTTTATTATTGGTTGTCTTTTTTTTATGCACTCTTTTGGTGACATTGTACTCAATTTAAATTTAGGTTTAATTTTATTTTCATCTAACCAGACGATCAGTTACAATTACAACTCAGTGATGTGTCAGTGTTGTGGTGTTTTATTTATTTATTTATTCCTTGTGGAGGTGACTGTCATGGCATTGTATCTCCATTTTAAACCATCAATGACAGATAGGCCTGCAAAGAGTTTGTGAAATCAGCAGACAAACGGACTCTGTGACTTGTACAGTAGTTTCAAACTTCCGCTGTGCAGGAAATAGGAAAGGGTTCTTTAAACTCTCTGATTGTCCAGTAATGCCCAAAAAAGAAATCGTATGTTTATGTATATGTGTGTGTGTGTGTGTATATATAATTCTTTTTTTATAAACACACAAACAATTTTATAGTTATAAAAGCTTCTTTAATAGAAGATATTGATGGTCAGCACTAGGGCTTGACCAATATAATTTCTTTTAAGCGGCAATACCGATTATCACTTTGAAAAAAGAAACCTAGTTTCTACACAAATCTGCCATTAACTAAACATATTTATTGTTTAATTGTTTTGTATTTTTTTGTAAATCTTTCTTTGAGTGGTGAATGCACAAAATATACATGCCAGTCAGATTTTATAATAATGTGTGTGTGTGTGTGTGTGTGTGTGTGTGTCAATGTCAATATGTGGGGTAGGATTGGGGCTGCATTCTATGGGCATAACCTTAATTTTTTTTAAATTTCATTCCCTCCTCCCTGCTTCTAACCTGTGGCTAGGGAATATTACATTAACTTGTGGTCCAGTGGCTATGTGCAGGCTGGCATGAGCTTGTATATTGAAGAGGGAATCATGGTTCTGCTTCATTAAAACATTATATACAAGGTTTAGTATTTTTCCACTGTTAATTGCCCATGTAGCGCACAGACTATTCTTTGTAGAATTTTTTCCAATCCCTTACAACTTATATACTCCATTCTAAATGCCTCTTGTCTAACAGAATTAATACTGGTCTTCAGGGTGTTTTTGCAGTGCCAACAGATATGTCTGTGAAAACTGCAAAGGTCTATGGAAAATATAGTTACAATTCTATAATCTTGGGTTGTACGATACTATTGACATTTTCCACCACAAATATCAGGAAATACAAGTTTTTATTAACAAAATAATAAAAGATTTCTGTTGAAAACATTTAATTTTGTGTGTTGACCGCTTTCATGATGTATCCCATTTAAACTCACACCCATTTTAATATAAGGCTTGATGATGATTAGTATTATTTACAATGCCCACAACAAATTCTGTAGCGCTATACAATATTATGATTGTTTGCTGGTAATTGTATTATTCTGCTGATTAACAAGCAAACATATTCATATTTTTCTTAAGATAATACCTTTTATCAAATCTGTTAACCCCTGCCCATGAGATATATTTCCCCCCAAAATTTTGTAACTGTTTATTTGGGGGGGGAACAACTACATACAGGAATCAAATTGCAAATTCCCATTCAGACTGGCGCTTGGCTGGTTTTAAAAGAAGAGGACCATTGATGAAATCTTTAGTTCTTTCCCTTAACTTTTAAACTTGGGATAATTTTGTAGATATACCGAAATAACAGAATGTTAATAAAGAATAAGACTTGTTTACCACTATATGCAATTGTGGAAGCCCAAAAAACTACACTTGCGTGTTCATGGTTAAAGGGACATCATAGGCACCCTGACCACTTCATCTTATTGAAGTGGTCTGGGTGCAGTGTCCCGCTGCCCTTAAGTCTGCAATTCATTGCTGGGTTAAGACTGCCTCTAGTGGCTGTCTCCCAGAGAGCTACTTGAGGCATTTCCTGCAGTTTCACAGAGTTTAACTCTGTGAAATGATACTGGATGTCCCCACACTTTGCACGAGGATGTCCAGTGTCTTTAGAAACCCCATATGGACACATTTCTAAAATGCTTTCCTATGGTGAAGTCCTAATGCGCGCGTGGCACTTGCCACGCATGTGCATTAGGTTCCTGGACATTGTGACGTTGAAGGAGAGCCAGCGTTGAAATTTATGGCACTATAGTATTGTGTTGTGGGACATGGGGGAAATTCAGTTCCGTTTTAAAGGTTTTCTTTTGCTATTTAACTGTTCTCTCGTTACACCAATCCTATTCATTGTTTAACTTCCTTACTAATCCTTTAGCTGCACTTCTCATTTACTTTACTAAATCTTGCCACTCATTACAAGGAAAGATGGATGCCATCGTAAACCACTTTCTCTCTATTTGATTAACACCAAGAACATAATTCTCCACCCTCCTTTTACTTTCAAACCTTTGTGTCTCCAGCACTGAGGAATGGGCATTTGCTCTTCTTTCCTTTTCAGATCCCAAAAAAGCCTATCCCACAGACCTCATTTAACCTATCTAGTCAAACAGCCCTATCTTACGTATAGGATGCTATTAGAACAACCAATCTGGGGAGAGAAAAATCCTTTTATTCTAGCTACATCCATTTATTTTCTTTTGTAGCTAAATTACTGTAAACACTTGATTAACTTCATTTGATCTTTTATCTCTCTTGACCATCTTCAGTCTGTTTTTGACCCTATTCAGTACAAGGCTGCTTTAACAAGGTATGCAATTACCTGATCTCTACCAAATCTAATGGACACTTCACTGCTAATATCCTATGGACATGTGTGCTGCTTTTTGTCACTGCTATTTCTTGACATGCTGTTTTCCATGATTAGCCTTGATACAATGCTTGCCTGGTTCGTGTCATGCGTTCCTTCTCTGTGTCCTTTTCTGCTAACTAATTTTCCTTTCCTTTTCTCTCTGTTAGCGTACATCAATTAAAGAACCATGGCCCAATACTTTTCTTCCTCTAAAACACTATTTTCTGTACTTTTTTTTTATGATTTGATTTCTAATAACCATATAGTAATAATCAAATAGAGTTTTCCTCTCTTGATATTTCCCCTCCCTCTCATTTTACACTTTACCAGTAGTGTGTCTTCCATCTTCTTATGCGTGACCCACCTCTACCAGAAACCTAATCTCTCTAAAACTGAACTAGTAAACATTTTGTTTTTTTCCGACTCCCTCCCTACTACTCAAACCTTCCCTTACTATGGATGTATTTCTATTGGTTTATATACCCAGCCAACTGAATGTGTAATGTCTCTGTTCCACATTTAACCATGTTTCCAGTACTGTGTCCGCCACCAATATTACTCATATACCAGTCTTCTGAAGGCTTGCAGTCTTATTATAGAGTCCTCTTCTCCCTAACTATTAATTCATGTCATCATCTGTTGATCTCCACCTCTCAAGTCCTACATTTCCTACCTAAAGGACTTTCCCCTACATTGGTTTTCCTACGTTCTTGTAATTTGACTTTAATTTGCAATCACATAAACTGTACAAGCCTTGAGCAGCCATCCATCTTCACAATTGTATGTCTAATTGTATTTAATAGCAAGAACATTTGGGGGGAAAAAATGTAAAGGTGGTGCAATAAGAAATAATATAACCTTGATTTCTGTGGTGATTGATGACTTTGCTACTGATCCTCCTTGCCTCATTACTGTTACAGTGGATAATACACTTGCTCTGTAACTTAGCTTGTTTCAAATGTGATGAAGTAAGTCTAAGCATGTTATTTAATTGGCCCAACCCTGATGTCTTATATCAAGTCACAGTTGCCTCCTAAGATGTTGTGGAGATAACAGGAAGTAGAATAAAACTAAACTGAATTAACAGGAAGTGTGTGGGACATCCATGCAATATCCAGTGCTTAATTATGATTTTGTTTTCCAATGCTTTCCTTTTTGCTTATTGCCATTCTATGAAATGATTTATGCAACTAATACACATGTAAATGTAGATAAATTCACCCCTTTTAGTGAAGAGGTTTGGGGGGATAATCATGTTATTCTTAGTTAGTTGCTTAAAAACTGTGTATTTTTTTAACTGAATTAAGTTTGTTAAATGTCAAACGTTAAAAAGTAAAAAAAAAAGGGGGGGAAAAAAGCCTTTTCAACAAGATTTATTTTAACATCCGAGACTTTCATCTGCCAGGAAGTGAATACATTAACATACAAACTGTGTAATTAGTATCAGATGGTATGGCCAACAGTTTAATAAACACATTAGCGGATACCTGTTTAAAGCAAAAGAAGGAAGCACAGTGTTAAAAGTGATTTTAATTTTTTTTTTCTTTGCTAATATGCCTGTAATATTTCTAGAAAACCCTGTTTCCAATTCTTATTTTTGCTAATTGCTACCATCGAAAAAGCTTATGCTGAAATGTACCATCTACGTGTATAGACAGGAACATGGAAGAATAACTGTGTGATTAGTTTACGTAGTGAGAAGTGGGGTTGCAGGAGGGCGCCGCAAACATTCAAGCAGCTATTTACCCCTGCAATCTGGGAACAGACACACTCTCCCCACGGCGGCACTGTTTTACTGAGCAGGAGATTCGCTTTGCGTCGATTTTAAATTTTAAGAATGAAATAAACCTTTACATTTTCCATGTTGTTCTATGGAGCCCATTCATCAATACATGTAAGAACTGTCTCTGGGGATGGCATCTAAAGCTGGAGGGAAGCTTCAGCCAACTTTGTTCTATTTATTCTAACTCCGCAGTAATGTATCTCTCTCTGTAGGGATTGGCGCCATGTTTCGGTGGTTTACCTTCCTCAAAACATTAACTGTCTGCTCTGGATGCTTGAATTTAAATCAAATCTCAAGGTGAATTAAAGAAATTGAAACCACAAGATTTTCTTTAATGGAAGAATAAAGTTTTGCTTAATGTACCATAACAAAGCTTGACGAGACACTCTAAGCACCATAACCACTACAGTACACTATAAGGATTATGGTATTTTAAGTCTATCGTTGCCTTATTTTATTTTTATTTTTGGGTCAAAAATACAGTTTCTCCCCAGCATCCATAACTAGGCCCCTCATCAACCTCAGGGTTAGTGTGGAAACTACTTTTCCACGTTATCAACTACAGATCCATCTTAACTAAAACCGCATTGTTTGTCGGCAAGTGATTGGCAAAGCAGACCCCGATGCTCTGAGCCTTTCATTGTTGTTCTAGGATTGACAGAGTTGTACGGAAAATAAAAGTGGGGATGGGCATGCGTACCTTTCAGAGTTCCAGGTTTTTATCAAACCAGTCTAAAACTGCTTTAAAATAAAAAATGAATACATTTAAAAAAAAAAAAAAAAAAAAGGGGGTCTGTGCCCATACACTTATAACACGATAACCACTACAGTGAGCTGTGATGGTGCTTGGACTGCTTCTGTAATTTATTTGTCTTTGACATTTATACATGTGAGTTGGTTTGAGCAGGGCCTTCTGCACCTTTTGTAATAAATATCCCCTTTCTATAAATGCAAAACACTGTGGAATATGTTGGCGCCGTATAAAAGTAAAATTTTATTAATCATAATATAGGGCGCTTAATTATACCCTATACCTGGGCAGAGAATTGCGATGAGCAGTTTTCTAAGCTTGGTGTCTAGGTAAAAGCATATGGGTCAAGCAACCTTTCCTGACCAAAGGCAGGTTTGAGAACACTTGAACTCAAATAGAGTGTAAAAAGTATATACATGTATGTCATGAAGCTATTTTATGATTTCTTTTTAAGGTAGGCTATTTTTATTCTTGCATTGTTGGATTTTATGATCACCAGTTAGGATATAAATCCAGCTGCACTGAAATTAAATGTAGCCGTTATAATGGTTTCTGCTTCCGTCTAACTTAACCATAACCCATTGCCGAAACAAAATCTGCCCTCGTGATAGTTTTTGGGTCTATCTTATAGTCTGGCTTACAGCACAGGCACGATGTAAGTGTTAACTTGTATGTTTGCTTGGTTGATAGGAGTTGAGGAGGAGTTGCCTTTTGGGTGCTGTGTATTAAGTGATTTCTATTTACACTTGTTGCATATACACTCTTTGTAAAATATGTCCTTTTTTTCTTTTCTTTTTCTTTTTTCTCTTAGCTGTCCAGAAGAAGGCAAGACGTTTACCATGAAAAATCTAGAGATCATCCAGATGATGGTGAGTTCTCTGTTAAAATTGTAAAGTTAATATTTCCAAAATAAATGTATGTTTGGAAGTGCATGCTAAATCTGGCTATTTTGAAACTCATTCTTTAATGATACATAGAAGTCATTGACTGCTACTAGTACCTTTTAAAGGGATACTTTATGTTGGAACTGTCTTTCCCCCCTTTTGTGTTCATAAAGTTGATGATAAGTTAGGACATGCATAATTAAACATTCTGCAAATATTGCCTTTAAAGTAAAGATACATCCAAAGTTCTTGCTGCAGAAGAACAGACAGTGTATCTGCTAATCCAGAGCCTCTCATTTTGGCCTTTAGTTATACCATAACTACTTCTGCTGGAGAAGAATTTATGTGACAAGTATATTAGTACTCCTTTCCAGATACAAATGTATCCCTTATTTGAGAAGTAGGATATATGCCCTATATCGAGAGAGAGAGAGAGTGTGTGTGTAATAGATAATAAATGGCATATATCGTACTTATCAAACAAGTTGGTCACATTTTAATTGTGAGTTTGCCCAACAAATGATTTTGTGCCGAACATTTTTCACCTTGGAATAGGAAATGTTGTAATTTACACAATTATACTTTCTGATGGTGTCCTGGAAAGTTCAGTGCACACTTGTTGGAAATATTAACCCTTTGAATACCAGGCATGAGGAAGAATCCTTTCAGTAGGATATGTTTTTGAATATATATATATATACATATATATATTTTAAACCGTATCACACAATTTATACAAAATGCTCTGAATATGATCTGAGAGTAGAAATACTGCTGGTAATACAGAAGGGTATTCATGAGCGTACTAAACCATTATTGATAAATTAAATAGATTAATGATTAATGAAATGGTGGGAAGCAAATTGTACGGTGTTTGATTGTATCATCTTGCTAAGCCTAATAGGCTTTTTATTTATCCTTTGTCAGTTGATAAAGTGTAAAATGAACCTTTCATGTGTTTAGGAAATTCTTTTCTCTCTTGCTATTGAAGTATCACATGTAAAAGATAAGATATAAAGCCCTGATGGATTGGAACATCGGGATATCCGAGTCTGAATTTTAATTGGCAATAACATTGTTCATGTGGTTTGATTTTCTCATTGAGAGCATAAACATCTCAGGTTTCTTATCACACTTGAGTGGTTAAAACAATATTTAGATTGCCGGCCACCCCTGCACCACAATAGACATTTAGGTTTTCCAAAATTCACGATCTCCTGCGCCTAGCCAATCCAAGCATTAGGTTTGACTTACGTCTCTACTGGAGGGTGGCGGCAGAGTCCAATTTTCACACCCGGGCCCGGTGGTTTCTACTTACACCTGTGATCTATTTAATGGTGTTGAAGCAACACTTTTGCCATTATTGGATCAAAACTGCTGTATATTATACGCTAACCGGGAAGGTTTAAGCAGTATATCCATCATTGTTGGTTTATAGTACCCCATGCTCTGAGAGAGGCAGCCCTGATCTGCTGTTAAATCTATACATCTAGTGAGTGTAATGTTAATGCCGAGGCTCTTAATTGTATTGCACTATTACATGTGTATCTTCTGTTTATAGCTGTATCCCCATACTCCAGATTCTTGACTTTTTTTCTATCTATATATCCCCCCCCCCCTTCTTTTTGGTGAAAAGCTGGAAAACATTCAGATGGCGGTTTGTACGGCAAAGGCCATTCGTATCCTGGATATCCAAGTTATATCATGATGCCAAATATGAATACAGACCCATACATGTCAAATGGATCTTTGTCTCCACCCATTCCAAGAACAGTAAGTAACTGTGTTTTCCTCGAATTTGTTTCTTTTGAGATTCTGGCCAGGTCACATTTCTGCATAGCATTTATGAGTCTCCAAACGCTGCTTGGCAGCACAAAGCATGAAATAGGGTCTGTACTGTGCAAACTGTACTTGTATTGTCATTATTGCTTTCTGAAGAATTTAAACCTCCCCTTTCCATTTTCTGCTACAACGTACAGGTTACTAGATTAGTGGCCTTTTGTGAATCGCTTGAAATACACCAATGAAATAAAACGTAATAAAATAAAATCATTAAAGTTTTAATGTCCAGTTTTACTTTGCCTTTATTAGTCTGATTTCTAAAGACCTTATACCAACATATGACTGTTTACATTTGGCTGGTGTGAAAATGGGAGGTGTAGCCACTTTGTCTGTGTCTGTTAAATGCAGCATGTTCCTGAGGATGACAGGCCGCACAGTAGGACAGCCAGTCAGGAATGTCCATATGCTGAAGCTCTGGAATATTACCCTGCAACTCCTGCAGTGTGAGTCCTGGTTTCAGGCGCCTGTCTTGGGTTTGTTCTCTGGTGTCCTTCTTCTGGGAAAATGATCACAGAATGCACAGTTCAAGAGTATGAACAGACATCACACTCTGTGCAGCCCCACAAAGGGGCAATTCAGGCCATGCAAGAGAGCTTCAACAGCCAGTCAGCCTTGATGCCACGCATGCCAGGCTGAACATCCCCTTATTGGGCTGACATTACACTTCCTTAAGTCCATACCTCCTAATGCTGTCTGCAGTCAGTTAATTAGTGGATGACAAATGGTGACACTCACTGGTCTTTAAGGAGTTATTTGTTCCTTGATATAACAAATTATTTAGGTGTATGATGCTTATGTTCTGTTCTGAATTAGCAGCGAGACGATTTCTAGATTGTTCGTTTTAACCACTTTGCGTTCTATTTTTGTGTTTTGCAATTCTCAGTTGTTGTAATTGTTCTGTATTGCACTCCTGGTATGTTTCATAAGAACAAGGCAGATTTGTTGGTCCTGAGCTGTGAGGGGGATTCCCCAACCTTCTATTAATATATAAATATATACTGGCAACTTAGTAAGTTAGTAAGGTATGTGTTCCAGAAGCCTAAGCTAAACTCGTGCCTCGAGGCACTAGCTTTACATGTTGCATGGCGTTACTTATGAGGTTGTGGAGCAGCAATAGCAGCAGAACTTTCTTGATATGTTACATGAATTAGCAGTGTGACTGAATGTGTTGTATTGCCTCTCATGAAAGAGGATTCTAGGGTGATTATATAATTTTATCTATATTTATATATCACATGGTTTTGCGATCTCAACTTTATTCTTCATCAGAGATAATATATGACTTTAATGTGGTGTTTACATAGCGTGTTCATGAATATGTTCCCTATGTAGTGATCTAGACCTTTTCCTGAAAGATTCAGAGGTGGGCAGTAAGAAATCAGTGTTAAGTGGTTCTGAGTTCACACTTGTTTCACCATTGCTTTCCCCTCTATTCCTAAAATCTAGCTGTTGGCTTTGGACTTTTTTTTTTTTCATGGTTTTTCTGTGTCATGGCTTGAAATACCCAGAAACCTGAGAACCACAAGTATTATTTACTCCTAAACAGTTTGAACATTTTACTTAGAACTGTAACACTTGGATAATTTATGACACCCGACTTGTCTGGGGGTAGGGGTGGATACACACCTAACCTAACAATCACACAAAACCACAATTAAACGATTTCCACAATTCCATAACTATAACAAAACTTATATACGTAGTGTAATCCAATACAATCATAAGGCTAATTACCACTTTAAACGTCCATTATTGTGAAAAGAATTGGCCATGTAATTAATAACCTGAGTTACTGTATAACCAAAGGTGGTGTTCTATCAAATTCCCCTACCTCGTGAAAATCCCCTACCCTCGTCACTTCCGGTGAGGGGAATCGGCTGGATCCTGTGCTGCACATGCGTGCTAGCACTCCTGCTACTCCTCCACAGCAAGGTCCTGGAAGGTAAGTAAAACTAGTTTTACACTTTCATTATAGTTAGTGCATTCACTAAGCTTAGGCACACGGGACATTTAAGGTTAAGTGAGGGTTCAAATTAGGGTTAGGTAAGTGATTTTAACCTCACTCACACTCTATTCTTACCCTAACCCTTGGGGTAAGGGTTAAAATAAAGTGATTTTCCCCTAATGTGAAATTTAGTGATACTCCCCTAATGTGAAATTTCACTAAATATGAACAAGTTCCTAATCCTAACCCTAATTTGAACCCTAACATTAACCCTAAATGTCGCATGTCCTAAGCTTAGTGAATGCACTAACTATAATGAAAGTGTAAAACTAGCTTTACTTACCTTCCAGGACCTTGCTGTGGAGGAGTAGCAGGAGTGCTAGCACGCATGTGCAGCACAGGATCCAGCCGATTCCCCTCACCGGATGTGACAAGGGTAGGGGATTTTCACGGGTAGGGGAATTTGATAGAACAGTGGCAAGCATATTCACACCGAACATTTCAAAACACAACACTTGTAGGTATCTGTATGGCTAATACACCCAACATATTAACTCCCAATAAGTTACTGATACACAACTAATAATTACCCCAATCTCTACACTAATTTCACTTTATAGCCTGCTGTAATAAAGGATGAAATGAGACAAACTTATATGGGAAAAAAAACAAAAACACCACCCCAAATCAAATTGACATAGTGAGGGTAGCATGGGATGCGGACACACTATTCAGACAAAAAAAACAAAAATCATGCTAGAGAGTTTCTCCTTTGTTGCATGTCCTCCTTTTTCCTTAAAGGGACAAAAGCCCTATACCTGCCTGATTGCTAGCTCCTGGGGTCTTCATTATTGGCTCCTGGCATTGCTCAGACAGTTCCTGCTATGGCATATGAGGCAGACCTAATCCCTGGGAAAGCCTAAAAAATGAAGTTCCATATGCATTTCTCTGTATTGCTGTATGAAGTGATCATACTATTGTACTGAAGCACTGCGGGTGATTCTATCTATCTATCTATCTAAATATTTTGCATTAATGCATCCTCGTAAAAGAGAAAATATCACTTGTTAAGTGTTAAACAGCTGTAAACACATTGCATGACCAGGATAACATGAGGTCAGAGTCACCAGCCTTATCACAACTTCTCTTTAGAACCAACAAAGTGATTATTTTAACACCTTCGATCTCCTGCATGCATGACCAAATGTTTGTCACACCACAACCGTGTAACAACACCTAAGTGGTATGTTTAAATAAATGTGCTCTCAGCTCCTGCAGACAGACAAACATGAAGATCTTTTTGTTATTGAATCTCTCCTGTGCTTTAACAGCTGGCCTATAGAAATTAACATTTTATGGGTAGCTCAGTTTTCTAATGTACTTTTAACCCCTTAAGGACACATGACATGTGTGACATGTCATGATTCCCTTTTATTCCAGAAGTTTGGTCCTTAAGGGGTTAAAGATGCTCTCTGACCATAGATGATGAAATGTTCTCTGCAGTTTTTTTTTTCTTTCTAGAATTTAATGTTTTTAAGTTCACGCCACTCCTAAACTTTCTTATAATTATTATGAATCCCAGCTCTGTCTTTTGCACCATATTTTTAAGTAGGGAGTTCTGTTTTGAATAAGCATATTCCATGTTTGCATTCTTTGTCTTTTTCCAACATTCAGACCTACATAGATTTAATTTAAAGCATTCTTGCTCTGTGCCACATAGAGCCTAGCTGGAAAAGGCTGGCTTGTGTTGAAAGATACTTTATTCAGCACGGGTTCTCTCCCAGATGAATTTAATAGCAGTCAAGGATTGGCAAAGCCGATTGCTCAGATCTTGTTTTCGTGCATAAAACTGTTGTACAATTTTCCTTCGTAAGACTAGTGCAACAAATTTAGCCTGCAGCCTATATGGTAGCCATTCCCACTACAGTAACATAAAAAAAGTTCATGGATATTACGTAGAAATGTATTGATGTTGTTGTTTTGTTATTTTGGTTTATTTAGTATAACATATCTGTAAATGAGGATTTGTGTTTTGTTTTTCATCCTCTCGCATTAATAATAATTAGATATTTTTAGTTTAATATATATATATATATATATATATATATATATTTATTTATTTATTTTTTAATGTATTCATGTGTACTGGGACACACTGCTATGGCTTCCGGTGATCAGTTCTAGGTTTTAAGGTACCCTAATTTGGAACATTTAAAGTGGAACTCTTTAACACAATCAATATGTCTGCTTGTGAATGCAATACATTATTTGTAAATGGTGACCATCTGTTCTTATTATAATGATAATTTGCTGAGTGTAAGAAGTTTGGTGATGCACTCTGTTGTGTACTAATTACAACAGTGCAATAGTTCACATAGCTTTAATATAAATTAAAATTGACCGGTGTTTTTATCAAAGGACATTCCATGAACCGAAACAGAATTGTGCTCAATGCCCTGTCTACCTGCCCAATTTACACATGCCATGGCTCCTTGGCCCCTCATATGGATTGACCCAAGACAGCACTCAAACCAAATAACCAATGTATCTGGCCAATAAAAACATATTGGTGAAGATGTAAGTGTATGTATGCGTATATATGTGTGTGTGTGTATATATATATATATATATATATATATATATATATATAAATATATAAATAAATAAAATCAGGATCGAAAATTATTAATCACTGGGGCCATGTAAAGCTATGTGTGTGTACATGTGGAGGTTTAGATAAATGTGAAGTAGCCAGTGTGGCCACTGGCCACATATCGTGATCTAGAAAATAACATCAAGAAACATTGAATAACTATCCAAATATGTAGCACGAGAGTATGCGTAAAAATAAATAAATCAGCAGCTCCAGACACTGTCTGCCTGATGCCTGAGGCTTTGGTCTCTTCAAAATGCTCTGGCATTTGTGAAATTCTACATTGATCAACCCAAAGGTGCTAAGTCATTCAATAGCATCAGCTGGTCATTGTTTGACAGGCAGTTCATTGAGCTCCCATTCATTTGCTCACCTGAGCTCCCACCCACCCACCCAGTTAACTGTTCTGTACAGTACTTTATTTATAAGATAGGATCCAGTACTCTTCTATAATAGGGGAAAAATGTACTATCCTATTTTCACTACTTTCTAGTTAATATAATGTTAAACAAAAATCTGCACACCAGTCAAGCCATAAGACTTGCTTTTCCCACAGAAAACACAAATCTGCAGTGATGTTACTACCACAAAGGATTATGGGTGGGTATATGCAAATCAGTTCAAAATTTGCATATGCCCACGCAGAATCCTTTGCGGTAGTAACATCACTGCAGATTTGTGTTTTCTGTGGGAAAAGCAAGTCTTATGGCTTGACTGGTGTGCAGATTTTTGTTTAACATTGTATTAACTATCCACAGATTTCAGGTGGAAGGGGTTTTCAATCACAAATTTTCCCCACCATAACATATATTATAATTAAAACCTCACAATCTTACAATAGTGTGGCATCTTTCAGATTACAATCTGGGTGAAAAGGTGGGCAGGCCAGAAATGCAATAATGTAGACTAAATCGAATTAAATAGCCTTTATATATTGAACAGTTTTATACTTCCCGCTGTTATCACATCAATGATACATCACACCGGCCCAGGACAGGCTACCAGAACTTTCTTGGACCAAACTCCCCCATGCTTACCTTTAAACGACCGTGACACCTGTTTAAAAAAAAATAAAAATCATAATAATAATAATTAAAACAGTCCACCCTTAGAAGAACTGAACCCTCAGTATGTAACCAAGTTTAAAACCTAACCTCAGCTGTGTCAGTGCTGTAACCTGGACTTGCTGCAAACACTGTTGCTCTTACTGTAATTGTTTATTATCTGATATATAGAGCATCCAAGCATTAGATGTCTTTGCCTTTTTTTTTTTTCTCAGATCTGCTTTATTTTTGCAGCTGCATTTAAGGCAAATTCAGCCACTTTAAATAATTGTGTAAAAATGGTTAACTTAATCTTTTCTTGTCTTCAGTAGAAGAACCTAAAATATCATTTTAGTTTATCGTTGCCCTTGGCAGTTTAACCCTATTGTGTTTCATCGATTGTTTATTAGAATATGAACATAATTTTATATCATATTTAGTCCATGAATTGTGGTTAATGCCACTTTAAGATTTTTAGATACGTAAATTTTAGCTCTAAAAGTAGGGCATGAAATTAGAGATTACTTCAGCTGTCAATGTACTAGCACATTTAAGAGATTCACAGAAATTAATGTTAAAAATAGACTGTTGTGCAAAAAAAGGATTTGTGGGCAGTAATAAAAGAAAACGTGTGATATAGCAAAACAATGGTCTTTATTTAGCACGTAGTGAAAATCTCTGTGCTCTATACTCCCAGTGTGAGAAGGTGAATTATTAAATGTTGTAAGATCAAATTAATTGACTGATGGATAAATTAACCAAAGATTTGTTTAAAAAAAACAAAAAGTCCTCCTTTTTTCAGTAAGCATTGTGAATGTGTGTGGACTAGCCACTTTCTGTTCTGGGACGTGCTAAACAAAGTGTGTAATTTTGTGAATCCATTAGATCTAGACATACAGTGATATTTTTGCTTCATTGTGAAACAAGATTACATGACCGCTATATATTAACCGTAGTCTATGGAACACTGAAATTGTTTTAATGTTGTTTTAGAAACGGAATAGGCTTGTTTCACGCAAGTTGAACAATGATATTTTTAGGGACATCCAAACCACCATTACCATTTTGGTTGACAGATGCAGAGTACCCAGCACTGATTGGTCAACAGGTTTCGCATGGTGCATAGATTATCCAAGGTGTGCCTGTGCAATAATTGCCAAAATTTGTTATTCTTCCTTATTTTTCTGGGTATTCACCAATCTTTTATTAAAACCATCCTGTCAATGCCTAGTCCTGCAGAAAGGGTAACAGAATCTCAAAGTGTACAGCCTTATTGTAATAACAGTCCAGGATTACACCTTAAAATCTGATACTTGTAGCTAATTGGAAAAATGCATGCATAAACATTAATTTGTATTCTCCTCATTGGATATTTCTGTGTTCTGGAATATGCTTATGCAACCAGTACTTATGGAACAAACAAATGTTTCTCTTTGTTTATTGTGGGACAAAACCCCCCCAAAAAACGGCAACAACAAAGCAACTTTTTGCAGTGTTAGATTGTTGGCTATTGCTCTAGATGGCCCCAGTGATTAATAACTTTCGATCCTGATTTAGTTACAGCTACAGGATGACTTGTCTGACGAAATTGACTGGGTAATAAAGTGAAGATGAGACAAATTGGATATTTTTGAAAACTGCTTTTTTTTTTTTTATCTGCTATACAAAAAGTTCTCCACATTTTATAAAAGAGATTATGAGTTAGTCAAACCACTGGCTGCTTTACGCTCCGTTGAGTGTGCCACGTCATGTTTTAGTGTACACGTGTTTGAGAAAAAGCACCCAATGATGGGGAGAAAACCAAAACACAATGAAACTTCACTTTCAAAAATGTTTAGCCTTGCATGTATGGATATAGCCTTCAGGCACAAGTGAATGCTGTAGAAATCTAGAGAAGAATAAGTGTGGGCGTGTATGTGTATATATATATATATTTATTTATTATGTTTTTAGCTGTTGACTGTATTTAATTTAAAAACTTTTTCCTTTTTTTTTTATGCTGCTGAGACTTTGCATGTTTCAATTACAGAGCTGTGAAATAAGTAATCTTTCTCAGCTTTTTTTTTTTTTAACTTGGAGTAAAAGCAGCTAAGGGTGATGTCAGAGCCTTCACTGAAGGCACTGAGAGTGCTGGCAGAATGTGATGCAGCTGCAGTACTACATGATGTTGGAAATGAGGTTGTGAGAGCATAAAGGCTTTCCGTATTCCCAGGGCGCACAACTGCTTGCGGCTTTGGCTTTGATCTCTTCAAAGGCTGCTGCTGCCTCCTCCTAGATGGGGGAGACTTGGCTGCTGTTTGCTCTCATTGAAAAAAGGCAGAGGTCTTTATTCAGGCAGAAATCAATCACTGTGCAGGAACAATTAAATGTAATTCAACCATCATGGAACCAGGATGAGATTATGGGTTTGTTACCTGAGTGACTGTGTGGAAATGGGGAGCACAGCCCTGCTGACATGCCGCGTTCTGATGACCATAATAGGCACATGAGTGATGTGAAGGGTGAGGAGAGGCACAATGACAAATGATGGTCATGCTGTCCAGCAGAGCAGAAAATTAGGTTACAATTGGGAGATAATACTTGCATATGTAACCGTATTTTAGCAAGCTGGCCAATTCAAGGCAATTAATACAATAGGAACCTGATGTACAACCAAATAAAAAAGTGCAATGCAAGATGTCTGTCTTGATGATGTTTGTGCTGCCACCTGTGTGGGATGTCCTATGGATGGGTGCAGAAACATGGCTGTGGAATTATTTTGATGCTTAAATCCTTAATGATCTGATAAACGACCAAGATTATATTAAGGTGATGGATTATTCACAGGATCTGGAAATTGTGGAAAATAGACGTGTGAGGTGCAAATATTAGACCAAAACAGCCACACAAAAAAAAAAAAATCAAAATAAAATCTCCTATTACACCTTTTGTGTTATAACTAGTTTGGTCTAAAGCTTGTAATTTCCTTGTCTGCTTTCCACAATTTTCCAGTTTAAAGGCACCCAGACCACTTCAGCTCATTGAAGTTCCAGAGAACTGCAATACTTATATTGCAGCTCTGTCTGCTCTCTGTGGCTGTCTATCAGTAGAGGGCTTCTAGAATCCAAACCGACCTTTGGTCGGTTATCTGACGTTGGACGTACTCATGGACCTCCGGGACCTCTGGCGTCAGATTTGCCTCATAGGAAAACCTTGAATAAGCATTTTAACAACGTGCGCTGTGTGTGTTACTTTATCTAAGGGAACACTATAGTGTCCATAATTCAAACTAGTGTTACATAACCTGTTTGTGTGAACAGTCCCCCTCATTACATGCTTTTATTCGCATTTTATCTCTCACCTTGGCTGGCCCTGCCTCCATGACTGAGATCCTCAATCTTGGAAAGTATTGGGAGGCTTTTGTACATGCATGGCAAAACGCTGCACTGTGCCAGTCAGCATCTGGGTGTACAGCACTCCCTCCTGCCAGGCACTCTGTGTAGCATGGCCGTGCGGAGCAGTGCGCATTGCAGTACAAGAACGTATGATTCCTGTACCCGGCCGAACTGAGAGGAAGTGCTCACTGAGAGAGCACTTCATGTCAGTCCAACTGGGTATAAGAGTCGGAATCTCCTGAACCGCGGTGCGCACTGCTCCACTTGGCCACGCTATCAGGAGACACACCGGGAGCGGGGACCAAGGAGGGGAAAGAGAGTGGGGCACTAAGGGACGGGGGAGGGAGGGACACTATGGGACGGCAGGGGGGGAGTGATATGCATCACTATGGGACAGGGGGTGGGGGTGGTAAGGAACACTATGGGGGAGGGTGGGTGGAAAGGAACACTATGGGACAGGGGAGAAGGGAAAGGAACACTATGGGACAGGGAAGAGGGGAAAAGAACATTATAGGACAGGGGAGAAGGGAGAAGAACACTATGGGACAGGGGAGAGGGGAGAAGAACACTATGGGACAGGGGAGAGGGGAGAAGAACACTATGGGACAGGGGAGAGGGGAGAAGAACACTATGGGACAGGGGAGAGGGGAGAAGAACACTATGGGACAGGGGAGAGGGGAGAAGAACACTATGGGACAGGGGAGAGGGGAAAAGAACACTATGGGACAGGGGAGAGGGGAAAAGAACACTATGGGACAGGGGAGAGGGGAAAAGAACACTATGGGACAAGGGGAGGGGGCAAAAGAACACTATGGGACAGGGGAGAAGGGAGAGGGGAAAAGAACATTATGGGACAGGGGAGGCGGGGGAGACGAGGGAAGAACACTATGGGACAGGGGAGGGGGAGGAACAACACTATGGTACAGGGGAGGGGGGGAACAACACTAGGGGGAGAGAGGAACATTAAGGGAGGGAAGATGAAAGGAACACTGGGGTAGGAGGGGGAACACTGAAAGAGAATGGAGAGGAACATAAAGGGGAATGGAGGGGACCAAGACACAGGTAAGGGGTGGGGGGGGAGTTCCTACCGCACATATTTACACACAAACACACTGCATCCACTACACAAACACACACACACACACACACACACTGCATCCACTACCCACACTGCATCCACTACATAAACAAGCACACTACTTCCACTACACAAACACACACACTGCATCCACTACCAACACTGCATCCACCACACACACACTCACACACTGCATTTACTAATCAAATACTCTCACTGCATCCACTACACACACACACATAAATATTCTTGAAAACATAAAATAAACTGACTGCCATGTATATTTTGTGCATTTAAAAATTGCAAAAGAAATATTGTAAATGTACAGAATATCGGTAAGCTATCAGCCTGAAAGTTCACAGATTATCGGTATCGGCTCTAAAAAAATCAATATTGTCAATCCCTAGTGGAGACCCCTTACATAGATGCTGCATGCTGTGCAGCACTGAGATAGGAAGCAGCTTTAGTGACCATCTGAGTGACTGCCATTAGAGGTGTAACTAGGCCCCTTTACATTGAAAACCCCACAGAGACAGGATATAGACACCAGAACCATTACATTAAGATGCAGTGGTTATGGTGACTATACTGTCTCTGTAAGATTTAGAAGCAAACTATGATAGTAGCTTCTTGTGCTGTAAATATGATCAAAGAGATAATAAAACTGAGTCTGGACAAGCTTGACAGTATATAAATCAACAATGCTATATCACAGGCCAATAATGTTTGCCTTGGCCTTGTTAAGGAAGACAAAATAATCTGATTGCTACAGCTTTTAGAAATATTTATAAATATGCATTATAGAGCAATGCCTAAAAATTTGCAAAAGAGACGGCACATGAGGTGCACACAGGACGGTAAAATACAGCTAAAAGTATATAAAAAAAAAAAATAAATCCAGTACTCCCGAACTCCCAAAACAGTAGTTTTATTTGAAACCCCCCAACAGCAGTCTTTCAGTCCCAGTAAGGGCTTTTATCAAGCCTGAGGGTTCCAAACTACTGTTCTGGGAGTTTGTGTGCGCTGGATCTTTTTCGTTCTAGCTATAGAGCAATTCCAACGCACCGCTTGTGGCTATACATATTCAGCATGGCTGGTTTTGATGTGGCTGTCTCGTCTGAGCATAGGTCTGCTGAATATCTCTGATTTCTATAGTAATGCATTTTACACTCCTTGAAATAATTGAATTAATACTTTTTACAAAGTGATGACTATGCTTAATTTAAAAAGGGTTTAATTTGCACAATAGGATGTGGTGGTAGAATGTTCAGATTTCCACTTTGGGGACTACTGTGTACAGTATATATTACAGAGTTGTATTTATAAAAAAAATAAAAATAAAGGTACATTTTAATTTTATATTTTTAATCATCAGAAGCTGGCTGCTTTTTCCACCAGCTTCCTAATTCAAAGTTGGGCAAATAAACCCTTAATTGTCCCTTTTTAAAGGGGAAATCCCATTTCCTGCCACCTTCCTTTTTGCTGTATGCAGTGGACATTTTTGCCTTGTGGGTACTTAGCTCTGATAATATCCTGTTTTTATCACAGTATCTGTTATTGCAGCCTGTGGCACATCGTTTATGCTGTTGCTGCAAACACTGTTCCAGACCATACAAATTACAAGTAGGAAATCCTCCTTGATGAACCTACTTGCCAGTTTGAAGACGGTGTGCCAATTTATTTCATTATCCCTCAGGGGAAGGGCCAATTAGGAGAACCGGCTTTAGAAGCTTAGACAGTTGGCAGTGTATAGTAACTCAGTGTAGAGTTCTTTGTTATAGCCTTTTTGTCTCCAGTATGGGAGCATATAGGCCAAAGCACGAACATGTTTAATGAAGGTGGTCATTAGGCCGAAGTTATGAATAATTTCCCATACTACATTGCAATATGCAATTACATAGAAGTGTATGATATTTCAGAGAAATTCTGATAGACAGAAGGTTTAGTTTCTTTTCTCTCAGACCCGTTTTGGAGGAATTTTATATTAAATGCCCATTTAATTTATTGTTTTGGTTTTAACAACAAATCTTTTTATTTGAAATAAACCCGCAGCTCTAACGTGAAATGGATATAGAGTTCATAAACTGTTTTTTTTTGTTTGTTTTTTATTTAGAAAAGCTTCTTGTTTTGCATTTTAATCGATATTTTTTTTTTTTTTTTTAATCCCCTGCTGCCAAGGTTCTCTTGCAATTATGAGATATCTTTCCTAACGATTGCATAGTTTGAAAGGGCAGAGCATAAAGACCAAAAAAAAAACCCTAGAAGCGGAGCTATGAAAATGCATTGATGCACAGTTCCGTATACAAGGCCACATTTACCTTTTATGCTGTTCAAGCAGAGACATCAGAGGCGTGAGAGCTGCTTTGAGTTACAGATCTTCAAACAATATAAGTCAAAACAAAAAATCAATCCCTCCGGTCCCTGGGAGCAGTTATCTAGAGATAAAAGAGAAAAATAAAGTTATGCTAAAGCAGAGAGGGGAAAGGGAACAGATATGCCGAGCAAGAACAGAGCATGAGCAGTACTGAAGTGGACTTCATATGAGCCAACATCAATGAATTTTTATCTTGTCAGAAAAAAGTTTGAGGTTTGCCAACTCTTTTCAGCACAGCTCCAATCTGCTCCAGGGCTGCCTGAAGCTTTGGCCTCAGTAAACCACCCCCTCCCTGCTCCTTTTTCTCCCCTTCATTTCTGAAATCTAATCACATAGGAATTCTGATCTATATTACTGAAGACATGAAACTTTGCTGAATATTTTAAGGTCGACATGAAGACCGTTTGTAGAATCCCTTTCCATCACATTATTAGAATCTTGCTTGCCCATTGATCTTATTCTTTTGCCAAGCATCAATCTGTGTTTCTGTCTGTGCACCCCTGTGTCTGTCAATGGATTTTATTTACTGTACAGTGTGTTTTTTTTATTTTTTATTAACTTACCTGTCAAACTGGGTATGTACTATCACCACGAGACCTAGTGTACAGTTAACTGTATCTTTTACACTCATAAGTGGAAGTGCTTCCTCAAAGGACTTGCAAATATTTTTTATGCCAACAGCCATGGGGCATTTCCTAGTTTGTTGGATTAATGGTACATAGATTAGACTGCCTTTAGTATAGCCAGTTTTTAACATACTGTTCACCCTTCACTTATGGTTTTGTTTGTCTTTTGTTTTGGGATTACCTGACCAATCAATGTGTAATGTGCTGCCAGAATATGCTCTGATACTATGTAAAACTTTTTTTTTTATATATATATACTGCAGAATTTCTTTATTTTAGACTGATCTACTTGTATGCTCCAAACATTTGTAATGATTTCCAAGTGATTAGTTTGTACCAAGAGTGTACAATATTATAACGTTAAGGCCTGTAAGGTATCCCTGTAAGAGATCATCTACTAAGCAATAAATATAATATAGCAGGAATGTGGAACTGCACTCAAACCCATTTGAAATGTATCCGGATGCACCAGACGAGTCCCAGTACCAGGAACCAAATATTTGATGAGGAAAAATAGAAGAGAATTTTTTTCCTACTAAACAATAAAGACTAAAGACAGAATTTTAATGATGTAAATGAGTAAAAAAAAAAATAATTATATTATGGTGCAAACTTAGTGCTCTTGTGGACCCATGTGTCTAGGGAAGCATGACTTCTGCCTACACATCTGAGCTTTGTTATAATGTTTACGTGGGGGAGTGGATGATGGACCTCACCATGCTAATACAGAAATTACACCGCAATAAAAAAAGTGTAAATTTAACACTTTAAAGCATATATATCATTGGATTTTTTTATTTTCAGTTTTTGTAATGTAAAGGGTGTACAAGTTTCAGTCATGGAAATACAGTAACAGTAAATCAAATCCTGGACAAGGTCCATCCCTACATATGTCCAGAGGGCACAGGGATAAAAGGGGGCAGGAGTATGATTAGGACATCATCACCTCAAACCTAAAGTGAGTAAGGACATAGAGTGGCAGCATCACTGAAAAGGTTACTTACTCCACTAGGATTTATCTTCGATGTCGCCAGCGAAAATGTAACAGAAATAAAAAAACAAACATAAGAACCAGGAAGGGATGAAAGACAGAGATAATTGGATTTGTAAAAATTCAGCATTCCTAGTACTCACTATACAGCTTAGTAGCAACTATACGTTAGTTTCATCTTACTGAGAACTAGCAAGTGGAATCCATGTTCTCTGAAACACCATCTTGTGTCATTGCCTTTTATTTATTATGGCAATACCTAAAGTACTTGATTTGTGGATTTGTCCACAGTTATTTGCTCAGAGAGAAAATGCTGAAAGCTTCTAAGCTGTTTCTGCCCTGGGCCTTACTGGGCAACAGTGAAACGAAAGGAAGTTGTGGGCTGGGAGAGAGACTTTTTTTTCATGTAACAAAGTATCTCTGCACTACAAAAGCCTGACCTTTCCCAGGACTTTGATCCTGCTGGCAAATAGAGAGATGATGAACTGGAGGTGAAAAATGCAACATTAAGGAAAGCTGATGTTATTTTTCACACTGAAGGCTCATAGTTCTCCTTATTCATTTCACAATTTAGAAGTTTACTGGAGAACCCCATCCATTGCATTAAAGATATCCCCCCCACTTCTGGAGACCATGTCAGCTGCATTGTTAACATTGCCTTAATTTTCTCGACCTTATGCCTGAATTGATTGTCCTGTCATTTAGCATTTTCAAGAAGGGTTGTCACTAAATGAATGGGTCATTCACTGGTCCTTAAGGGTTTAATATATCTTCATAAATGCTCACATGGACAAAAGGTGATTTACCTAGATCTGAAACGATGAAAATTTCACAGTAGTACAATTGATCAAATTCATGAACTACCATGAATTGTAGTGGTAAATTTTTAATTATTTATTTTATAGTTTTTTTTCGGAGCTCGTTGGCAATTTTTGTGCAGGTAAACTGTTTAACTTGGATGTTGATATTCAGACTTCAGTTTGCTACAGTAAGAATTTTAGTGAATACGCACATCTCTTTATCTTTGCACAAGTTCTAGTGATCTAATTGCTAAATTGTATCACCGAGTGTAAAATATTTTATAATTGCAACCTTAGAATGTAAGCATATAGTCGCATGTTCTTCTTTGCCTGACTAGTTTGTCATGTAGCTTACCCATAGTTCAGTCCTGCAGAGTAAATAATTGCTCCATAATTATTACATTAACCAGATTTTCTGTAATATTTCCCTATTTTGTTTGTAATGTTATTTAAAAAAAAATCAGCATAGTAATGTACTGCCTGAGGTAAAAAACAAACAATCTGTGCCTAGTGTTTACATCCTGTTTAGTTGTAATGAGTCTGTCTTGCACATTTTAGTGCTTAAGACAAAGAAGTCTGCTTTTCAGCTGTTTTTATCTAGTGTGGTCTTCAAGAACAATCTGAATTTGTGTGCAGGCCTCTTATATTCATAATTATGGTGTGCAGCTCTGGCACCGTCAGGTGTGCTTGCATAATTTGCAAAGACCCACAACGATGACAAAGCCGATTGAGGATCCAGTAGCCATGGGGGGGGCAGGGTAAGGTAGGTTATACTTACCTGAACCTGCCCTTATGGGTGCTGCCATGATCCCATACTGTGTTTTTCATTTCCTGGTGCATCAGCTTCCAGGAGCCAGCCCTGTACTCTCTCAGATGCGCAAGAGTACAGTATTGAGGTCTACGGAGGACTGTGAGATCCTCATCGAAAGAGGCTTTTTTTTTTTTTTTTTTTTTTTATCTCCCAGTGACGGCTGGGCATCTGGGTTATAGACAAGCTTGACAATAGGTAGTGCCTCTTTTTAGTCCTTATTTTGTTTCAGTATACCTTTTGAATTTCAGTGAAATTTCACCACAGTAAAGGTATTTCATAAGTATTTTATCTTTATGAAATACTCGTTTTGACAGAGCCACTTTAAAACTTTAAAATTACATTCTTAAACTTACAGATGTCTGATTACACATTCTGAGGCTGTAAATGGATTACTGTGTTTCAATACTGGCCGACTTGTATTCTTTGAATCTTCATCCATCTCAATTAGTATTAACATTTTAAAAATTGGCAATTGATATTTGAAATTGTTGTTAATGGGTTTTGCAAGTAATCAAATATTTACCAATCTTGGTAGCCAGATTCTCAAATTGTGTGAACAATGGTTTAAGAGTCACGAAAGGCCTTTTATTTCTCATACTGTGTCCCAGTTCCTGAAGACAGACTATGTTACACTGAAGGTCAAATGTAAGGAGTCAAGGGTCCTGACATTGGTAAAGAAACAATGATCTGCATTTTGTGGTCCTACTTAATGAGTGATGAGTAGATTCCCATAACCGTGTAATTCTTGAATTAGCTCCCTTTTGTCTGTTCTCCTTCTAAGAAATATGTCTGACCCCACACACCAATAAACTGCTAATACAAGAACCACCATTCATTTCTTTGCTTCAATGAGACTTTCAGTGTTCTACATCCTGTGAGATCTCACTTGTGAGAAACAAAATGTCAACCTCTGATCTTCATTCTCCACTTTCTCTAAAGTTATTTCACACTCTCTTGTGCTGGAAGTTTTCTGTAGTATCTGGTACAGTGTGCTGTTAAAGGTTTCCATTCTGCTCATGTTTGAATAGTGTTACATTTTACTGTGAAACCTTTGGAAAATGCTTCAGGATTGTTATATATAAAGGAGTTTAATCTGGAGTTAGTTGGGTAGTTAATAGTTAAATACATGCATCCAGTAACAGTTTGCAAACGCCGATCCTCCCCTCCCCAGAGCTCAAAAGTCTTAACTCAAAGGAAAACTCCAATGAGAAAAACTAGATTAATTATGAAGTATGTGGAAAGAGAACAAACACTTTGTTTTGAAGATGTCTCTTGCCTTTTGTATTTTCTTTGCCAAAGAGACTTTGTAAATAATCGTATTGTAAGAGTCTGCTATGTGTGTTATACACTAGAGATTGCACATCATGGGGTAATGCATTAAAAGACCGACAGAGGCTCATAGGGGAAAACAGATGTGTTAATAAATCATAAACTGTTTCTACTTGGCTTTTGTACACCACATCAGAGTCTGGAGACCGGGGCTTGCAGCTATTTTGACAAAGGACAAGGAGCTAGTTGGAGTAATTACTGCTCCTTAAACATGGGAAACGTATGTAGCTGACAGTAGGTCATAGGACAGGTCATTCTGTGTCATGTCAACTGAAGGGCTGTGAGGATTATGTTTTAGCTGGAATGACTGCATGCATTGATTGTAGGTGTGGGCATTGACTACGTTTTGCTCGAGGCTATGTGTAGGATGGAGAGAAAAATATTAGCGAATTCACTGCTTAGGGTTATGCATGTATGATTTTGTGGACCGATAATACTAGGTATATTATAAAGTATATTGTTACATTTTTAAATGCAAGTAGTGCTAACTGTTTTTTTGTTTTGTTTTTTTTAACCTGGTTCGTTGTTTTGCAGAACATGTTTTAAGACCAGTCTGTGCTTTCTTTAATTTTATTCTACAAGTAAATATATAAAGCATCTACATTAAAGAGGTATTCTGAGCAACATGACTATTACATCTCAGTGTTGTAGTTCTAGTGCCAAGAATTCCTGGTTGCCATTCCCTCCTCCTTTGTTAAACCGTTTGGGATTGGTTTGACAAAAACTGGACTCTCTCCATCACCCACACATTTTTAGAGTTAAGTGAACTGGATTACAACTAGTTTCTCATCATGGTTTTTCAATTCCAAAATTATGTACGGTACGGAGCCTTAGTCTAGTAACCTGTTTTTGAATTCTAGAATTAACTTCTATTATAAGCCAATTTATTTTATATTCAAACAATAACACATTATTAAAAGTAAACAAAGAAAAAACCTTTTTTATATTGTTGGAGAAGGCAGTGCTACCAGAGGAATAAACAGCCATTGCAAGGCTATACATACATTTTAATATCTATATTTTAAGGCAGATTTTTCTCAGTGAGTGCTCCATATCCCTTGGCTAATTTTACTATGTTTGTATAAAAAAAAATGTGAGGATTGTGAAATATACGGTTTGTGGTTTGAAGGGAGAAGCTGCATTTGCTGTTTTGTTTTTGTCACATAACAGACTGTTTGTCTTATGTATTTTTTAAATCTAGTTTTCCCTGGGATATTTTTCTGTTTTGATTTGGTCCCTTTAAATGAAATGGCTTTATCTTGTTCATTTGCATATGACTTACTGTTCTCTTTCTTTAGAGTTTATATGTGTGTATGCGTGCATGTGCAAGATATATAATAAGCAGTAAATTGTCCATTCTGGTATTGTTTCATTTGTGAATGGAAGGTATTCATGTACACTCTGCTGCTGTGTGTGCTCAGAGCAATTATTGAAACTGAATAAAAGGACAGTATGATAAGATGACTACACTTTAAAAAAACAAAAACATGGGGTTAAAAAATAAACGAACAAAAAAAACATGGGGTTAAAAAACAAACAAACAAAACCAAACAACTGTATAGTACTATTTTGTTTTCTGTAATGGTGAACCCTAACTACCCTCAAGAGCATCAAAATCGAGCACAGTATTGCAGTGGCTATAACCCCAGTGGATTTGAATTCATGCATATTAGTGATGATATATATAATTCTTTTGTTACTTGATAACAAAAAAAAGGAATATAATGCTCGACACACCTACCGGCACTTCTTTCACCCATCACCCGGCAAAATATAAGACAAGGCCAAAGCTTAAAATAAAATCCGAAGGTTCTTATCTCTTTCCCACAGGAAAGCAAATCTGTGTTGAAAACCGTAAAATTAAGAAGAGAGCTAGGATGGCATAATTTAGTGAGAATTCATGGTACTAGATTTTTTTTTTTTTTTTTTTTTTTAGCTTTATGACTGCAGGGATAGGCCAGACGTTAATAAGATACAGTATTGCAACTTCTTAAAGATATTCGTCTCCAGAAAGGAAGCTCTGAAAATATAAAACAAAACCAATGATTTATTTTTTTTATTTGATTTATTTATCTATTTATTTTGTGCCTTTCGGTCAATATCACAAAATGCCACTCAATGTATATTACTTGTTTTAATATGTTGCATATATTAATGAGTATATGAGAGAAAAAGTACATTAACTAAATGTATTATTGGTCTGTATTTGTGTTGTTTCAACTGATGTGTGCTCTATTCTGTGTGTGTGTGTAGGGGGTTCCTTTTTACTGCCTGCATTTTTTTTTTTTCTTTCCTCATTTCTAATATATGATTAAGTAAATAACAGAGTGATACCTCTAGTTAGAGGTGCCCCAGGGCCTTCAGATACTTGGCATGGCAAGGTTACAGAATACTGCGAGAACACAGTGATACATTCTTTCCACAAATGTTCAGGTCATACACAAAGATGGATGTTGTGACACAAGTTTGCAAATAAACGAGCATAGCACCCTGGATATTAGGGGTTGGAAAAACAATTGATTGTCATACCAAGTCTGACTTTCAAAAGGTGTCGCCAGGTAATGACTATATAGGAAGAGCTGTCTGCTGACTTAAATATGGGGAAGCAATCCAAAAGGCCATTCATACCAGAATTTTAGATCTTATCTATTGGTATCTGTAATTTTCAATGCCTGTCCTCAGGGCAGCAGCTGTGAGTGCAAACAGTGTATGAGGCTCTGCCTTCCAACTTTATTGCCATATTACTGTGTCTAGCTGGTCTTTTTGTTTTATTTAAAAAAAAAAAAAAAAAAAAAGAGCGTGAATGGAAATGTCCAGGCTGTTGTTCGTTCTTAGGAATAGGCTATGTTAACAAAAATCCATATATAGCCCAGTTTCAGATTATTCTCTGTTCTCTGTGACCTCAGGATACAATGCTGCTTCAGGGGGAATTCCATTGTTTGCACTTTTAAAATGGTTTTAATCATGCAAAAGTAAATCTGTCTCCTTTTGACAGCTCGCAGTGCTTAACAAGGTTTAACTATATGAATAGAGAACCCACAGAAACATATTCTTATTATGTGTTCTCTAGTTTCTGTATGATTTGATTTTTGCACGCCAGCTTTCATGGAATATGTTCCTCATGATGCTCTCTGTTAGAGTGCCGAAGTGCAACTTTCTCGGGTGTAGGTCGCTAATCTAACTTTAGAACTTAATTGCTTTTGGGTTTCATATACAGCTATAAATGGGAACGATCCGTTATTAGACTGATTTTTAAGTTCTCTTACATATTTTTTGCTTTTTGCTCAATGGCTGACCTCCAAGGTTCATACTGCGGAGTGATTTTTATCGCCAGCATGCTTAAATTAGATATCTTTTGGTTATTATTGTTATTATTCACATTTCTATAACGCCAACATATTCCACAGCGCCTTACATTTATAAATTGTGATATCTGACAACAATTAATTAACATACGGAATATAACGGACAAGAGGTGTAGAAGGCTCTGCTCTAACAAGCTTACAATCTATGAATCTCAAAGTCGCCTCAGTAGACATGTATTTAGTAAGCCTAAACTATAGTCTATTCTCATAGGTATTGCCACCCCGTCAGAACTAGACATATTCTATCTGACAATGTATACATATATGTTGCATAGCCTTAATCCTATTGGATCTGAACTCAGCAGCAAACTGTTTAGGTGTGTGCAAACATATGAGCCTTCCGTTCCATGTTGTGGCATTTTATTGTCTTCTACAAGAAAGCTGATGACGCTTTATTTATTTACATTGTTCTCAACTCAGCCTTGAATTCTGCTAAGTGAAACGCTGTCTACCTAGTCTCTCTATGTAGATAGGAATTCAGTCATTCCAAGCAAACTGGAACAGGACTGGTCCTACGATGAGGCATGGCTCATCAAAAATGACATGGCTTATAAATTACCTGTATGGGCAGTTATTTTTGTTAATCTGAAACGTTCATCATTAGATCTAGTCATGTTCAGTAGTACAGATATGTAATTTTCCTGGGCTTATGTAGTTATAGTAGTTTAAGTTGAAATATTGAGACTTGGAATAATGCATGTTTTGTAATTTAAAAAAAAAATATATTTTTGTGTTCCAGTCAAACAAGGTCCCAGTAGTGCAACCGTCACATGCTGTCCACCCGCTTACACCTCTCATCACATACAGCGACGAGCACTTTGCACCAGGAGCTCATCCATCACATATCCCTTCAGATGTTGGTTCAAAACAAGGTAAAAAGAATTGTATTATTAGGCTAATATAACAATTAATACATTTGAACAGGATCAACTTAAAAGACTATGTTTGGGTAACTTTTATGTAAAAGCTATGAAACATCCTTAGATACATCGCTTCCCGAAGTATGCCAGGTGGGGCTACCACTATTTGTCATCTGTGCATTTTAAGTTCGCTGACCATGGTTGACTTCTGGCTGTATTCTGATTGGCTGAAAACACAGAGGAGCCAATGAAAAAAACTATTAGATTTAAAATACCCAAGTACAATGAGTAAAAGGTATAATTTCTGTAATGAGCACTATGTTTTGTTGTTTTTGTATATGGACAGCTCTGGATTCTATTGAGAATTTCTAAAACCATGACCTGGCTATTGCTTGTGTTTTTTCCTAACTCTAATGGTGCTGTTTTTAATTTTCTTTATTCATTGACCAAAACAAAAAGGACAACCTGTATGACTGATTATTAGTTTGACACTTTTTATTTATTGCTAATGCCAATGTTTGAGTGATCAACATGCAGACTAGCTATGGTTATTGCATTTTTACTATGTGCCCAGCTCCTGTACAAATCATGCAATTAATATTTATTTGTTATTATTTTGAACAATTACTCCATAGAAATAGCTCTAATAATACTGTGTATATTCCATATATTCTACATGCATCATAGCTGTTTTCTGTGTTGCAGACTAAGCTCATGAAAAAATCCCAACAAAATATGGGTTAATCATAATAGTAATAACCTTGCCCTTCCTATTCTACAGAATAACATTGAAAGTTTCAGTCCAAAATAGTAGTCCGTTTGGGAAATTAGATTAGTTTTTATGGAGAGGTACTTGGTCTTTTTATAGGGCTTTGCATTCCCTGGGCTTTGGGGTGGTATGTAATTTCTAAGGGGATTTTTTTATTTTTTTATTTTTTTTTTATTATTTTAACTCTGCAAAAAGTATAACCAATGCAGAGCAAGTTGACCTTGCAGCCCAAAGCCGTCAGTGTGATGAAGAGCTTAGTAGAAGCTGAAATGACAATCGGGAGCCAAGTGAATCATATCAAATGCGAGCATTAGAAGCCTAAAAACGGTTTGTAATTAGCCACTGATCCTCTGTGGTTGCAAATGTAGAGATTTTTTTTTTTTTTTTATGTATCACCTTCAGGGAATGGGTTTTAATGTACAAACCAAATATACAATACCCAATTCTGTTATATTTAAAGCTTGTTGTTCTTTCAATTTTTTTGAATACTTTCCCAATATAATATTTTGTTAATTTTCCAACTTTTTGTAATGTAACACCAAGGCAAGTAAATATATATAAATTTTAATTTATTTGTATTTAAAAACTCCTTTTGGGGAAGGGGACATTTTACTTACAGTGAAATAGGGGTTAAATGGAGATCAGAAACTGGCTAAGCACCTTATAAATGTAAATTTCTTGGTTATTGCATTATGCATGCTGTTCGTGTATATTTTTCCTCATCCGTCGAAAAAATAGAACAGAACTGGAGGACAGTGACTAATCCATTGAGGGCTGAGAAGACCTTAATGTCTTCAGGGGTAAAATAGCAGAACTTGCCACTTTATTTTGCACTGGAGCATAAAATCGTTGTTGTAAACCAGCATATAAAGCTTAAAAATATTATTGGTCAGTATATCTTGCATACACGTTCAGTCATATCTACTATTTGGAACCTCATGTAACCTTGTGCTTTATCGGCAGGCATTCATCGGCGCCCCCAGGGTCCAGATTTACCTACTTTCTACCCCCTATCTCCAGGAGGTGTAGGACAGATGGCACCATCACTTGGATGGTAAGTTTAATTTACATGACCTTTTCATCTGCTGTTTAGTTAAAGCGAACAATAATGGCATTATTCAGTGGCATTATTCATTACAAAGAAATGTTTAAGCTTGCCTTCTGTGAGTGTTTTTAAGATGTCCTTGCTCCAAATTTAAGAAGTCTATTGCCTATAACTAAACATCTTAATGGTATAGGGCAGGGATCTCCTTGGAAACTTGACAATTCTTCTAGAATGTACAGTTTCTGTGCTTGGTTCTATTAAAGGTTGCACATTTAAAGAGACATTCTAAATATCAAAACCACTTCATATTAATTCATAGTTTCTTCTTAGTCCCTGTGCCCATTTTTCTGACAATGTGAAACATTGCTGTTTCACAGAAACTGCATGGTTTACTCTATGCCTAAACCATGTCTCTACTGACTGGCGGACTAACAGCCATTAGAGGCACTTCCTCCGGAATACTTTTGATTTTCAATGTCTTCATGTTTGGTCTCATCACACACAACATGATGATGCCGAATGCCACTAATGCTTCTCACATAGATTATGTGCACTGATGATCTCAGGGGATAGACTGGTGCGAGACGTTTGTCCTGGCATGGTCAATATAATGGCTTTTTAATATGTATTTAGTTTCTTACTAATATTTGGCACTAGCTAGAATCTAAAATAGTGAAGGAATACATCTTTAAAAATCTATTTGTTTTAAAGTTATAGCATTCTTGTAGTGATTAGCAGGTTAGGTCTTTCCAATATTGTTAGTATTTTCCATTGCTATGGCTTGCTAAGGATCTCCTTCACACCTTTTAGACTCATAACCTTATGTTGTGTGACTGATGGCTTGTTTCAACAAGAACAATCTGAGTATTCTAGAATTTGTCTTAATCACGGCTTGAAAGAAGAGTGGAGTCTGGAGTGTCTCACTTCAGCATGTTTTAAACAAAGATTATCAGTGGTGGGATTGTTCCAGGGTGAGGAGATAAAACATTTGTTGGGGTCGAAGCTTGATGAGAGGGGAATAGTGACAACACAAATGATATGGGAAGGCTAGTTGTTGAATTGCTGTTTTGCGTAGAGTTTATTAGATGTGAGAATTATATATTTCACATATTTGCTCTCTGCCCCATTACATTTCTTACCACCGGGCGTATTATTGATCAGAATTCATATAGAAAAAGACTTCCTGTATGTCCATAAAAGGGCACGTTTCATTTAGATGTTTTTAATTATGCGTTAACCACATTTTTTTTTCTAGTTGGTGAGAAGAAAATGGCCCATTTATTAATGTACTGTTATTGAGTTATTTCCTCCAAGGTTTGAAAGCAATACTTCCCTTTTGCTTAAAAATTCCAAACCATGTGTTGTGTGTGTGTGTGTGGTTGAAGAATGGTGAGTCTTGGTATAAAAAAGATCTTTGGGGGTATTTAATCTGTTCCCAATTGTGTTCACATATTTCAATAATTTCATTAGTTATTAAAACAGGCTTTGACCATATAAAACAAAACATTTTTAATTGTTCAGTGCTTGCATGAATATGAGGCATTCATGTTTTCTGCAAAGTAGATTTCAGTGTGTTTTTTTTTCACAAAGTGCTACTTTATAAAACCAGAGTATAAGAGCAAATGTAAATTAGAACATAACAGCAGGATATTCAGTGGGGAAAAGGACCTGGAGGAAGTCTTTCACTCCTCATTTCACTGTATCCCTCTGTTTGTTAATATATTCTTTGGTTTCAATCTACATATTTGTAACTGTTTTTTCCCCCCAAGAATCCTACTAACAAACTATCATGGCAAAGGGGACTTTCTTTATTAATGGGTTACTATTTAATCATTAATATTTTAATAAGACACTGTTTCTAGTCAGATTAATCTCCTCTTGACTACTGCAATCCCCTTCTCAGTGGTCTTACTTGTTCCCAGATTGCATTGCTGCAATCTATTATGAATGCGGCGGCAAGGCTAATTTTCCTGTGCGCCTGCACCCCTTACGCCTCCACCCCTCTGTCAGTCCCTACATTGGCTTCCAATTAAATATAGGGCTCAATTTAAGATTCTGGTGCTTGCTTACAAGTTCCTATATAATGCTGCTCCAACCTACCTATCCTCCCTAATACACGTGTCTGTTAGTCCACCCATTGTACAGCGCTATATAAATAATTAAATAATAATATGGAGTTACTTCTTGTTGCAAACACAAGGAGTCAAACAAGCCAAAGAGTTTCTTTTTGAAGCTGTTGGCCATCTACTCTTGGCTACAGGCATGTGAAGTATGTGGTCCGATAAGGCCTTGCCTTCTTCACTTTACTTGTTCATTCAAGCTTGTTTAATAACCTGACTGGGGTATGAAGACAGAGTACAGCTAAGACTATATGTACAGGTGGAAGGCCAATACTTTGACATAGTTAAAACATTTATCTTTTTTCCAGAATCACCAATTCTAACACTGGCAATATTGCTCCAATTTAAGGAATTCTCAATTGTGTATGCCTCCATTTCACTCTTCATCCTGAATCTGCTGATACATTTATGAATATCCAAGACTGCACGCAGGGTTGTTCTTTCTCCAGTATGTAGACCACAAAGCCATAATCTTTCATTTTGGCACCAAACCCACGTTACCAAAATCCAACCTATTAAGGGGACAACCATGAGCAACTAAAAAAACATAGAAGTTATAACACGTTTTGGACAGTATATTTCTTCTGTGCTGCTCTCCTAGATTAATTGCTCACCCTGGAGGCGATTAAGTTTGAATTCGGGTACTCTTGCTATAGCAATCATGACAATCATCAGAGGCGCTTCAGTTGCTCTGTGATAGTGATGTTAAATAAAGATTACTTGCCTCCTTTGCAGCGCCTAAACTCCTCCACCCATGAACTTGCCCAGTGTGATGCTGCTCAGAGAGAAGCATCAGACGCATTTGATTGACAAATAGACTTTTGCTTGGTTATGGAGACGGAAGAAATGGAAGGACCTCTAGACTCGTGCTTAACCCTTAAATATAAACATTGTAATTTTTACAAAACGGCAATGCTTTACATTAAAAGGTTAAAACTACAGGACCACTGGACTCAGATCATTTTATTGAGAGCTACGGGAACCACATTCTAAGGCAGAAACTTGAACTTTGTTCAATATGTGATAATGAAGAGAAGTGTTTTCTTTTTTGTTTATTTATTAATTTTTTTAACACATCTGGCATCAAAAAATAATTTAGGATGTTTTTGTTTGTATGTTGTCTGATGCATTCTTGCACGCTTGGCGTGCAGGCCGCTTATTGGCCTATGCTTTTTGTTTTGTACATTTACACGCTTGCATTGGTTTTGAATTCTGCCACGGAAGAGGCCAACATAAAAAACTTTTAAAAACCATGTTTTTGATGCTTTTTATTGTATTTGGTTTTGTTTATTATTTCAATGTGGTATAGTGTTTTAAAGGGCTTGTCACAGTAGTTTTACAGTACTATATATAAGAAGCACTTTAGTTTTTTGAAAGTAGTACAGTTTAAGAATAACGGCATGCTAGATAGAAGGATGGCCATGATTGTCATAGAACATGAATACATTACATTACATTTTAAAATGTCAAAGAAATGGAGCTCTTCTATACAAGATGCAACGCACCCACTCATTCACTATACAGAAATATCAACGCTCACAGAATGTAGTAGTTTTTTGTTGAATGTATGTATGTGTGTATGTATATAATGTGTATATATATATATATCTAAACTACACAAAAAATAATGGGCGTTTAGTTGCAGTATATCATTGCCACAATGCAAATGTACCCAATATTTTGTCAGGTCCTATCCTAACAACCTAATGCCTGATATACATATAGTGACACACATTTTTCATACAATGTATATAGACAAAATCTACAGAAAATAAAAATAAAAACTCAGAGTAGTACAGTCAATATACATAAATGCAACAATTTTACAGGTTGCACTCACAAACATATATTGATAGTAGGCTTATCTCAATAGTAAAAGACGATATGAGGTCCTCAACACGAGAGTGTGGGCATGTAGGAGAAAAATAAGAAAAAACAAAATAAGTGTAGATTTTGTCTATATACATTGTATTGTGAGGACTGGAAGGAGTCCTATTTTTCTACAGTTTAGAACCTTTTAGGTATATTATTTTTTGACATTTGTCTGTGTACTTGTTCCACATATTTTCTACAGGTGATAAGTTTGTATTGTTTGTACATTTTTCATACAGCCAGTTTTTCTACCAAAAAAACTATTATGCTCTAGTCCCCTTGAAGGTCTGTTTGTACTAAAGGTCATATGTTTTATCTTTGCTATAAAATACTTTTTAACGATAACTGAGCTTTTTCTAGGTTAATCTTCCCTAAAAGCATAATTTCAATCCTCCCCAGTAACGGGCAATTCATTAAGTGCACAGAGCGTCAGAAATGTGCCATACGTATGTGTGACTTCTATAGCCATTTTATATGAAATCTGCCAATCAATAAACTTGTTTGAACTTAATTGATTGAGCCAGGTCAGCCAGGAATGAATCAATTATTCTGTCTGAACTACTCTTTTTAAATATTTTAATCCAGTTCAAAGTGTAGAGCAGATCCACTCAAAAGGGAACATAGTGCAATTTAATCAGCTCAAAGTGCCCAATAACAACCAATAATACCTAATAGCAATGCTGACCACCCTATGCACTGTAAAGTGATTTTCAGAGGTACCCATAATCCGTGCTGCTGTGTACAGCGAAGGGTAGTTATCAATCTGCTGTAAAATTCTGTCCATACATCTACATTAATTATTTAAAAATATTTATTATAAAATATTTTACCAGGAAAGATACATTGAGATTTCACTTGTTTTCAAGTATGTCCTATAATGGCAGTATTCTAAAAAAAATTTTTTTGTTCTAGGAGTTTATTGATAAAATGTCTGCCCAGTATGTTTGTTCTAATAATTTGGTTTTGTGGCATATATATTTTATTAGTTTCTTCGTTTTATCATTGATTATACTGCAGTGATGCTCTTTCACATTCAAGTCCTCTATGAATATTCTATATCAGACTCTCTTTATATAGTCTATTACTTTTTTATATATATATATATATTTTTTTTTTTTTAAATAATCTTGTTCATATTGAGTTCTGTGTTCCACATTCTTTTTGCTACACATGTACAGAGTAAAGTTTGCTGAATGTGGTTTTGCCTTTGGGAGAATTACACATCTGTCAATACTGACTGATTCAGGAGGAGCCTTAGAATTTGCACTGTTTTCGAAGAATGAATTTTAGGAAGAACAAGTGAAGGACATCTTAATACTGGGTGATAACTCTAGTACACCAACCTGAAAAGGTGCCCACCTCCTCCCAAAACAAAAAAAACACTTATTGGAGTACGAACTGCTGATAAGTGTGTGTTAGAAATAACATGTACCTGTCACGATTATATCTGCAGTTTCCATTCTCCCCTTTATTGGCGACTGGAGAATCGGACGGTTTTGTACAGGTCATGGCATCTAATGGGTTTAAGTGGGTATAACTCAACAAACTTAATTAGCCACCACTGAGTCTCAGAGTCCTTTTGTATCACTTATTTTTAAACCTATGGGATTCAGGAAGCATGTTTCTATAGCACTGGTTGGGTTTGGTTGACAGGTTTGTTAAATACTGAGATAAACATAGAGAAGGGACGAAGTACAGCATAGCATTAATAAATACCAAGTGATACTCAACATAATCTATCTGCTCACACACACAGGAGGAACTGCTCAAATGTTTACATATACACACTTTTATATATATATATATATATTTTTTTTTTTTTATGTATGCTTAAACCCTTAATGACTGCATGATGGTCCCGTTCATGTAGCCATCATGCGTTAGGTCCCTGCTGGTACCAAGGAGCTCCAGGTATTGTTGGACACCTGAGGATTTCCTCTGTCAGCTGGGGCCACAAAAAGTTAGTGCTGCACTGGGTCCCATAAATCATCACACTCAGTCATCATGGTTCTGAGTCTGCCCCAGTATGAAAAGAACCTGGTGTGGTCTCTTTGCATGCCCCTTTTCCCAGTGATTGGTGCTAAGCTTTGCCAGCTGCCCATCACTGATCTCCATTTCAGAAGCTGCAGCATGAGAGGGCGATCTCCCTCTCATGCTGCAATCACACAGTACAGAGTGCTCACAAAACGCTTTGTATTGTTAGCTGGGAAATCCCTCTGCTGATGTCCGTACTGATGTCAGCAAAGGGAATCCCTCTTGGTGGGTGTGAGGCGTTTGATTATGTGTTGGATTATGGTAGGGCTAATGGTTGGATTAGGGAAAGATTAGTGGAAAAGGTATACATGTGTGGTATCATTGTACTCGAGAATAATAGCAGAGTACAAATATAGTAGTAGGGCACAAATTGTCTGTGAATTTGCAATATAAAACACGTGTGAAAAACCAAAGAAATCTTAATTTGACAGAGGTTCATGATAAAATGTTTACATGAAGTATCAAAATGCTTTTAGTTAAATAGTTCTAGCAATTATGCAATGCTGCCATTTTTACTTTTTTTTTATTTTATTTGTTTTTTTATTAAGGTATTCACATCACATGGTTCCTGGACCTCCGGGGCCTCACGCAACTGGAATCCCTCATCCTGCTATTGTCAATCCTCAGGTTAAACAAGAGCATTCACACAGCGACAATGAGCTAATGCATATGTGAGTTTCCTATTAATGTAATTACATGGCTGCTTTGTAACAAATGTTCTCCCGTTTAAATGTAAGTTTCTATGTGAATAAAATTGGTAATGTGTTAGAAAGTGGTAGATGAGCAAATGGCATGTCTTGAAAAGAAAGCGGTAAAAATCAGACTCCACCTTTGTAGTTAATTCCCTACCGCGCAGTTGCACGTCCTTCAAGTAGAAATCCTGAACATTCATGACTGTTCATGACTAAAATCTTCTGGCACCAATCAGTGTTTTCATGAATGGCTATGGTGTAGAAGGGGTGAGTCCTCAAATCTGGGTCAGTGTGACAGTATGTAATGAGAGGAGAACAGAATGCAAACTATAGTGTAGTCACTGTAGTATGTTAGTAGTCGAGTAGTAGAAAAATAATGGAATTGCACATACAGTCCCCTATATTACAGGCTTTCACAATGTGTTACACTCAAAAGGTCCATCACTGTTTAAATAACAAAGTGCAATTTCAAAAATATTGGTCACATGAGGACCTAGTCATGTGACCGTTGGATAATTCGCATAAAAACAACACATAATTAGTAATGAGTCAAATAAAGGCAATGGTGCAGAGGAGAAGATGGAAGATGGCAGCGCCCAATTTTTGCAAATTTGACAAAATCCGCAAACGGTGACAGTCACTTTAAATGTCCCTGAACAGACTGAATAGGGAATGGGCATGGTATATTCCATGAGGGAAGGGAACAACTATGACAAAAACAAGTAAGAAGATAGAACCTAATGGTTTTAACTGGTTATTATAAAAAAAGAAAAAAAACACTTTGTTCTTCTAGATCTCTTAAAGGGAAACTCCAGTGCCAGTTAAACAATCCGTTTTCCTGGCACTGCAGGTCCCCTCTCCCTCCCACCCCCCAATCCCCGGTAGCTGAAGGGGTGAAAACCCCTTCAGTCACTTTTTAGAGGCAGCAATGATGTCCGGTGGGTGAGATGTCCGATTGTGTCGGCCGGTGGGTGAGACTGATCCCGCCCACCGGCCGGGGAGACAAAATGCGCATGTGCGGCAATGCCGCGCGTGCGCATTAGCGCTCCCCAAAGGAAAGCACTGAAAATGCATTTCAATGCTTTCCTATGGGGAAATGAGCGACGCTGGAGGTCCTCACACAGCGTGAGGACGTCCAACGACAATGTGCTAGAAACCAGGAAGTGCCCTCTACTGGCTGTCTAGTAGACAGCCACTAGAGGTGGAGTTAACCCTGCAAGGTAATTATTGCAGTTTGTAAAAAACTGCAATAATTACACATGCAGGGTTAAGAGTAGTGGGAGTTGGCACCCAGACCACTCCAATGGGCAGAAGTGGTCTAGGTGTCTGGAGTGTCCCTTTAAGTTTATGTTCTGGTGTAGTTTGTACATGTTAAAATGTAGTGTAGTGTGAAGTACACTCAGACAGTGACATTTTAGGAACTAGGTGTTTGTGGTCTAATGTCTCTTGCCATCTATAAATGCCTCTTTCCATAGGTATGCATGCAGCCAAAGAAATATTTGCATGACTCTGCCATTGGGTTCATTCAAAATTGCAATGAATAAAAAATTACTTTATGTTCCTTGATTAATTAAAATTAATTATAATGTAGCAGACAAACTTTTCACACCGTACTAAGGGTCGCTTCATACAGTCACAGCCGTTTGAGTTTGAACATCCTCTTGCTTTACTTGAAATGTTGCCGCTTGTTTCAGTACAACTCTCTCTTCCTTTCAGGAAATCTCATCATGAACAGAGAAAGGAGCAGGAGCCAAAAAGACCTCATATAAAGAAACCTCTGAACGCTTTCATGCTTTATATGAAAGAAATGAGAGCAAACGTAGTAGCTGAGTGTACACTTAAAGAAAGTGCCGCCATCAATCAGATTCTTGGCAGACGGGTAAGTAGAAGGATGTTACCATTTGCTCAGATCGCCCTTTCATTGTAATAGGTGAATTTTTGTGAATTTTATATGGACTGCACAATGGTCGTTTCACTTTATCTGATGTGCTTGAATTATTTTTGTGAAAGTATAAACTCTGTGTCAGAATTTACACTTCACAATGTGTATGCAAAATAATTCTTAAACGTGTGACCTTTAACAAATCGCTAGAGCAACAACATGGCAAAGCTTTTGGTGAAGAGATCCCCTACGCTCACTCTTAGCCCTGAAAGTGGCAAAAAAATAACTTTTACAAAATCAGTCCAGCTCTAAGCCAGCCCACCAGAGCTGTCAATCAGCAGCCAGAATTCTATCATTTGGGCCATTCACATGCACAACTAGAACTGATTTCTCTCCCCTATCCAAAAGGAGATTGGAACCTTGGTCTTCTGCCCTGCCAATTGCTACATTATCTTGTTCACAAAACTGACCTGGGCTGTATTTATAGTAAGATTTTACTGAGTAGATTTGCCGATGTGGAATACCGCTTAAACCAATGGACCGAGATTGCACTTTTGTTTTAGGTGGGATTTTGTAAGATCTAAGGATGATAGTTAAAGGGCCTATTTGGGAGGTTTTGTATTATGCATCCCCAGCAGAGGGGATATTTGGGGAGTTTTTGCTTATGTATGCACCAGTTGATGGGTTTTGTATTATGCATGCTGTAGTAGAGAAGATATTTGGGAAGGCCCTCAGCAGAGAGGATACTTGGACCTTTGGATAATGCATACACCAGTAGAGTGGATACTGGAGTTTTGGGTTATGCATGTCCCAAGAGGGATGCTTGTGAGGTCCAGATTATGCATGCACCAATAAATGGATTCTTTGGAGATTTGGATTATGTGTGCATCAACATAGGGGATACTTGGGAGGAGTGAATTAAACACGCACCGATAATGTGAATAACTGGGAGGTTTAAATTATGCACATACAAAAGATTGAAAATACCTCCATTTGCAGAGAGACCATTCACAAAGAGAGTGGTCACAGTACATCTTGAAGGCACATAAAATAAGGATTTAGAATAGCTGTCACCCATACTGACATCACAGTTCATGGTAATGGTGTCCACCAGATGGAATTAAGCTGTGTGCTGCCCAGATGTGACTGGTTCACGGAAAGATAGAAATGCTTTACTCAGCAATATTCATTTACAGTAAGAATTGAGTCAGTGTTTTACCTCCTCTTTATTTCCTGTGACTCACAGGTTTCCAGGAACATTATTATCCTCCCTGTTTATCTATATGTATGTGTATTCCTGGTTTGGGAGTTTTTTGTTTTGTGCCCTTTGCTTCACAGGTTACTAAAAAATACATAAAACTTGTGTACATTTTGGGTGGTTCAAATATAGTCCAGGACTTTATAACCATTTAATACATTTTATTTTTTCACTAAACATATGCCAAAGGTTTGTAAATACACAGCTCAGTCCAGCAACCAGATGCTACGTGGTAATCATTCCCATGTGCATTAATCTTTCTAAAATATGAGTGGATAAAGGGTTTGTGGTTTAATATTCAGATGCAGGCAGCACTGGGCTTCCTTGTAGTTCTGAATATAAAAGTAAAACATTTAATGAGAAACCTGTCCTTGTAAATTTCTGCCAATGGTTTTTATGTTTTCCATAAAATTTTCTATTTGGTTGGTGGGTTTGATGAATCAAGTAATGTAATCTCAATATCTGTATGTGCTGCTTCATTAGTACATTTCTTAAAGGGATATTATACTCACCCATAATACTTCCATTCAATTAAGTGTTCAGGTCTAGTGATCTTGTCCATTTAACCCTGCAGTCCAATGTTTACATTGCAGGGTTAAGTCACCCTCTAGTGGCTGCCAGTATGACTGCCAGTATGGCAGTTACTAGAGGCGATACTGTTGCACTAACCACGTAAATCTTGGTCATGTGACTCAAAGCCTCTTGAGGAAATTATTATTCAATGTGTTCCTTTAAATCTAATATAATTCTCTTACTCTGCCTTTGCCATGTGTTATAGAAGATCCTAACTTTAATATGAAAGGAACACCATAGCATTAGGGATACAAACCTGTATTCCCATCACTGTAGTTTTACCCTGGTTTCTCTCCTCTCCCTGTGAGGATGTGATAACAAGACAGCCTCTAGAGGGGTGTTTAACACTGCAATGAAAACATTTTGGTTTCTACAAAATGGCAGTGTTTTACATTGCAAGGATGAAATGGAAGAGGAACTTTTGACTTTTATTATTTAATTAATAATGTGTGTCTTTCAATGCAAATACATTTTCATAAAAAACAAAACGCTGTAACGCTGTAAAGTTACCTAACTGATATTTAGTTCCCTAGTGTGATTTTGTTAATTTTTGAAGATTACTTTATTCCAATTAGAATACACAGAACATTCATTAACTTTACCCAAAACACAGATGAGTCATAGAAGTAATTCTGGTGTAAATATTGCGAGGACATAGGGTAATCATCATAGAATAATTGCATTAATTTTTATTTATTTTTTATTTATTTTTATTCTTTTGTTTGATCACCTCTCTCTTGTGAGATAAGCAATAATTTGCCAGAAAAATACAAATAATAACAATACTGGATGCAGGCATAAAATAACAGGCTCTCTATTATTGGTGTCTTGTACATTGAGGTGAGTGTTTTTAGGGTTATGGGGAAGCCTGGGCCGGCTCGTCGTGTACATTATGTTGAGTGGCCTCGGTATGGGGCAACAGTAGGTTACTTTAATTGTACCGTTCTGTATTATGGATTTTGACTCTGGTTCTTCTAGGTCTGGTGGTTATACGTGTAGAGGCCATCGAGAACAAGATTAAAACTAAAGAGAAACCAAAACGGTTAGAGTTGTGTTGGCATGTAATCTGCGCGTGGACTAGGCTATCCAGGATATAAACTTGTAGATTTTGTTCACCTCTTGGGACTTCGTATATTCGACTGGGCACAATTCGTTTTACACCCTTGGGTATAGCTTGGGTAGAACTGGGTGATAGGCCTTAATGACCCTCGACGGGGGCGAAAGGACTTCATGTAAGTCGGTGTCTTGAAGCATGTAAAACATGTACAGAGATAACAAACAAAGCTAACAACTTTAACTTAAAACGTTGTGGCTGCTGTCTACGTGTCCGATGGGAAAAGGGGGTGACTTTCGCCATGTCCCAAGTATGTATGTGGTGGTGCTGGAATGCCGCGTGGGCCAGGCATGACCATAGAGTCCTGCGGGAGACCCAGGGTCTCAGTCCGATCATGAACTGCGTGGGTAACATTCTCGGGTATCGCCATTTGTATCAGAGGTCTTTGTTTCTGAGTAATGCCGAGAAGGGTTGCAGGGATTTTCTCCATTTTAGTGTTTCTACTGAGAGGTCGGTGTAAAATGTAAGTGACATGTTTTCGAACTCGTATGGCGAGGTCCCCTTCAGTGCCGCCAGTACTGCCCCCTTATCCCTGTTACAGGTAAATCGTACCACTTGGTCCCTAGTGGCGGACTCCAGTGCTCTCTAGGGTTTTGGAACTCGGAAGATCCCATCGATATTGATACTTTTTCCCTGTTTGGGAGTCAGCAAGGCCCCTATCAGCCTCCCCACCAGGTGTGGGAGCTCTACCGCTGGTAATTCGTCGGGTACACCTCATACCTTGATATTGTTGCAGCGCCGTGTGTCTTCCAGGAGGGCAATCCAAGGCTCGAAGGTGAGTTGTTGTTTTTTAAGGCATTGCTCTTCATTTTCTAGAGAGGCAAGCTGTTGGGATTGCTGTGTGGATGCTGTTTCCACGGTCCCTATGCGACCCACAAGGTCTGAGAGGTCAGAGCAGAGTGAGGCCATGTCCGCCTGAATGGTTTTTTGAAGGCTGGCGAGCAGTTCTTTTAGTGTGACTGTGGTCACAGGCTGGGAGTCAGCACATATATATATTAATTTGTTCTCCTACCCCCACAGACCCCACACCACACAATAGCTCCCTAATACACACACACAATTACCCCCATACACACACAATTACTCCCCCATACACACACACACTGCCACCCATGCACACAATTACCCCCCATACACACACACATTGCCCCCGTACACACTGTATCCCTCATGCACAAACTGCCCCACATGCACACACTGCACCCCTCATACCCCCCCCACACACACACACTGCCACCCATGCACACAATTACCCCCATACACACACACATTGCCCCCGTACACACTGCATCCCTCACATGCACACTGCACCCTGTACACACACCCACTGCATCCCTCACATGCACACTGTACACACACACACACTGCAACCCTCACATACACACACATATTGCACACCTCATACACACACACTACAGCCCCTCTCCTGGCTGACCCCAGGTAAGTTGTCAAACTGTTTTTAAACATTTTGACTACTTACCCTGGGAGGGCACTACGGCATTCCTAGCACCATACCTACTACAACGTAACGTAGTGGTTATTGTGCCTGGATAGTTTCTTTAAGTAATCTATCAGTGCCACTCCCAAGATTAGGGGCCCATTATATGCCATAGCACTGTAGATATATACAACCTAGAAAATTGTTTTGACTTGGAGTGCCTTGGAAAAATATTGAAATATTAAGGGTGTCTTGAACCTAAAAAGCTTGGGAACCACTGGGATAGACACTGTCAGAGCTACATCCAGCAACTATAAATAATTAAATCTTATTGAAAACCACTTTGTTAAAAACAATAACAATACAGCATGTAGACTCATGTTTATCCACTGGTTACAATTATAAAGTCTGTCAAGATCTCGTAAATCTTTTAACGTTGTACACCTCCTTCTACCACTTGTACCACATCCCACTTTTTCCAACAATACTATTACTCTGCTTATTGTCCCCAACTACAAATAGAAAGGCATAGCCTGTAATTGTGGGAGGGGTTACCCGGCTATAAAAACATGGGCCACCCCTCTCACTGGACTGTTAACGCCGGGTTCAGCCCACCCACCACTCCACTTTTACAAACCATTCATTTGGTGAGCCCTCTTTATTTACAGGCCTACTCGAACGTCGGTCCCGGCACACCTCAACCAACTTGTACCACATCCTACTTATTTCAACAATACTGTTACTCTGCTTATTATATATATATTTATAGACACACACACTTTAAGCATCCATAAGTGTCATACTATTCAAATCATAACTTTTTCCCTCACCAGCACACTGGCAACAAAGTCAGTGTGCCAATATCACTGAGATGGTGTGCCTTTCTTAGTGATGCGTCCCCAAGCAGGGCAAATCAAAGAAGAGGGCAAAGCAGAGTATTGCCCGAAGGTGGGCAGGAAAGCAGGAGAGGTGAGTAAATCTCTATATTTTACGTTGAATGCATCTTGCATCTTTGTGATATATGGTGTATTCTATGTACATAGAAGCGATTTCAGATCCTCTTGATAATATCTGATACATCTTTAGTAATTATTAAAATCTTCTGTAAAGGCAAATTCAGTTGCATGAAATTAAAAATTTTTATCTACACATTTTGATCAGATCTGTTGCGCCGATCACAAAATTCTTTATTACAACTTAAAAGAAAATGTATATTTTATAAACTGCTTGCTCCAAGGCATAAAAAGTAACAAAAAAAAACGTAAGACCAATAACCAAATTAGTTAAAATAAAATAAAATTTGTGTAAAAAAATCGAGTGGTTAAGTAAAAATCTAGCACATTTGCCTTATTATTAATATTATCAGTTATAGCATTACCAAACTGGCTTTTTCAAGGAAGATTTCTGCGTTTGATAGAGAAACTCCATAGTAGTCCCAGTCGTTATATTTTACAGCAGTTTCCTGGCACAGTGTGTGGCACCGTATCGTGGTAGTAAAGGTGATTTAACTGTTCAGGATCTCTTTGGTCCTGAAGGGTCTATACCCCACAACATGCAGTTGGTTTCTGAGAAATCTCTTCCTGTTTTGATGTTTTCATTCCACGAGCTGGAACATCATTGATATCAGTGCAGTATACATTTTAACCTATTTCTGTACTTTAATGGTCTAGAAAACATGCACTAATTACTTAAAACCACTTGACAGGTTAGAGCCCTACTGTGGGTTATGCTGTCCTTACAAAAGATCAATATGATCAAATATATCCACCCCAGCTCTGCTACGATAGTTACGGTCTATTTTAACATGGTTAAAAGTAGGTAAAGAGCCGCTAGCACTAATTAGGAGTGTCTTGCAAACCTCTTGGAGATAAATCATTAATGATCATGAGTTTCTGTATATAGCACAATTTAGATCCCCACTGCATATTAGGAACCATAATTAAACACATACAATATTCAATTTCATTAACCTTGTTTTGTTGTTCGGCTTGAATGTTAACCTGTTTTTCTTTTATTTATTTATTTTACTTTTGGATTACTATATTTTATCATTTAACAGATACATGTTCCTTAGGATAAGCATTTACATCTACCCTTTGCAAATGTCTAATCTCCATGCCTAAGGCTATCAAACCTTCCTCTCTTAAGACCTGTACATCCACCATAGCATTTTCCATGGCAACATAACGCCTATTCACTTCCTAGGCACATATGTCACACTGACTGATGGAAATCCCACCGTAAAAATGGATTACGGTGACTCCATTTGAAGGATTTGTGATTGACTATATGGCAAATAACAGTATGTTAATTCAGAAGCAGGTATCCAGCACTGTATGTTTAGCAGAAACCTGCTAGTTAATCATTGCAGCCTGGGATAATCAGACTATTAAATTTTCCTGTATTCACTTTATCTTCTCATTTTTATTCCACGTTTAAGTATGTAATGGGTGCTTTGATAACTTCAGATTTCATGGTTTAGGGGAGAGATTAGCTACTGGTCTCTGCATAGAACTTTGTGTGCTGGATGTTTTTATTTTAATATGACATATATAAAGGAAAAAAAATGGTTTTCAAGCTGATTTTTTTTTTTTTTTTTTGGAGGGGGGAGGGGAGGGGCTCGCTTTAATTTCTCCCTGGAACGATAGAAATAAATGTAACTGAGAAGCATTAAAGAAAAATGGGAGAAAAAAAACAGTCAATACCACTGTAAAATTCAAGAGAAAATGTTTTCTAGAAAGCAGAGCAATTTAGCTGCTAAAACAGAAAAAGAGAAGAATTGACTAGATAACTTCAAATTTTAGGCTAAAATCAATTAGAAGAGCGATTTATGGGGAGAAGTGTTCACATCCTGCTGTTTTTGCTGAAAATTTGCAACCCACTGCTCAAATATTCATGTTGGTGAATGACCCCCATTGTGCTTGAAGGGGAGGAATGTAGCTAGATAGTAATAAGATGTATATGCAACACAGCTACATTAAGGTGCAAAGACAAACATTTGTAAACATGTTTTAATCATTGCACCTGCAAAATAAAACATGTTGCTCATTCAATTTTCTCAATAAGCTTTCCATTATTGAAAATAGGAAACTTCTTTTGTGTGTAAAATATAAGCTTGCAGGCAGAGGTCACAAAACCAATCAACTAATCCTGGTAAAACATTTAGTTACACCGTTTGCTAATTGCATTTAGCACTGCAGATTTTATTTGATGTTTTATAATATGTAATAAAACCAAGAAAATGTGTGTTCTATTATATTGATAAATGGTATCTATGGCAATTCTATATAAAAGCAATAATGGCTAAACTTCACATCTCAGAATATTGTGAATGGTATTTTTCACAATCATTTTGGAAAAAGTTCAGAAACATCTATGTTTAAAACGTTAGCCATTCAGACTACAAAGTATATATGTATCAAAGGGACACCGGTTATTTTCAAGCTGTCTGCTTGCTATCTTTGCTGGTGTAGGGAATTGTATTGGTTTTTGCAATGTATTGTTAATTTTGCCTTAAAACTGTAGTAGACCTTTTATTACATTGTATTTTTAATTTTCTCCCCATAGTGGCATGCTTTATCCCGTGAGGAACAGGCCAAATATTATGAATTAGCCCGCAAAGAAAGGCAGCTACACATGCAGCTTTATCCAGGATGGTCTGCAAGAGACAACTACGTAAGTATCACTCCAGCACTTGTAGGTGCCACATCATTTATATTATATTATAATATTACAGCAGGTCCTGGGAGAAACATTTGTGCATTTTTTCCCATGTATATCTGCCAACAGTGGTGGTATCCTGCCGAATTGAATCATGCTACACATACAAATCTAAGGATTCAAATGCAATAATCGTTTTAATACTATAATTCATGTAGCAAAGTATGGAAAGGTAGTAATGTAAAGGAAATCATACACTGCATATTTAAAGAGACACTATAGTCACCAAGTCAACTTTAGCTTAAAGGGACACTATAAGCACCCATACCACTTCAGCCCATTGCCATGGTCTGGGTGCCAACTCCCATCCCCCTTAACCCTGAACATCTAATTATTGCAGTTTTTGTAAATTGCAATAATTACCTTGCAGGGTTAAGTCCTCCTCTAGTGGCTGTCTACAAGACAGCCACTAGAGGACTTCCGGGTTCTTAGACGACTTTTGGTCATCTAAATGACGCTGGACGTCCTCACGCTCTGCATGAGGTCTTCCAGCGTCACCGGAATCCCCTTAGGAAAGCAATGAATAATGCTTTCCTATGGGAAGATCCTAATGTGAGCGCGGCCATTGGGCCTTTGAATTAGGCGTTGGGGGAGCTGAGCCAGCGCTGAGGGACATCGCGCGCTGGACCCAGGTAAGTGACAGAAGGGGAAGCTATAGTACCAGGAAAACATGTTAGTTTGCTATGTGAGGACCTCCAGTGTCGCTAAAATCCCCATAGGAAAGCATTGAAAGCATTTTCAATGCTTTCCTATGGGGAGGTCTAATGTGCATTAGGTCTCCCCCGCCAGCGGCCGCACATACACAGTCGGTCTCCCCCGCCGGCTGACGTCGGGGGAGGAGCGTGGGCGGACCATAAACCACAGCCGAGGGACATCAGCGGTGGTCTCAGGTAAGTCACTGAAGGGGTTTTCACCCCTTCAGCAACATGGGGTGGGAAGGAGAGGGGACCTACAGTGCCAGGAAAATGGATTGTTTTCCTGGCACTGGAATGTCCCTTTAATTCCTAGATAGCAGAGAATTGAGCATTAAACTAAAGTTGTTTTGGTGACAATAGTATCCCATTAAGATATCCACACCACCACCCAGATTTCCTTTCCCTATAATGCTTCATTTGGAATGTGTTTGTTTATAATAATAATACTCTTTATGGAATTGTTATTAACAAATGTTCAAAACATCATCAAAAGCAGCTGTAAGATGAAGACAGGTTTGTTGGTTCAGTTACAGTATATGTTACAGTATATATTTAAGCTAGTCTTTTCTATCTGAGTGCCAAACACTTTTTAATGAAAGCTGAAAAAAAATCTATTTTTAGACTCTGGCTTTGGTCCGTTATTTACCCAATTAAGAGTTCTTGCAATCCTTTGTCTCCACTTTGATTATGCTTATCTAAGTTAGACATTTTATCTACTATCTGTCAAGCTACATCCTAAGGAAGCATGTACAATAGCAGAAAACCATGTCTAATGGGATACAGATGTGCCTACAAAAACCCGCATGACAGTGTTCTGAATGTCTCTTATGTTGGATTGACTTTTGAACACCTTATGTTTAAATGTTCGAGAACTATGACGTTTTCTTTAACGGTTTCAGAGTCAGTAACTAGTATTGCAACTTGAATGGTTACTGCAGACATTTTTCTGTAGATATTGTGACTAACATTTTGCTGTTTAGTTTAAATGATATAATTCTCCCCCTCAAAAATAAGAATTTACAAGATTTTTTTTAATGTATTTATTTTTAGAGTACTAAAATTGCTAGACATGGTTGAAATTCCTTTTCACCAATACATACACTTACAGTGAATGCCTAAAAGCAGTTACGTGGTTAACCCTTTCTCCATTATAGGGAAAACTCCCCATTCTAGGTTATTATTCAGAAAATATTTTTCATATAATTTTTTGATATGCCCAGTCTGTCATGTGTGCTAGCTCACTGTGTCCTTGGATCACATTTGTGTTGATTCTCTTCCAAGGGGATTTAAAGATGGGCGCCCACATAGAGCAACAGTAGGCCTGGATATGCACTAAATCACAGAGACTGTAATACATGAAGTCTTATAATAAGACTTCATGTGACAATTTTCCTCTAAGTGCTGGTTCTTTAGGACATATTGGCATTAATTGGAAGCATAGAATCAGTAATGGCTGATCATGGTCCATGTTCCCTCCCAAGGGAGTACAACCTGTAAAGGGACACTATAGTCACCTGAACAACTTTAGCTTAATGAAGCAGTTTTGGTGTATAGAACATGCCCCTGCAGCCTCACTGCTCAATCGTCTGCCATTTAGGAGTTAAATCCCTTTGGTTATGAACCCTAGTCACACCTCCCTGCATGTGACTTGCACAGCCTTCCATAAACACTTCCTGTAAAGAGAGCCCTATTTAGGCTTTCTTTATTGCAAGTTCTGTTTAATTAAGATTTTCTTATCCCCTGCTATGTTAATAGCTTGCTAGACCCTGCAAGAGCCTCCTGTATGTGATTCAAGTTCAATTTAGAGATTGAGATACAATTATTTAAGGTAAATTACATCTGTTTGAAAGTGAAACCAGTTTTTTTTTTTTCATGCAGGCTCTGTCAATCATAGCCAGGGGAGGTGTGGCTAGGGCTGCATAAACAGAAACAACGTGATTTAACTCCTAAATGGCAGTGAAATTGCAGGGGAATGATCTATACACTAAAACGGCTTTATTTAGCTAAAGTAATTTAGGTGACTATAGTGTTCCTTTAGTTTGAGCAGTATGGTAATGAAACACACTACATTTACTTGTAAATGTCATTCACCTGTTGTTCAGCATTGTGAGTTATGTTGCCATTTTATATTTATTTTATATGCAATTTCAGGGTAAAAAAAAGAAGAGAAAGCGAGAAAAGCTCCAGGAATCCACTTCAGGTTAGTTTGCCAGATTGCCATAATATTCCAAATAATACTAAAATGAATGTTGTCATAAGAGTAAACTCAATGTATTATTTTTCCGCGTGGTTATTCTCTCACCATATCTTACTACGTAGTGAATAAAATTCCAAGTAATATCAGTATGTTGGACGTTTGCCGAGTTAGTTGACAGTTAACAGCTTTGGTTATATTTCTTCCACGGCAACATGTGTTCCACGTTCATAAATAATCATCGAATACTGTTACTATTGAAAGCTGAATGGTATTCCTCCCAACATTGGGAAATATGAAGGGGGAGGTTGGTTAGAACAGTAGGGGATGTAGCTGGGATACTTTGTAAATGATGGTGTGTGGACAGTCCATCCAAAAGCCAGGTCACCCAGATTGGGATGTGTAAGCAAGACCAGCACACTCGATATTGACGATATTGCTGCTTTTGATAATCAATCTTCCTGCTCTGTTGATCAGCTCCAAAACTTCATATAGCCATTATAACTTCCTAATGGCTGGCTGCACATCACGTGAACCATAGTTCTTAAACCTTTTCAGGGACAAGGTCAACCACCGCAGCTCCATATACCTTATTCAAGAATATACGGTATATTATGGCAACTGCAAGGATTCTCTCATTGAGACTTCTTAATTATGCTTCCTCCAGCCACTGCATGGTTCCTAGAAGTTGGCATCAAAGAAAAAGAAAACCCAAACCTCCCCACCGCATAAAGCAAATGTCCGGCTATATTAAATCAGTTGCTAGTTTATTACCTACAATAGTCTTCATTTTCTAAATGGCCAGGTTTGTAGGATACTGCAGTGACTTCACTTTGACTTGAAAATGTCTGTAAGCTCACGTTTGTTTCCCACTCTTCTGACTTTTTCATCCTGTAATCTGCCCTTTTGGTTTGTATTTACTTTTAGAGTATCTTGGTGACACTAATTTAATGTCACACGTGATTTTTCATGATTTGGAGTTTCCTAGTTCCCCTTGAAGTAACATTTGGTGGACCTTTTAATCACCACTATAGCCTGCTAGACTAACTATTAGCTTCCAGATACACTTGTGATCTTGATTACAGAATATATTGTCATTTGTATTGTTCTTTATTTAAATTTGACCTCTATTGCCCTCCAGGATCTAGGTCTGACCATTTGGTTTGCGTGTCATGTTTATTGGCTGTTAATTTCTCTGACCAACTGTTTAAAGATCCCAAACATTATGTAATATTAGCAGTTGGGTTGAAAGTCACATTTGTTTCCATGGAATGAAAAGCATTGCAACAGCAAATAGCAGAAATTAGCACTCCATGGAGATCAGAATGTCTAACCCATTAACTTTGCAAGGAAGCGTGTTCACTCAGACACATGAAGCCAAGCCTTCTCTAGTTCAGTTTGATTCTCTTTAATTCTACTCCAATCTTGTACATCACGCTCTCTCCAGTAATGGGCACAAAGGTAGCAACATTTTGTTATTTTGTTGGATTCCATTTGATTATCTCAAAGCATGTGGTTTTTCAAAGTCCATAACGTTATACATAAGGAACAACCATTCAGATCAACTTAAATATTTAATTTATATTTTCAAAGATTGCTCTCTTAGAATTGTGTTGTCCATTGGCGTGTCATTCTGTACCAATTTTTACACTAAGTAATGATTGCCATGAGCCTTGAACGTAAAAAATATTGTACAGGTGGACAATTCCAAAACACGTTGGACATACAACTGATAAGTTCCTATATAGAATATTTGCGATGAACGTAATGTCTTTTCCCTTAACTTAAACATTGGCACCGTCCGTGTTTTAACTCTTAAAAGTGTAAAATAAAATAATTTAAAAAAATTAGATTGTAACGTGGCATGGATCTCTGTTTATTTAGCTTTTCCATGGATTTTTAATTCAAATTCTTTCTTTGCCCTTTGAGCATTAGAGAGGCAGCGCTTTGATTCATTTCTCAAGCAGGGAATAGTCATAAAAAAGCATAACCACCTGGGAGTTATTGACTAACAGACTAGTTATTGACCTGAAGTTATGACTCAAAGCGAGTCTTTGAGGACTAAGTGACACTTCATTCAATATTTATACTTGCACTTCGAGATGAAATGCAGGCCAAATCTGAATGCTGCATGCTTAAATCTGTGCCTAGCTATAAGCTAAATGCAATAAAAAATGTGCTGCATCTCTTTTGGAGCTGTTAGTGCTGGTAGTTTGAGGCTCACTTTATGGCCAAAATACATTGCTGATTATTGATAGGGGCATAAAAATTACTTTAATTTTAAGGATGTGGGTGTGTCCAGGGGTGGGACTGTTCTGTGAAATTTTAGGTGACTTACTAATAACAATTTAACCATTATGTAATTCAGAACAAGAGCAATGTACCTTATATACATAGACTGATTTATAAACACATTTATTGGAGTTTAAAGACACATTGCTGTGAATATCATTGCTGTGGAGCTCTGTTATACAGTCACACACCAACAAAGTGAAGCTCGTAGAAAAGAGGGATATTTGGAGAGAAATCTGGACACTAGGCAGATAAATTAGAATGCTCAGAGAGATCATTATTTTTACCTGGCGCCCAATTTTATATGGGTTTCCTTGATTAAACCTTAAGACATGTTGCTGGCATATTAGTGAGTAGTGATGTATGGACCAAGGAAACCAACACAAATATATCATATACAGTATTTGAGGGTCCTCCTTTTACAGTTTTTATCAGTTTACACAAACTAGAGTATGTGACCTGTGGAACCCATGTTTTGTTTTGTTGTTTTGTTTGTTTTTTCTCTATGCCTTTTTGTATCTTTATTCCACACACCTGGCCACTTGCCTTTATTGATATTTGTTATATTTTCTTTTTTTTTGTGTGCTGGATCTCGGTATCTGTGAGCAGTCCTTTTATTTTCCTCTGTCCATATTGTATGCATTTTGCTCTTCTATGGAACTTGTTTCACTGATGGTTTGTGGGTAAATTTCATTGGCCTCAACATAACCTTGTTTAAAGGACCACTATAGGCACTATATGGCCTGCCACTTCAGCTCAATGAAGTGGTCAGGGGGCCAGGTTCCCCAAGTTGTAACCCTGCAGCTGAAAACCTAGCAGTTTTAGAAAAACTGCTATGTTTAGCGGAGGGTTAATCCAGCCTCTAGTGGCTGTCTCACTGACCGCCGTTAGAGGCACTTCCGCGATTCTCACAATGAAAATAACAGTGAGAAGACGCTGGACGTCTGTAGGAAAGCATTGAGTAATGCTTTCCTATGGGCGGTTTGAATGCGCGGTCTTGCTGCGCATGCGCAGTCTGAGCTGACGTCGGCAGAGGGAGGAGAGTACCCGAGCAGGGAGACCAGCGCTGGAGAAAGGTAAGTGGATGAAGGGGTTTTAACCCCTTCAGCCCAGCAGAAGGGGGGCCCTGAAGGTGGGGGGGACCTAATGACCCAATAGTGCCAGGAAAAAGAGTTTGTTTTCCTGGCACTATAGTGGTCCTTTAAGCTCAGCCCATTGCCAAGTTTTTCAGCGTGACTGAAATACACGAGAAAAGTAGTCCTTTCTTTTTATTAGTTATTTTATGAAAATTAGAGTGTATATAAAATATAATATATACATACATATATATTATACCAACTGCTGAAAAAAAAAAAAGATAAATTGACCTAACTCTATTGGGAGGGGTGTATACATGTCAGACTTAATATGAAGACACTGCGTGTTGGGTTTATTTTCATATTAATCTAATAGCTGGTATAACAACCATTATGCACACTCTGATTGTGAAAGCCGAAATACAATGTAAAACATTTCATCTACAATTTTGTTAAAAGACCCAAATTTTGCAGGTGCAGGCCCGCCAAGAATGACAGCAGCCTACATCTGAAGCATGGTAAGACTCTCTTTAGCTTTAATATCAGTATATGATGGGGTAAAAGCTGTTTTTCAGAAATGCCCATCACTTGTAATCTATGTCAGCTAAAGAGACTAAGGCAGTGACTTGTTTTTCATTTTAGCATTGTGGGACAAAAGATCTGGAAGACTGTTATAAAAATACAAAAGATAAACTTAGGGGGGAAAAGAAGGCAAATCATTTAAAACAAATGCATCTATGATGGTTTTTATACCGGCTGTGTAAAATTATTAAAAACACATTTTATTTTAAAATACAGACTTTAATTCCTGCAGTAGTTATGAGAATATTGGTTAGTTATACCCAATTCAAATACAGTAAACAAACAGACAGTGCACCACTGAGACCCAAGCTGTAGAATATGGTTCTTTAGTTGTGCACCCCCTGAACTATAGTTCCATCACCTTTGCTAGCCTTTGGTTACTGTAGAGCAGTGGTTCCCAAACCAGTCCTCGTGACCCACCAACAATCCAGGTTTTGTCAGTGTGACAGACTGCTGGCACTCCGACCAAGTACCTTCGCCAATCGATGCTCCTAGTGCTTGCCGAGCACTTCACCAGACACCATAAGCACTGCAGACCCCACTTCCAGCGATGCAGCTGCGCCAGGGTCTCGCTGTCCTCTACTCACCCTGGACCCAAGACCAGGATCCAGCTTCCAGTTGGTAGACCTCTCTTGCTCCACAGAGCGTAGCAGGAACAAGCTCTTATAAGAGCTTATACTCAGGGGAGTATTGTGATTATAGCTTAACCCAAGAGAGTGTAGTTATCCCATCCCCCAAACATGAGCCAAGACTTCATGAAGGGGTAAAGCAGGTCTGTTTAATGCAAGCCAGTATTTACAATTTATACAATTCCTCAGGCCAGAGGCACACCCCCTGGACCTGATGGATCACAGACACACAAAGGACACAAACCAATCAAAACAATACAGCAATGTCGGACACTCCCACAGTGGGTTAATGAACGCTTGGTGGGTTATAGCACAATGCAGTATTCATGGACACTTTCAATCTTGTATTCAGATGCCCCTTACTCTAGCAAGGAACACATAAAGTAAATCTCCAAGAACCTTAATGACTACATTGTATTGGAGTGTCCCTTTAACTACTTTTGTAAAGGTTGCTGTGCAGTGACTGTCCCCCGTGCATGCTAAATATATATTACATGCACATATAGTAAGTGTGCATAGTAGCATCTCTCAAGATCATTGCTATTTTTATAGTTACCTAACCAACAGAACTGTACCATTAGAGACATAGGGATTATGGTTATAGTTTTCGTGTGAGTGAGTCGATGTTGACTAGTCAAATGTTAGGAATTTCGGAGCCTGTTTTTTTAAAATCTACTTTAAAAAATAAAATTCCTTTTGACCACTCCAGGACCAGTAACACTGCCTGTATGGTTTCCACGTAGCTGTACTATTCCTGAATTGGTCAGGGGAACATACCCTTACACAGTCCATACATTTCAAAGTAGGCTCAAGGAAAACTATCATCATGCATTACTGTGTTTTAAAATAAGATTTCATATAGTATACACTCTGTTTGTATCCTTTTGCAAAGATAAGTATTCTGGTCTGTCCTCTTTCCATACAAGCTATAATCTTCAAAACTCTCTTTGGAAGGAAGCACAGTTTACCAGACTAAAGACAATGACGATAATTTAAGAGTGTGTGTTCACAAATTCATATGGCATGTAAAAAAGTGATGGGCATCTCAAATCATGCTCTGAGCCTGTCTCCGCTGTAGAAATAGTGGACTATTCCAGCTAAAAAGGTCTATATGCACACTCCCTCAAAGCTATGATACAAAGTGTGTGTGTGTGTGTGTGTTTTTTTTTTTTTTTTTAAGGTCATACATTGCATAAGCCTGCCAGGCCAATGTACCCCATTTATGGTAGGTCCTATCCTAGAAACGTAATGCCTGCTCTTATGTGATTAACCTACTTACTTGGGAAATCCATCATCCTCGAGTGTGTGTGTGTATATATAATCTCACTTTGTGATGTGAATTTAGTATTATATGTGTATAGTAACCCCATTTAGCTTCCTGCCATTTTTGTTGCTTCACCACTACAGTGATAGCCAACTTTTCTTTTTACCCTAATACTTTTTATTAAACTAACAAAAAAAGGAAATGCATGAGAAAAAAAACTAGATGATTTTAATGATTTCTGTAATGGTGGGTTGTTCTGCCATAAATTCACGGCTGTGTTTAACCAGTTCTGTAGCCAGGAGCAGATGATAAATAGGCCCATAGTAAGCCTGGCTCCTTTGCTAACCCATGGTAGGAAGTCTTCATTCTGGCTGTTAGTAACTTGATTCATTATTCCAAACCACTGGCTCCTGGTATCTTAAAGGTACAGCCAAGACCGTGCTTCTGCTGCTCTCAGTCAGTCAGTGCATATTTGTAGATGTATACAGTTTGCTTGTTTGTGAAACCTTTCCAGCTGTTGCAACTCACTGACTCCTTTGTTGCCCAGTATATAAAATCGAATTTCAATATGGTAGGTGTTTTCTTCCATTTGGCAGTGCTACATTGTTTACGGTCTGTGTGGTCTGACTGCTTGCAACATGTCATGCTGTAGAAGTGCCCTCTTTATTTAATTAAGACAGAACAGAAACCTTCTGTTTGTAGCCGTAACACTGCAGGAGTGGGTGAGGGCAGGCCCGGACTGGCCATCGGGCATACCGGGCAAATGCCCGGTGGGCCGCGATGGCCGTGGGGCCGAGGCCGGCAGGGAGATCACAGGATCTCCCCGACCGGCCCCTGCAGGGCCAGCGCTATCCGAGCGCCGGCCCTGCATAGTGCCTCCATGGGCCGGTGGGGAGATCACAGATCTCCCTCACCGGCCCACAGGCACTGTCACAGGCGGCCGCTGGCTGGGTGAGGGAGGGAGGAGAAGACCGGCGGAGCTCTAGCTAGCAGCTCCGCCCGGTCCTCTCGCGGGATTCTGAGCGTTGCCGCGGTTACCGCGGCAACGCTCAGATCTCGCGAGAGTGAACTCTAACCCGCAGGTTAGAGTTCACTCTCACCACTGGACCACCAGGGAAGGCAGCATGGTCCCCCTTCTCCACGCAGAACGGATCTCCCCCCCTCCCAGGCTAAAGGTAAGAAGGGAGGGGGGGACATAACTTTTTTTTTTTATAATTATTATAATATTATAATTATTAATAAAATAAAAAAAAAATATTTTTAAAATAATTTCCCTAACAGCCCCCACAGACACATACAGCCCCCCAGGAACACACACAGCCCCCCACAGACACACACATCACCCAGACACACAGCTCCCCACAGACACACACAGCTCCCCACAGACACACACAGCACCCCACAGACACACACACACAGCACCCCACAGACACACACACAGCACCCCACAGACACACACACAGCACCCCACAGACACACACACAGCACACCCCCAGACAGACAGCACCCTCACTCCCACACATATACAGCACATATATATTATATAAAATAACCCTCAGTGAGTTAACAGACAAATAAAATTAGAAACCCAGAATGTGACGGCAGATAAAAACACCCTTACACACAACACCCCTCTTACACAAACACGCTGCGCACCTCACACATACAATACGTCCAAATATATTTTATATATATATATATATATATATATATATACACAAAAATCAAAACTGAGGATGCACTCACAGGACTTGTGAAATGTACAGAAAAATCAATTTTCCATTCACATGGAATAATTAAAAGTCCCTTTTTTTCACTTTAACCAAGTCCTGTGAGTGCATCCTCAGTTTTGATTTTTGTATATATAATATATTTCTGTATATTTTCTGCCGTATATTTCTGACATTTGGCATATAGCACCCAGGCTATTAGTTCTTTCTTATTACTTAAAGGAGAGTGCCAATCCTGTTTTTTTGCTATATATATATATATGTATATATATATATATACACACACACACTACAGCACCCCTCACACTGCACCACTACACACATTACGCTCCAGATACACGCTAGATCCCTTACCCTATATGCACTCTTAATCCTCTACACACACACAATCTTCTATACACACTCTGGGTCCTTTACACACTAGATCTCTTACACACACACACTGCACCACCTACACACACACACTACATTTCTTGTAAGCAAACACATACAACATTCTCTAAACACACCCTCTCTACACACAGTAGTGTGTGTGTATAAGTGACACACACTACATCACCTATACACACACACTACTGCCGTATGCACACACTCGCTACATCCCCTATAACACTATGCCCCTATACACGCACTCTCTACAGCCCCTAGCCACACATATTACACCACAAAATTGACCTATTTACACAATACAACACCACACTCTACACACAGGCAATCCCACAAGCATGCGCCAAACACATGCACCATACACTTTCCTGGCCCTTTTGTCCTCTGGTATCCCACTTGTGGAGACACCAGAGACAATTTAAAAGCAAACACAGCGCAAGCATGTTCTTACATTTGCTTGCACTGCGCAGAACAAATACAGGGCCTTTTTCTAATGCTAGAGCTCTTCAGCGGGGCTCTGCGCATTGAACCAACATGCTCACTTTCTCTGGCCCTCCCCCTTTTTTGGGGGCCGCTCTAATTGAAAAATGCCCGGGCCTAATTTTTTTCCCAGTCCGGCCCTGGGTGAGGGTTAATGTTACAGCATTCCGGAGGATGTTTCACTACCAAGACTGTTCAGAAGAATTATAGAATGAGAGGTATTTGTTTGGGCTGAACTATCCCTTACTTAAAATTTCCAGAAACATAATGTACTTGACACTGATGTTTTTATTGAATCAGTACTTGACATGTGGATCTGCAATGTTGCAGTATATTCTTGTTATAGTCTACTACCATTTGTGGGTTGCTAAAGGGATAGTAATGATCAAATGATAGGTTTGTAAAGGGACATTCCAGGGTAGCGTTGAGATCTTGGATGTATTAATATATGCAAAATGCATTTTAAATAAAATGTATATGTGACGAGACCAATCTCGCCACATTGCATTGGAGAAGCCGGGTTGCTCGCCTGTTGCCTTTGGATTATGGCCCCATGTTAAAAGGCTTGATTTTCCCCCTGCAAAGACATGAAAGCCGGGTCATTTGGTGCTTGCCCTGTTTGAGCGGTGATACCCCAGATAGCTATGCCATGGAGCCCATTCGTATAATGAAAGACTATGGGAAAGACTTTGGCTCCATGGCAATTGAACTGTATGTGTGTGCTCTGAGCGCCATTCAGTAATAATGTGCGCTTAGACCTAAACTATCTGGGCATATGTTGCATGTCTGTATTTTATGTCATAAATGTAACCATGTGTATTTTATTGTATTTTACTGTCTTTTTGCTGCCATGTGTTCAATGGAGTTTTGCCTCTGTCTTTGGAGATAATTGGATTACTTCTAATTATCTCCAGGATAGAAAACTCTGTGGAACTGGTTTTGGGCAGAAAAGCCATGCTTCCTGTGGTCACAAAGGACTACGATCTATCTTTTGAACCTCTGGACCAATTTGTATGATTTTGATGAGTGTCTGAGTGTATTGTATGTGTTTATTGGTTGTGTTCCAAAACCCTGTGGGTGGTACTAATGTGTAAGAATGTGTACATAAGCACAATAAACCCACAGCTCTGTCTGTTCACTGCTTGACCCTCAACACGGAGATTTGTCTCATTCTTGGGGGGATTTATTGTATGCTGTTCCAGTTCGACTACTAGGAGTGTAAACCTATTCGTATGGTTTTTCCTATTTGGCTGTTTACAGCATTCGTATGGTTTCCTGTTTGGCGGATTGGTGTTCTGAAGTAGCTGTGCCTGTATCTCTGGAAGGGGACGATCGCCTAAACGGTTTTAACCCCTTGTGTGCAAAACGGTCCGTTACAGTATACTTCCTTCTCGTAAAGTCCCAAAGTCCACAGATCTCAAAATGTGACTGAAACCAATCCTTTTCCATTGAAAGCAATGAGAGGACTAGATATGGTAGTCTCTGTATATAAGGGACTTTTGGGATATGTAGTTTAACTGTTGCAAGTAGTTTAATTTAGGTGAAAAATGAATGGGACTATACTTAAAGTTTAGAATAGCCTCTGAGTAGCTTTTTATTAACTTGCAAAGTAATTGTGTTCATGCTTTTTACTAATGAAGCTCATTACAGTTCTGCATGGACTGCAGAAGAGCATGTACACATTACTTAAAGTGAACATGTCATGCCAGGTTAAATTGAATGTATAACAATTCCTGAAGAAACAAATACACTATAGTCACCAAAACAATATTTAGCTTAATTGAGTAGTTTTGGTGTATAGATAATGCCCCTGCAGTCTCACTGCTCAATTCTCAGCCATTTAAAAAGTGAAATCACTTTGTTTATGCAGCACTAGCCACACCTAGCATGTGACTTACATAGTCTTCCTAAAAACTTCCTGTAAAGAGTCACCTAATGCTTACATTATATTTATTGCAAATTCTGCTTACCGTATATACTCGAGTATAAGCCGAGTTTTTCAGCACATTTTTTGCCCCCCTCCTCCCCCCACTGAACCGCCAATGCCACTGGACCACCAGGGAAGGAGAGCCCCCCTCCCTGCCATGTATCAAGCAGGGAGGGGGGACGAAAAATAAATAAATTAATAATATATAAATAATAATAAAAATAATTTAAAAAAAATAATACAACAAAAAAAAATTAAAATATTAATTTTTTTTTATAAAAATGCCCACCCCCCACCAAGGCTCTGCAACACAAACACACACTGCATCACACACACACACACACTGCATCACACACACACACACACTGCATCACACACACACTGCATTCATACACACACACACTGCATTCATACACTGCACTCATACACACACTCTGCATTTATACACACACTGCGCACTCATACACACACTGCATTCATACACACACTGCATTCATACACACACACTGCATTCATCATATACACACACTGTAAATAAATATTCAATTAATATAATTTTTTTAGGATCTAATTTTATTTAGAAATTTACCAGTAGCTGCTGCATTTCCCACCCTAGTCTTATACTCGAGTCAATACGTTTTCCCAATTTTTGGGGGTAAAATTAAGGGCCTCGGCTTATATTCGGGTCGGCTTATACTCGAGCATATACGGTAATTTAGATTTTTTTTTTACCTCCTGCTTTAATAGCTTAATAGACACTATAGGAGCCTCCTGTATGTAATAAAAGTTCAATTAACAGAGCAGGAAGTAAAACCTTATAAAGTAAAGGGACACGGTAGGCACCCAGACCACTTCAGCTAATGGAAGTCGTCTGGGTTCTGTGTCACTTTTGCACCTAGTGCTGCAATGTAAAATATTGCAGCACTAAGTCTGCCCTCAGTGGCTGTCTACCAGACAGCCACTAGAAGGCTTCCGGAATCGTAACAGAGTTATCTGACGCTGGACGTCCTCACGGACCTCCAGCGTCAGATTTTCCCCATAGGAGAGAATTAATTGCGCATAAGACCCCGCTCGTCATGGGATGGAGGAGGGGGTGGAGCTGCGACCCAGCGCCAAGGGACATCGGTGCCGGGATAAGGTAAGTAAATAAAGGGTTTCTCACCCTTTATTTGCCATGGAGGTGAGAGGGGGGAGGCAGAGGGACAGATAGTGCCAGAAATACAGCTTTGTATTCCTGGTACTACCGTATCCCTTAAGTTAACCTTTGATTGAAACCATTGTTCCATACAGGCTGTGTAACAGCCAAGAGAGGTGTTGCTAGGGCTCCATTAAATGCCTTCTTCTCCACTGTCCAGTGCCATCATTCCTTGAGGTCAGTTGGTGTAACACCTTCTTTCTCAGGTCATTGTCCTCTCTGGACAGCAATTGACCCAGCTTGGGGACGCTTCTCTATGCGTTGCAGTCTTATATGGTATTATTGGCAAACTGGCTTCATTGTCAGCACATCTGCATCAGAATGGAGTAACATTAGTCACACTTTTGCTATGGCAAGCGTGAGAATAAATGTACTGGAGAGCTGGAGAACGTCCTTTAAGAGTTCTCTCCCTCCTCACATTCACTGATCTTCAAAGCCTCTGCCCCTATGCCACTGCTAATACAGGTCTGTGTCAAGAATTAGTTGTCAAGTGGGGGAGGGACCGCATTTTTATATATTTACTAGAGTATTACTTGCACAATTTATACATGCAATACAATGATCTTTAATGCCAACTTGTGTGTACCATCACAGGCATACTGTTGTATTGTCTTCACACAGAGCAAAGGAGTTAGAATATAGGTGTAGCAGTTTCAGCAAGTAACTGCAGCTGAATGGAAAGTGATCAATTGAGACAGGAGCAATGGGGGCATAGTGTAATTCTTAACCATTAGTGTCTTCATCCCGGCCACTTCAGGAGTACTTGAACGTAGGACACTGGTGGCTTCATTTAAAACAGCCCTACATGAAAAAAACTAAACGTGCCTGTTGCCAAAGCTATTGCATGATTTCAAAATATGAACTGCAAAGGAGACTCCTGAATTTCCAGTTTATGATGTTCAAATCTCTAAAAACCTATGGATTTTTTTGACCGCCTGTGGTCCTCTTATTCTACTAAATTATACAGCTGCACTGTGTCAATAAGTAGGACTGAACTTCGTCTGCATCACTGAACAGGATAAAGCCTGTTTTGTTATAATTTCCTGACCAAATAAATCTGCTTCATTTACCTACTGCTTGTTTCTATGGCTAAGTTGTAATTAGTTATAATAGGTTTCTTTGGATATAAATATTCTGCAGTGTCTGTGTGCATGCGTGTCTTCTTCAAACTCTCAGGCTTTCCATCATATTTCTGTAAAATCTTTAAATCGTGCTCGTGCGTGCGTGCGTTACACTCCAAAAAAATAAACCTCACTCGTCAAAATTAATACAAATATTCAGCTATATTGTATAGCTAAGTTAATGAAGTTAACTATATATTTAAATATGGTTGATTTGATTTTACGTTTATGTGTACCCATAGATATGTATGTCATTGCATGTCAACTAAAAAGAGAACCATAATATATTGAAACGTGAAATGCAAAGTTTAGGCCATTAGTGGAGATTTGAATGATATCTCTGTGTTAGGCTGATCTTGCCTGCATTTTGCAGTTCTGTCAACTATCTAATTGGTGAATAATCTAGTCTGTTGTTTATATCCTGTGTTTGCTCAGCCTGCAGGGACAGGATATGGACACCATAACCACTTCATTAAGCTGTAGCGGTTCTGGTGACTATAGTATCCCTTTAAGAAAGAGTTTTGCAATTTAGAGTGCTGTCCTAGGGCCAGGATTGCAGTGTTCCATTTGTCTTTAATCATGGTAAAAAAGTTTCCTCTCTGATTTCTTGGTTCTAGTTGTGTAATTTAATGAATTCCATAAACAGAGGGAAATCTTAAGCCACAATTACTTACAGACTACAGACAGGCTTCAGCAATGTTATATTCTATATATCCACTTTCAGTGCACTATTCTATGACATCTTTTGTTGGACATCCTTACGGTGCTAATGCCACTTAAAGGGACACTCCAGACCCCTGAAACATTTTAGCTTGCTCAAGTGCTTTATTTATGAAGTGTGTCCTTTTTGTAAAAGAAACAAAAGTGCAGATTTAAAAATAAAAAAAATACATTAAAAACAAAAAACAAAAAAAAAACGACACTTTTAGAAATTCTCAATCTTCTATTTGCTGGCTTGGTGCTAAACTCAGGAAGCAGCAATTGCCCATAGCCCCTGTCCTGCAAAGACTTCTCATTGAACTGCATTGTGAAGTCTGTGATTGGAGAGCGGGGTTAGTAGGGGAGGGCTTGCGAAGACTGCAAACAAGAGATCTGCAGGTTTTGCAAGCTGTTTTTAGATATTGTCCTAGTGAAAGAATGCATGCATGTTTTCACTAAACATGACTTTTTATTGGCAGTGGAGTGTTCCTTTGAGCAGACTTAGTAATGATTAGAAGTAGGTAGGCACACTTAGTCAAATTTTGATAAGAAAATTACAACACAAATTGTTCTAAGACTAGGTGCTCACTTAAATAAGGTCCTATTCCCAGAGGGCCAAATAAAATTACAGATAATATCCACTCAAGGAGCACAACCATTAATATGAAAAAATATCTTATAAGATAGGTACAAAGAAAATAGATATCTCACAATGCATATCATAAAAGATTCAAACATGACTCACATGCTGATAATGTGCAGCATAGTCAAAAGTGCTATGAAAGCATCCAAACAGAATAAGTAGTAAGCAACTACCTAAATATCAATGTGATAAGTAATTAAAGGAGATATCAAATCCTAACAGCCCATCAAAAAGAAAAAAGTAATGATGAAAGACAAACAAATTCCCCCAACGTTTTAGGCTTTAAGCAGACTTGATAGCCAGGGGGAAACTATAAAGACAAGTATAAAGGCACTTTGCATGTGTTTCCCTTAAATGTTCATTCATTGATTTCTGTTTACACATTTGTGGCGGAGGAAAGTGGGCAACAAAAGTGGATCAAAAAGCAAACCATTTTTTTTGTTTCCATGGCAATTGCTTCACTTGGAGAACATTGGCTACTTTTCTATTAGCAGCACTTTAGTAAATCTCTCCCATTTGACTTTATGCAAAATGGGTAGGCTCATACCACATTAAAATCCCAGAAATCGTTATCACGTCCAGAATGTGCCCCACTGTTCTCCTAAAGAATGTTTTTTTTGCAATGTGGCAGACAGATATAGTCAGGTATTTGACAGTATGCTTTGTTTTCCATTGCATCCGCCCTCAGGGGTCTGTGACGTATTACTGTACAATTTCCAGATGCAGATGAAATTAGACAATTGTGTTTTTAATAAAATATTGATGTTTAGATCATACCTTTCCTTCCATTTAGATATAGTGCTGTAACTGTGTAAAATGTTTGTATGCCAGTTTTTGAAGACCCCAACAGTAGGAAGGTAGACTAATATAATTATCATCCAGAGAGTGTTTGTGACTTCATTTAATGCAGGTAGCACAATAATGCCCCAAATTATCTGACCCCTGATCAATCAGGTTTTCGTCCAAATCACTCAACTTCGACTGCCCTCTTAAGTTTGCAAAGACTTCCAAACTGGCATGGCACAAGGAGACCTAACTGGAACCATTTTCCTTGATTTTGCCAAGGCCTTTGACACAGTAGACCATGCCATTATTTTGCAAAAACTTAAAAACTCAGGCATTGGTGATTTTCCACTAACCTGGGTACGATCATATGTTTCAGAACGATTGCAATATGTGGCCATTTCTGATAGCGCTTCCCTCCCTCTTCCAGTCACATGTGGTGTTCCCCAAGGTTCCAAACTCTGCCCCAAACCTTAATTCAATCTAAAATCTTTTAAGAGATCTGTGGCAATATACCTCAGCACAAAATGCACCTGTAATGGTTGAATATATTTAGCACCTGTTATGTATGTATGTATATATATATGTGTGTATATATATATATATATATATATATATATATAGTATCTTTTGTAATATTGTATCCTATTGTAACAATGCAATGTTTTGTGGACCCACGACATACTGGAAAACAAGAGAAATCTCAATGTATCCATCCTGGTAAAATATTTTATAAATAAATAATTCTTTGTAATATCTAATACCTTTATATATATATGTAATAGCACCATCACTTATCATTTGAACAGGTTACATTAAAGGCTTACTCTGATATATACTGCCCCCTGCTGACAATATAGAGTGTTTAATGTGGGGGAATGATACTAAACAATGATCTTTGCTTCTGTGACGGACCCGCTGGCACTCCGAGTACTTCCGCCAATCGATGCTCCTAGTGCTCGCCGAGGACTCCAAGCAATCCAACCGACACCATCAGCACTGCAGACTTATCCCATCCCCCAAGCATGAGCCAAGGCTTCAAGAAAGGGTCAAGCAGGTCTGTTTAATGAGCACACAAAGCAACAGCACTCACGCAGCAAAACAACTCCTCCTCAGAGGAAAACAAACTGACAGTTAAAGGGTCAGACAGAGTTTGAAAATATGACAGTTATTAAGGGTTTAACTGGTGTTCTAAGGGGGGGGGGGATAAAACAGTCAAACTAAGTTCATAAATAAGGGGTTTTCTTCACACTCTGCATCCGAAGTGCATAGCAAAACTGCAGATCCTTTGTCAGAGCATTTAAAGGGCCAGAACCAGTCTAATAAAATCCACTATGCCCAAATAGCGTATTTAAAGGGCAAAATCTTCCAGGGGCCATAGTCGCAGGGCAGGAGGCTGGCAATTAGTCCTCTCCAGGCACAAGTGGTGAAGGGCACTTCGTCACACATCTTCCCATTGGGGGGGGAGACTAACCTGGTACCTGACCTTCTGTCAGTCAGTACCTGAGTTAGTCGGTAGCCCACCCACAACAAACAGTTAACAGAGTAGCCCACCCACAATACACCATTACTGCCCCTGGTGATTCCTGGTGTCCGGCTCTGGCCTGTGTGTCCCAGGTTGCTGAGGGGAACTAGTGGGCAGAGGCCCGCTGCGCTCTGCCCGGATGCCAGCGCTTCTGCTGGAAGGGGGTCAGTGGAGGCTGACATCTTCCCCACTAAACTCAGTACTGCGTTAGGGGTTGGCTGTGGAGGGGAAGGGTCGCCTACCTCCTCCTCCTGGTACTCCTGCTGCCGCTGGGGAGCGAGACCGGTTGTCTCCTCTCTCTGTAGCTCTTGCTGCAATTGGGGATCTGGGCCGGCTGCCCAGCATCCCTGTAGGGCTGGTAGAGAGACCACGGTCCCATCTCCACCTGCCATTTGAGGGTTCTCCCAGTGCCCTACTTCGGGTACCTCCGGCTGCCTCTGGGGAGAGAGGCTAACCTCCTTTCGTTGGAGGCTTATTTTCCTCGCTTTAGCCAGCAGGATTTCTTGGTCCCTCTTTGCTTCTCTTTCGACGGTTACCTGGTTCCAGATCGCCTGGAAGGCATCCATGGACACATCAGGGCCATACCAGGCCACTCGCTGCCTCACCTTGGCCAGAAAATCTTCGCAAGAGTCAGAGTATGCCATACTTGCTTGCTCTAAGTCAATGGACATCTTTGCTTCCAGGGGTGCTGCACTCATGCTAGCGTTGCCCTCACTATGATCAACACGTTATCGGTGTCTCTGAGCTGCTTCTCCTCGCACTAGGACGCCATCCCACCGCTGCCACCAAATGTGACGGACCCGCTGGCACTCCGACCGAGTGCCTCCGCCAATCGATGCTCCGAGCAAAACTGCAGATCCTTTATCAGAGCATTTAAAGGGCCAGAACCAGTCTAATAAAATCCACTATGCCCAAATAACGTATTTAAAGGGCAAAATCTTCCAGGGGCCATAGTCGCAGGGCAGGAGGCTGGCAATTAGTCCTTTCCAGGCACAAGTGGCGAAGGGCACTTCGTCACAGCTTCATTGGCATACAGGAAGTTGTGCTTCCTTTAGGGATAATATAGACACTAAAACAACTTTAGCTTAATGAAGCAGTTTTAGTTTATAGATCATAACACTGCTCTCCTGCACCCCTATGCTGAATTCTTTTCCATTTAGAAGTTGTTTTGGTGTCTTTAGTGTCCCTCTAAGTCTCTAATACTTTCTATGAACCACAACATTAATTTGTGCTTGTATTAAACACGAGAAAATACCCTTGCCTCCACCCCCCAAATACAATTAACAAAATTTAACAATATTAAACAAAAGGTACAACATACCATTGGATACAATTCCAATTATTTGCAATATGTAGTTCATAATATCAACTGTTTCTGATCCCCCTATAATGGATAAAATGGCTCCATATCCTTTTTTTTTCTTTTTCTTTTAGTACATTCCAATAATAGATACATTTTTGCTCTATGGGCTGGGAATCAATTCAAAGTAGGCTAAAATTCCCTTTCATGAACAGATCACCAATATCTGTCCTGATAATAAAGATGTATATATTCCCGAAAGCCATATTGCTACCCAAGTGGATCACAAATCACAACATTATATGTTAAATGTATATTCTTCTGTACTTGTGCATGGTATGTGCTCACAATGTGATCCCACAATGCACTGGACAATGCTCAAAATATATTTTTTTTTAATTATTGGTGTAGATGCTGCATGAGTGAGTTTGTTCTGCGAATAATATGTTTTAGAACACTTATTTTTCTAAAAGTATCACATTTGCTTCATATTTTTATTACTAAACCTCCTTGGCAGATTCATACGAAGAGAAAGACATTTTAGGAGTAAAAGGGCGGCAGTAAGTCGGATGCATTTCGACATATAAACTATGATTTCGAGCTGGAAGACATGGTGATTGTTTTGGGGGGGATGACAAATATAATGTTGCATTCTTCAAAATAATGTTCGGACTGTACAGTACGTATGTGTGTAGTAGTAACCTGAGTAGGACTTAGTGCTGCTATTAGTCTCGGTAAGAAGTGGACTTTCATCTAGAGCATGTTTGGTTTGGCTCTATATTCTGTAACCTCCCTTCCTTTGCCAGAGTGGTATTAAACCCCAGGCAGCTAAATGCACGTCTGACTAGCACATCTGTCCCACTTAGTGTTAGGCACTCACTGAAGAAAGATTTTTAGCCTTAGACACTGTTCGTGTGTCATTTAGAAGAAATTGGGGTTTATTTCTTTAGTAATCACTTTGGTGTACTCTAGTTTTGTTTGTTTGTTTTCTGGAAACTCATGGATGTTACACACCGCTCTTGATAGAAACCAGTCTGTTTTTATGAGGTGAAAAGACAACTTTTTCATAAACTTATTCTAGAAGAACATTATGCCCTTCCTTGTTCCTACAGAATGTTCTTTGCATATGCGTGAGTTTGTGTACCCTGTAGTAATTGTTCATGAGGACTTGGACGGAATCTTTTTCTGAACTCTATTGTGCCGTCAATTTGGTTCCAGGCACGGCAATCCCTTTGACCTTCTCCAGTGGTGATCCAGATGAGGTGTTCAGTTATGGTGTAGAATTAAATGCAGGACTTGGAAGTGACATTTGTTTACAGGACACAATCATTCACAACTCTGACATGAGCCTCTCTACTTGTTGACTTTGAATCACAATAGACTATTGGTTAGCAATGCCTGTAACCAGCAAACACATGTCCAAATGTACATCATTTGTGCTCCTACCTCACTTAGCCCCTGAATTCCAGCTTTCTGTTGCTTGTTCCATGATTTGTAGGACAAATCACGAAGACTAAATTAATACACCTCTCATTCCCTGTACATTAATATATCTTTTTCTCTGATATATATTTTTTTTCTGTTTAAATATACATTTGTACAAAGGGTTGCCTCTTCTTATAAATAGGGGCAAGTAGGCAGAGGAGTTTCAAGAAACTTGGCCGCGCACACACAAGTGAGGTGGACGTACATATAGCAGTTGTAAAGCTCATGTGGAACAGGCACTCCTGCTTCTGAGTTCCACTACTACGTGAACGCTACCAGTGATGCCTCTGATAATTGTTTTTTTCTTTTTCTTTTAAATGTCTTATTTTTTGCAGACACTTGCATGCATTCTGTCCCATCCTCTGCAGTGTCCTACACATCATTACAGCCGAATCACTAAACTTATTAAACTGCGGTTTTGGTTAAAAAAGCCCCAGACCCAACTAATGCTGGAGTTTACACAGCTGCTACATTGTACTTATGGATTATTATATGCAATCTGTGCGGTAATCATAGCTTTGTAGTGGGAACTGTTTAAAGGATGTTGGCAGTAAACTGCCACTAATTTGTGCTATTGGAAACTGGAATTAATAGCCTTGACTGGCACAAAAGAGAGTAAAAATTAGTTTCAAGTGTTTTGATGAAAACCTTTACTAATTGTGTTTGACCCTGGGATAGCCCTTTCATATTAATCCCTCTCATCTGGCATTGTATGCTGTTCTGTAACCATTTGGGGTACTCAAGCGGCAGTGTTAACATAAGAGTTTTAAAATCCAGATTGCAACATTTTTAATTATTGTAGTTATCTTTGTCCCTTTTTTCCCCGTTTGGAAGTGTGGAATCCAAAATAAGAAGTCTTGCGTTTCGTGAAAAGGGCCTGCCATGAGCATGTTTACGGATACACCTTCATCATAAAGCGCAATTGATATGAATTGATAGTGAAATATCTTTTATTTTCTATTTTCCTGTAAGTGCATTCATAACAGATGCTGATCCTTATGAGTTAAGCTATTACCCTATGAGTTTCTTGTTATATATATTTTTTCTCAGCAATTTTTCCATTTTACTCTTTGGTGGATACTCCATTAACTATAACTGATTTTTATATCACTAGATATTGGGGAGACTCCATACTATTTTGTCCCCCCACACACACACAGTTTTAGATCTTATCTATGGTTCGCCATGCACCGCTCCCTGTCTCTCTACATTGAGCTAAGCCTCACTATGTAGGGTTTAGCTCATTGGCTGAGAACAATCAGCTGACGCTATCACCCAATGAACTAGCCCTGTCTGGCAGCTATTGAATTCTAATAACAGAAGCTTCTGGCTCTCTTACTGGTGCAGGAGAGGCAATGAGCGTCACCAGGCCAACACCAGGTAATAAATTAAGCCATTACCAAACGGTTTGACTGCTAACATGGTCAGGGGGCACCAGGGTGCTCCAGGCACCAAAAACACTACAGCACTCCGCAGTGGTAATCTTGCTTGGGGAGCCAGGGCACTTTTTTGGGGGGTGTGGGGGGCAAGGGGAGAGGGACACTGCTGTTTTTCTAGGAACAAAATAGTTTTAAGTTTTTCAATGATTAGTTATTCTTTTCAGTAAGATAGGATAATCCGTGAAATAATTTTTAAAAATAGAATGCCACCTTCAGACAGATCGGTTGTGAGGCATACAGAGTCTTTTTCCTCTCTCACTCGGTTATTTAATAAAGTGAAAATGCAAAGTGAATTCACATTTAAAGGGATACTATAGTCACCAAAACAGCTTTAGCTTAATGATGCGGTTTTGGTGTATAGTTCATGCCCCTGACGTTTCACTGCTCAATTTACTGCCATTTAGAAATTAAATCACTTTTGTTTCTGTTTATGCAAACTTAGCCACACCACATCCAGACTGTGACTGACACAGCCAAAATGAAAACAAAATTGTTTCATTTTCAATCAGATAAAACTTAATTTAAAAGTTTGTATCTCCTGCTGTGTAAATGGAACTTTAATTAAATATAGGTGGTTGCGGCAGGGTCTAGCACGCTATTAATAGAGCAGGAGATAAAAAAAAATTCTAAATTGAACAGAATTTACAATAAAAGAAGTGTAAACATTAGATGACTCTTTACAGGAAGTGTTTTGGAAGGTTGTGTAAGTCACGTGCAGGGAGCTGTGACTAGGGCTGCATAAGCAAAGTGATTAAACTTATAAATGGAAGAGAATTGAGTGGTGAGACTGTAGTGGCATGATCTATACACCAAAACTGCTTCATTAAGCTAAAGTTGTTTTGGTGACTATAGTGTTCCTTTAAGGTCAAAATGGAAAAAATCTAGGCTTTTAGTTGGTCTACTCTGGGCCTAGATTTGAGTTCAGTTTGAATTCTCACTTTAGTGAATGCCCCTGCCAGTGTTTAAAGGATTGTATTATTTTTTGTGGCTTGGAAATCTATATGAAATACATTCCCCTTCGCTTTCTTGGTAATATTTTGCCTTGCTTGCAAGCCCAGGCAGTATTTCCTATGTCACAGTAGGACACTTTAGAACATGGAGTAAAAGCCATAGTGCAGTTCCCACATCACACCAACCAACCTCTGCGTCTTTAAAAGAAAAGGCAGTGAGGCTGGATGTTGACTGTGATATCAGCAGTTACATTAAATATGAAGCCCTAATAATAAGTGCACACTTGCTTTTATTGAGTATGGAGCCTAGAACTTCACATATGTAAAATGTGACTTGCAGCACTTTCTTTGAAGCCTAACCACAGCTAGGGCACTGTAATTGCAGCCTTTGATTGTGCCGACTTTACTTGTGGATTGGGCCGTGCAGCGGCATGCCTGGCTTGGCAAAACCTCAGCAGAAAGCCCCCCCAGTGAAGCTTCAGATGTGGGCCGTGCTCATTCTGCGTGCTACATGCCTGTGGTTTCATGAAAAGAATCCTGATTTGACCTGTTTTTTTTTTGTGTGTGTTTTTTTTTTTTTAAAGTGTGCAGAAAACTGCCATGTTTCTGTCTTCCTAAGTACTCTTTGTTTTTAATAGGGCAAATTGTTGTTTAGGTTCTATAGGGAATGTCAAGTAGCTTGTGCTACACAGTATACGTTTTGGAGGAGACTGTATCTGGTGTCAATGGGGCTGTTTCATGTATGCTCCTTCAAGAGGTGGAAGGGACTTCAGTGATTAATCCAACCCTAAATATAGCTCTAACTTACTAGTTGATTGTTCCAGAGGATAAGTGCTCAAGCTAAAAAGGTGGAATTACAGAGAGTATAAAATAGAGGAAATATTATGCCACCGTTGACCAATACAGCATTTTTTCCATTCTTCTGGCACATTCAGCAAAGAAACATTATTTATTCTATACTGTCTAACTTTAAAATACATAACTCCCCCTCCTCCCCCCCCCCCTACAGGGTTATTCACTAAACTGTAAATTCAAAGTGGATCTTCTTTTACTTCAAAATAGATATACCAGTGGTTCCCAAAACTTTTTAGGTTCAAGGTGCCCTTAATATTTCAGTATTTTTCCAAGGCACCCCAAGTCAAAATTTCTAGGTTGTATAAATGTACAGCGCTGCGGCATTTACTGGCACTATATTATAATGTACAGTGTTGGTGTTTAAAGTGGTGCTTATACATAGTTATTGTGCTTTAATACAGGGGTGTGTTTGTATTTAATGTTTGCGTTTCTTTGCAGGGGTGTGTCTGATTTTAATGTACACTTTTAAATGCGAATGTACATTTGTGTGAAGTATTTTTGTTTGAGTGAAGGGGTGTGTTTGTATATTTATTTTGAGTTGGAATGCAGGGGTGTGCTTGTATGTAATATTTGTGTTAGATTGCAGGAGTGTGCTTGTATGTTGTGCTGGTGTTTGACTGCTTGGATGTATGCACATACACTACCACATACATACATACACAGATATTCATGCACATTAATACACAGATGCATATAAATACATAGACACATACACACAAATTCATATAGACACCGACATATACACGCATATAGATGCACACAAACTCATACACACACAGAAACACACCGACATATACACACATGCACTCTGACACACACAAACATTGATACATGCCCACACCATGACACAGATACACACACTGACATTAAAACCCACACCCAGATGCACATAGACAGATGTGTGCGCAGACACAGAAGCACACTGACTTTTATATGACTTTTATATATATATATATATATATATATATATATACATATATATATATAAAAGTCAGTGTGCTTCTGTGTCTGCGCACACATCTGTCTATGTGCATCTGGGTGTGGGTTTTAATGTCAGTGTGTGTATCTGTGTCATGGTGTGGGCATGTATCAATGTTTGTGTGTGTCAGAGTGCATGTGTGTATATGTCGGTGTGTTTCTGTGTGTGTATGAGTTTGTGTGCATCTATATGCGTGTATATGTCGGTGTCTATACACACACACATATATATATATATACACACACACACACACACCCACACCCACACCCACACACACACACACCCACAGATGCACACCCTGACACACACCCACTCACAAACATCCTGACACACACACTCATACTCACACTCACATACACACACATACACACACTCACATACACACACTCCTACACATACACACAAGTGATTTTTATTTCAAAACTATCTCCAGCCACACTCCTGTCTGCTTACCTTATGTGCCAGGAGGGTGGCTTGGAGTCCTGCTGCTGGTGGGAGTGAGGGGTCTGGAGCTCTTCGTGCTCATCTTCCCTCACGCTGCAGCTGCCTTCTCCTGCGCTGTCTACTTGCAGGATGCTGGCAGGAAGTGACAGGCTGTCACTTCCTCCCAGCCGGCCGTCATTACAGGTGCCTGATCACGGTCTTAGAGGACTGCTGTACCCGACCGGGCCCTTGTTCAGCAGTAATGTTTCCCAGGTGCTATAATCAGGGCACACAGTTTGGGAACTGCTGAGCTATACTGAAAATCCAGCTGACAAATATTTTGTCCTAAAATTTGAAATTTGCTTTAAATTTGTCATTTCCCAATTTAGTAAATACACCTGTCAGTCATGTTGCTACTGTAACAGGCATTTACCTGAATGCTACTCTAATTTTTTTTTTTATATATTGTGTATTTTTTTTGTGTGTTTTTAGGTCACATGGTTCTGTTTAGTGAATATAATCCAAATTGTTTTAAATCCCAGAGTGATGACAAACCTTGCACTATGTTATGTCTTGCCCACTTCTGTGGTATTTATTCCTCCTTTTTCCCCTAATAGCAAAACAAGCCTGTCTGGACTTTAAAATAAAAAGTCCAGGCAGGCTTGTTTTCTGATACATAATTCTAAGAACAAATAACAATTATACAACAAATTTTTTGGAAATTTTTAAATTGCTAAATCAATGCATCTAGTGTTGGATATAGAGTTACTTATTTAGTTTGTATAAAATATCAGAAAAAAAATTGTCAGGAATTTAGTGATTTAACATTTTAGGCCAAATCCTGCAATGTTTCCATTCAGCCATTTTGGTCCAAAATCAGAAAATCTTCACATTCTGTTGAAAAACCCTGAATGTGTTGAATTGTTCACACGTAGAACCTGCTGTGGACTTAATACCTTAAAATGCCCATACTGTGGAAGGGCACGTCTTAATGACCATTGTAATAGATTGTTCTAGAAACTGTCACTCACAGTAAGATTGCATTAAGGCTGTTGACTAGTTGGGTATATTTCCATTAGTGTTTGTTATGGGTGGAGCACACAATTCCCAGGGTAAATACTCTTACATCCAATGTAGAAAGGTCAGAATACAAGCCCATGAAAGTTGATACTATTCTTGGAGCGGCATGTTGTTGCCTCCATCAGGCATTCCATCATATATCTCATCCCACTGCATGTATCACTCCAGAAGTATGTTGTGGTTTTATTTACTGCAATTGCTCCCTCTTTCCATTCCTTTCTAAAGGTGTAATCTGCCGACAACTCATTCATTAGCTAAGAAATGTCATATTTTCTAATATCTTCCCTAGATGTTGTAAGCTTCGTAGTCATCTCACGAGGGGGAAGGATTACTTTTGACAGGCTTTTAAAACCACATCCAAGTGTTAACCTATGTGAATGGTAGCAGGGTTGTGTTTAGTGTGAAGCACCCTGTCTAAAGGACGGGTGATTCAATATTTCAAGAACAACATTCTAGCTCCCAACTTTCATATGTTATTTAATAAAAATAAAATAATATTCTAATATCAAGAAAACAAAATACAACTGGATGCAAACATTCAAAAAATAGTGAACTATTGTTCTGAAACTGGAGTAGTTACTGATTATAAGATGGGCTAGTGATTGGCATTCTGAATTTCATGAATGGCTGGCTAAATAGATTTGGTCCGTGCGCAGAGTGAGAAAGCTGCCATTAATTCACATTATGATATCGTGGCTTTGTCCACAGCCCCACAGACCACACATTTATTTATTTATTTTCATGTGGTTTTATATAAAAACCTAGATACTTTCCTAGAGTCTGTATGCAAAGGGCTATATTCTATAGTGTATAAATGTATCTCAAATTATATTCTATGCCTTGTGTCTTTATGGAATAACCCTGAGAATGTTATTACACAGAGTCGCCAAACTGGAAACATAGCTGAATTAGAGAATATTTCCAGTTCAGCATTTATAATCTTACATTTGAAATTCACTTTAAATTATCACGTTCGTGAATATTCCTGTGTGTGTCATTGGATTAGTTACTAACATATGGCAGGGATGAAGCAGATTAGCCATTTGATCTTTTTTTTTTCTTCACCTGAATAGAAGTATTTTTTTTATTTTTTTTAAAATATTCGTACTAACCCAAAGTGGACCTTATGCTTCAGATAACAGTAATACAAACTGCATTTTAATATGCCTTTTTCTAGTTATGTAAATCTAGCATTTCATCCATTTTAATTATGATGTTAATTCTTGGTATTTTACTCACATTGAACCTTTGTGCCAAAGTCTTAGACACTGCTGTTACAGGGTCATTTAATTCCATCCTATTCCATGGCCTCTTCCAGAGCAGAGTCTGGCACAGGTCTGTGATGGTTATTATAACCCCCAGACATCAAAGGCAGCACTAAGAAGAAATGGTCTGAACATAGTAGAGCTTTATTTCACCCTGTGCCATAGACATTCCTGGCTCCTAATCGGGAGCAGCTCTGAATCACTGGTCTTGTATCAGGCTGCCGTGAACCTAATGGCCTGGCGCCTCTGGGCCATTCCTCAACAGGAAGCCCAATGTTTTCTTGTAAGGTTTAGAGGAAAACCTTCTCAGGAAGAGCAACCTGGACTAAATCCTTTGAACGTTAAGGATGAAAAGCTTTAAAAGTAAATAAAACCTGTGGGGTGCTCTTGCTCTTATTTCTCTGCAGTTTGCACAGCCCACGTTTAACTCATCTTGAAAAGGAAGCTCACTGGAAGCATGCAATGTACTACTGTAAAGACTGGCGCAGGACTCAGTTTCAGAGATTTAGAAACATAGAATGTGACGGCAGATAAGAACCATTTGGCCCATCTAGTCTGCCCAATTTTCTAAATACTTTCATTAGTCCCTGGCCTTATCTTATAGTTAGGATAGCCTTATGCCTATCCCACGCATGCTTAAACTCCTTTACTGTGTTAACCTCTACCACTTCAGCTGGAAGGCTATTCCATGCATCCACTACCCTCTCAGTAAAGTGATACTTCCTGATATTATTTTTAAACCTTTGCCCCTCTAATTTAAGACTATGTCCTCTTGTTGTGGTAGCTTTTCTTCATTTAAATATGGTATCCTTCTTTACTGTGTCGATTCCCTTTATGTATTTAAATGTTTCTATCATATCCCCCCTGTCTCGTCTTTCCTCCAAGCTATACATGTTAAGATCCTTTAACCTTTCCTGGTAAGTTTTATCCTGCAATCCATGAACCAGTTTAGTAGCCCTTCTCTGAACGCTCTCTAAAAGTATTAGTATTAGCTTTCCAATAAATATAGATCATATATGATACTGACTGTACCATAAATATATCAAAATAATATTTTAGCCATACATCCATCTTCATAAGGTATAACTAAGTGGATATATTATTTCCATATACCAGCGAATGAGCCATCCAAGGGTTAATATATTTTCATTCCACCACATTCTAAGCACAGAATATCATTTTAGATGTATTTCTGCGGTTAACCTCAAGCTGATGGTTTCATTCTTTTTGCATCAAGCTGTCCCGTTTGACTGGGAAAATAAAGCTGGTTGCAAGTAAAGTGCTGGCAGGCTAAGACATGTTCCACAATTTTACCTCCTCTTAACTTGAAAGATCCAAAAAAATTGCTTTCATTATCATTATAAAGAATGTTCCTAATAGTCTGTTTGGGTACTAATCTTTAAAAGACAAAAATTTTGTCTATATAACTATTTTTACAAAAGACATGAGAGAGATGGCTCATTAAAGAAATCTTAATAAACTTTAATGTCACACCTTAAACCACAAGGACATTAATTTGACATCTGAAGTTAAAGTAAAGTTTTAAGTGAAATCCCAAGTCAATTCAACACTATTAATACCAGATTCATAAATATTACACTTTTGTTTTCCTGCCGTTAGCTTCCTGTAAAGCAAAACTAAAAAACTTTTTTCTTTGAAGATGTGAATAATTATTATTTTTTTTAATATAATTTATATTTTATTGGTTTGTATATTTGAGAATACAGTATTGTCAACGACTGGGAGTAGAAATAATAAGACCCCCCCCTGCCGCTCTGGCAACTTGTTTAGTTCCTGTTGCCTCCGCTGGGCCAGTGTGTGGTAGCTTGAGGGTCTTGAGTAGTGTCTCAGGGTCTTGATCCGATGTCAAAGATAGGGTCTTGTGTTACTGCGGGACCATTAATGCTCCATCTAAGCCCTATCTGTAGCAGACTAGTTTGTCCCTTAAAATTCTTGCAACAGGGGTCAGCTTTCGTTTCTATGCGAGAACCGCAAAGGGTAGGTTTCCATACAGCGACATTTTGCTGCCTTCAAATGTAACCATTCCTGTTGTCCTGGAGTGGGTTAGGATCGCAGAATGAACCGCAATGTCTCTAGTGGCCACTATAATGTCTCTGGGAGAGTTAGTTGGGGCCGTGGCAACTTTTCGGATCTGGAAAGCCGATAGCAGATCGGAGGGGTCCAAACCTCCCTTAATGCCCATGGATGTGAGCAGCCTCTGGATGTAAGGCAGTAAGGCCTCTCCATTAAGCTCCTCTGGGACTTCTCTCAGGCGGACATTCCGATGCCTGTTTCTGGATTCCATGGTAGCCACGGCTCTCTGTACTTGCTGAACTTGACGAGTGAGCTCTGTCACTTGGGTCTCAATCGTTTGCAACCTCTCCTCCCTCACTTTTTTTCTGTCCTCCACTCCTTTAATTTTCTAGCTGATAATGCCTATGTCTTTTTGGGCCTCTTGGAGATTTTTTTTTCCAGACTTTGCGTAAGTCTAGGAGCAGCCTCTTAATGTCACCTTCTGATGAGGGTGCAGAGTCATCATCTGACTCGGTCTCCGGTTCAGCTTCACTCTGGTGGGAAGATGTAGGAGGAGACTCCAGTTTTTCCTTAGACTCCTCCGATGCCTCCACTGCAGGTTGTGCCGCGGGCGCCATCTTGGGAGCATCTTTTGGTGCATGCCTCTCGAAGGAGAGCTTGATGTCCGGTAATCTCGGGCTCTCTGGCACCCGGAATCTTCTGTTCTTGCGGCCCATATTGTCATCTGGTGGTGGCCGTACCGCAGGAGTCTCCTTGGGATAGTTTAGCTGAGGGAAAGCCGTTTTTATTGCGGTGTCTGTACGGCGCTTCTCTGGAACACGTCTGGTAAGTCTCATAGTTGACCACGCCCCCTGAAGATGTAAATTTTAAAACCAAGCAACTGTTTTATTGAATAGCAATTCCTGTTCAATTTCTAAAAGTGAAGCAGTCAGCATAGACATTCTGTTGATTTTCATGGTGATTGCTCTATGTTAAAAGCTACGTCTACAAATGCTCTCTATGCATAACTAGTTATGAAGCAGAACTATATGAACCATATGGGTTTGCCCGATTTTGTGTGTGTGTGTTCTTAATTGTGCATTAGTTCTGTTATTTATGAGGCCTACTGACTATTGTAATTTTTTAACATGCTTCCAAATTCTGTCTGAAATAATAACATGCAGTGTTTCTGAAACATTTGCCATGCTTCTAAAAGGTGTAATGAGGCAACATAATAATAGTTACTGGACTTTATGAACAAAGGCATTGCCATAACAAAGGTAACATTGTTTACATAGAATTCATGTATTTACTTTTGGTTTTATTTTCTTTAAGTGCCAACAAAACATTCCAGTAAATGCTTTTATATCTCTGCTTGGGAATATAGTAGACATAACTCATATTTTATTCTGTTTTTGCTTTTGAAGGAGGAAAAAAGAATACATTCTCAACGTGTAAAGCAAAGGCAGCAACAGCAGGAGGCCTCCTGGAGATGGAAGCTTGTTAAAACGTCACAACTTCTTCATAACCAGCATCGCCATTTCCCAAGGAGCCTGCCAATGACCTTGACCTGTCATTGCTAGAGACACTATACCGTATAGACAATCACTGCCTGGAGTTTGGCATCCTGGTACTTGCCAGGCCTTCACATAATGCTACTAGATCTATACCCCCAGGGTAGGAAGACTTTGGATACTTGGCAAAGGTGCAACGTCCATATATTTTATTATCTTTTTTTTTTTCCTTCTAATTCATATCTTGCCTTCCTACCTGCTGGAATACATGCATATGTGAAGTTCTCTATTTAATCCAGCCACAGACCAAACAGAGTTCTGATCTTGGACATAAAAGAATGAGGAGACATTCTGTCTCTCACTAACCTCGTTTATTTAAAAATGGAGCAAAAGGATCAATTTTTTTTTTTATTTCATCATTGTATTGCGTATTCTCCATAAAACTTGAATGTTTTTATATATCAGAATTTAGGATTGATGTATATTTTATTAGTCGGGGTATAAACAGAGTCTGCTTTTCCTGCAAAAAGACAAACTTTTTTTTTTTTTTTGCTTGAAAACCTGGATATTTTAAGAATTGTCATGTATCTTTGGTCTTGACTGGCACATGTGGAAATCAAAGAACAGTTTTCTGTTATATCTTAGTTGTGTCTGAATTGTTACAAACATTGCTGTTTGTTTTTTCTCCTGATGTTTTTGTACAACTGGTGATGATGGGAAGATGCCATTCAGTGCAGCATCTCATAAAAATTGGGTTCAGTTGTAAAATGCATCAGCCCTTCACCCTTTTGCTGGCAAAGGGGCCTCCGAACCACACAATAGTGCCTCTTACAGCAAAAGAGTCTCTCTCTCTCTCTTTTATTTTTTATTTTTCTCCTAATAATCCGTACTCAACGTTTTGTGTGTGTGTCAAATGCATATCTAATATTAAAAAAAAAAAATCATTTTGTAAGAGTCCTTTGCCTATTTGGAGACCGGTAAGATGCTTCATGAGCACAGGACAATGTATCCCTCTTCTTTCATTGTGAAGAAAGCCCAGCACTTGGATTCATTGTAACAATGTCAGTTGTACTGTATTGTACTTGGTTTTGTAATTCTTCCTCTAATAGCCTTTAGTGGGATTTGATGCCAGTTGTTTGGGAGAAAAAAAAGCATTTTAATGTGTACCCCTTCTTTAATTGCAAGGCATAGGCTTTGCTCTCCTCGCCCCAAAATAATTGTCAACAAAACTTTTCTTTTTTTTTTTTTCTTCTTTTTTTTGTCATTCCAATATGAGTTGATGTGCTGAGCATATGTTTTTAAAGAAAAGCTTTGTAATAAAAAAAAAAGTCAGTCATTGTTTGATGTGTATGTCTCAATAGCTATACGTTCACCATTTAAAGCATTTATACCAGACCTTGGAATTATTTGATTGGTCAGTGTTTTTGGCAACAAAACTCTTAACAAAAGTATACTTGACTGTAGATTTTATCCTTTACCTTAAAGATGATGCTAGTAAATGGACACTCACCAGTACATCTAATCAGCATCACATAATTCTTATTTTATAAATGTACACCAGGAGTTTCTAAATTACTTGTGACTGCATGCACAGCCATCGGTAACCTGCCATGAGCCTACTCCCAGCAAACCACATCTTGAGATAACTTTCTAGTGGCTGTCCAGTCACTAGGTTTAAAGAGACACTATAGGTACCCAAACCACTTCAGCTCATTGAAGTGGTCTGGGTGCAATGTCCCATGTCCCTTAACACTACATTGGTAATTATTGCAATTCTACCAGACAGCCAGTAGAGGGACTTCTGGGTGCTTAGACCATTTTTTATTTTCTTTTGCCTAAATGACACTGGGCGCCCTCACGCTATGCATGAGCCGGTGCTACCATTAGGCAAATAAGGCATTCACTTGGGGCGCCAACCTGCTGGGGGTGCCCACCGGGAAGTTTCCTGGTGGGCTGCCCTGGGGCTGGTGTGCTGAGCGTGCGGCGCCTTAGCCACCCCATAGCGCAGCCATTGATCTGCTGGACTCCTCTCTCCCGCTTGCCTGCCTGCTCAGGTACTGGGTGTGCCGTAACCCCAGCACCTGAGCAAAGCACTCGGCTTCCTGCAGGCAGGGGAAGCGGGGACATGACCTGGTATCCCGGCTGCCCCTCCCTGTGAACACCGAAAGATTTCTGAGGGGAACAGAAAGCAGTCTGTGTTCAAAGTGCAGGGCTCTCCTGCTCCCGCAGCAGAAAGAACAACAACAACAACATCCTGCAGGCTACTCCTCTTAACATCACCCAGGTAGGCTAAGGAGGATTGTTTATTGTATGAATGGTTGTAAATGGGTGCATGTGTGTTATATTGCTGTATTTCTGTGTGTAAATAAAGTGTGACTTTATGTAAAGTTGTGTGAGTTTGTGTTTGAGTGACTGTGTGTGTATGTGTGTTAGTGAGAGTGTGCAAAAGACAGTGTGTTAGAGTGGGCAAGTGATACTGTTAGTGAGAATGTGTATGTGACACTGTGTGTTAGTGAGAGTGTACAAGTGACACTGTGTGTGTGTTTGTGAGAGTGTGTATGTTAGTGTGTAAGTGACACTGTGTATATCAGTGAGTGTGTGTGTTAGTGAGAGTGTCTTTCTTTCTCTAAATGTGTGCTCACTAGGTTCCTCTCCTAAGTGTCTCCTAGTCTCTGTTTCCTAAATATCTCAGCAGTCTATCCTTTCCCTAAATGTCTCCCCAGGCTGTGTCCGTTCTCTAAATTTCTCACTGTGTGTCTGCTTTCACTTAAAGGGACACTATAGGCACCCAGATCACTTCAGCTCATTACACTAACCCTGCAAAAGTAATTATTGCAGTTTTTAAGAAACTGCAAAAAATACTGTTCAGGATGAACTCCACTTCTAGTGGTTATGTATGGGGATGTCCAGTGTCACGCGAAAACAAACCCATAAGAAAGCATTGTATAATACTGGCCATTAAAGGACAACTATAGGCCACCAGACCACTTCAGCTCAATTGAGTGGTCTGGGTGCCAGGTCCCTCAAGTTTTAACCCTGCAGCTGAAAACATGTTTCACTGAGGGTTAAGCCTCTAGTGGCTGTCTCACTGAAAATCACAGTGAGAAGACCCAGGACATCCATAAGAAAGCATTGAGTATTGCTTTCATATGGGCTGTTTGAATGTGCGCGGCTCTTGCCGCGCATGCGCATTCGGATCTGACGTCGGCAGGGGGTGGAGAGTTCCCCAGCACAGAGGGAGCCCGGCGCTGGAGAAAGGTAAGTGGCTGAAGGGGTTTTAACCCCTTCAGCCCAGCAAGAGGGGGGCCCTGAGGGTGTGGGGTACCTAATGACTCTATAGTGCCAGGAAAATGAGTTTGTTTTCCTGGCACTATAGTGCTCTTTTAGGGAGTGAAGGTGGACCCGAGCCAGCATTGACTGACATCGGCGCTGGACCCGGGTAAGTGACAGAAGGGTTTTTTCTTCTGCACCACAAGGTAGGGGCGCCTGACAGAGGGGAAAGGTATAGTGCCAGGATAACAAGTTTGTTTTCCTGGCACTATAGTTTTCCTTTAATGTCTACTCAGTGTGTCTCTTTCCCTAAATGTTTCTTCACTGCAATTCAGATTTTAGTGAGTAAAACCTAAACCTGTGGAGGAATGTAGTTGCATTCATGAGGGGGCGGCAAAATGTATTGGTGCCTGCACAGGGGCTATAGCAAAAAAACTCACATTAATATAAAGTGGGAAGGTGTCACAGTGTTTAGCAACATTAAAAATAACTGACAAGCGGGTACATATTGTATAATATGTAACATGGGCCATATCAAGGGATGTACTACCGAGCAGAGTTGAGTCTAAGAGCATGTCTGCCAGGGAAGGGTGTTTGCTCTATCCCATACCATGATTTGCCTATATCAACCCGCAACCTGGCAAGCATAACTGCTATGCCATAATTATAAATGTGTGGCAGACATAGCCCTCCCACACCTCTAGATCTGGTCATGTTTTTTCTATGGTGTTTGCCCACCCATGCAAAAGGCACAAAAGCTTGTTTCAGTTTAAAAAAGGAGACGGTAGGTATCTGTATAGAGTGAATTCTTGGTAATGCCATCTACATTAATATTTATACCCGCCCTAAGAGTGAGAACTATGGAAATTTCCATCACTTCAGATCTACTGTCAGGGTTTTAAGGAGATTGGGGAAATTGATGGCATAATATGGACTCATAGATATTTAAATCCAGAGTCAACCCAGCTAAATCAAAAGCATATGGACAAAGTGGTCCATACAGGTCCCGGCACTGCTAATATCATTATTTCACTTTTGTCCAGATCAATGTTATAGTTGGAAAATAGGCTGAACCTCTCTGAAACTCCTCGACCACCAGTAGGAGGGAATGCACCGGGTCTGGGGAAAAAAGTAAATTGCCTGTGAAGGCAGAGACTGTAAATGGAGCATGGTCTGTCTAAGTAATACTATCAATAGAAGCACTGTGTAGAAGATCTAAGAACCTATGTGATATGAAACATATCAAGCCAAGAATGTGTTTAGGCAGTATGCGAGTAGAGGGAAATATATTTAACTGTAGGATGGAGAACCTAAAATCTTGCGGATATTGGGTGCTATAAATACTATGACGGTGGAGCTAGAGTGGTTCTTACAAAAAATATATTTTACACTGCTAGGAGTACTAATTTATTAATTTTTAATTTTTGAGTTCCCTTAGCTTTTCAAATGGGGTTCTTAAAAAGAATACAAGTTTTTATGGGGGTACTTAGGCCCCTGAAGTTGAGAGAGATAAGTGAGCCATATGTGGTCTTGTAAAGGGGGGGGGAGAGCACTACCCACCCACGGTGCTTTCAGGTGGATGGTATCTGATCTAATGCACAGTTAAAGTGGCGTGGAATTATAAAGGAAAAATAACAAACTGTATACAAATTTAACAAGAAAAATGAAACATTTCACAGGAAGCAATGTCTATCCCCTTTGACATCCTGTGATCTACACTGATAATCTATACAGTGCATCTCTTTGGGGTATTAATAATAAGAAGATATTGCCCGCTTAGCAGCAGGTCCAGCTTGAAAATTTTTAGTTGCTTTGCTGACCAAAAGAATATGCATTTTTTAAAGCTACATTATATTCCAGTCTCTACTTAACCCTCCCTATGAGCCAAGCCAGAGTAGTTAGAATAACACTTCTGAACTCAAACATAAATAACAGATAATGTAAAAAAATATAAGATAACTGGTCATCAGTGATCCTAAAGTGCACAAATTATGGTAGTTGTAGACTGACAATCAATCATATTCACAATTAATTAATGATCATTTTGTATAGGTATACAAATACATGTTCTTATTCATATGAATTTCAGTTTTTTTTTCCTTTCCTCCTTTCTTTTATCCTCATTTCCCTCCTCTTATTTATCCTTTAGTTAATAGTGATTTGAACATACAAGTGTATAAAGACATACCATAATAGACATAGACTAAGACAGAATAAACAAACAAGAAAACGAGAATTGGTTGGTCATGTGGAAACACGAGTAATAAACAATTAAGTATTATTTTATTGTATGGGGACTATATCCTTATAGTTTTCCTCTTTATGGGAGAACTTTGACTGTGTGTATTAAGTTTTGGGTTCAGGTGTATCTAGGGTTAATCTTTATCTAAAATATCTAGCCAGTCATTCCAAAAATGAAATTCTATCCTATGCCAGTTAGATTGACTTATCTCACCCCATTTCCAAAGAGTATTGTGTAAGAATCTGAGTTTAAATTTCAGGCCAGGTTGGTTCTTTGTTTCACATCCAGTTTCTTGCTAATAATAATTTGGTTGCTGTCAGAATATGTAAGATTATCTTCCGTTCCATCTTTTTTTTGTTTAGGAAAATTTAAATGTAAAAGAGCCTTTTCTGGGTTCAATTCACATTTCAGGTCCGAACCATTGTATCAACTGTTGGGATATATTAATCCATGTGGTTATTAGTTTTGGACATGCCCACCAAATGTGAACAAATTCACCTTTTAGCAAGCCGCATCTCCAACATTTTGGGGAAACATTAGGATGCATCTTGCTAAGAGTTGAAGGGACTCTATACGAACGATTTATTAATTTAAATTGGACCTCATTAAGATTCAAACAATGTACTGTTATAAAAAATATCTACAGGCTTTTTCCATTCGTTTGTACGGATCTGAATTTGAAGTTCATTTTCCCATTTTTTAATGGCTGAAGGAAGAATTTCTCTTTTTAGTTTGTCTGATCAGTTCTTGACATTTGGCAGTCAGGTGATTATAGTCATCTTGTTTTAAGATCTTATTAAATTTCTCAGAAGCCTTATTTTCTGTTGTCTAAATTAATTTCGATTTTATAAAGCCTTTAACTCTGAGATATTTAAAGAGGTCATGGTTTGGAAGACCATATTCAGATTGTAATTCTTGTGAAAACTTTATATTAATCCCTGTCGTGAGATCTTGAATGTATCTTATTCCTTTTTCCTGCCAAGAGTTTATATTTACATTTTCCACCAATCCATTTAGAATCCTAAGGGGATTTTATTTTTCAATCCAATTTTATCTTTGAATCTATTCCAATTTAACAAGATATGATTAAGAGGAGAGTCATTATCACTTATGACCAGGTGGGGCCGCTGTACTTTAAAGGACCAAAATAGCAACAACATATCTTGAGTCACAGTCTCATTATTTCTATTTTGTACCAGCTTTCATTCTATGTTATGTTATATGTTTTTTACAATTGCGCTTGTGAATGAAGTTGTGACAATACAAGCACTGCTTTACTTATCTGCGCACAAAAATAAAGAATTATAAATAAATTTAAAAAAGATCCAGTATCTCTCTTGACATGAAGATTAATTCAGTTTGTTGATATAATGGTATATAAATATCTGTTAGTTCTTGTTTGCTTGTGTTCCTAATTTTATTAGGTGTCCCCTAATTACCGACTTATAAGCACACCATATTAATGGACAAGAGAGGTTTTCTGACTGATTTTCTAAAAAATTATATTCTGTCATCTTCCTTATGTGTTTGATATCTTCTTCGTGTTTTAAGAGATTATTATTCAGGCGCCAGTCAGATCTAAGTTTTTGGAAACTATCTTTCAATTCAACTACTACCGAATTGTGGTCTGACCATGAGATTTCTTGTATTGTTGTTTTTTTAATTTGTTGGGCCGCTCCTAAGTTGCCAATTAACATATCGATTTGTGAATATGTACAGTGTAAATTTGAAAATTAGGTATAGTCCCTATTTGGTGTATGAAAAACTCGCCAAATATCAAAAAGGTTATGTTTATCCATTACCGATTGTAACTTTCGTGACTGAGATAGAATATATTTGTCATAAGTCTCCCCTGTTTTAATACTCGTATCAAGTTGGGGGTTTAACACACAGTTAAAGTCTCCCATTATTAAAAGAGGTCCTTGTTTTACTTTTTCAATTGTATCCAATATTCTAGAAATTAATTGAGGCGGTGCTTTGTTTGGAGCATATACATTGACCAGAGTCATAATTTTAGTATTGAACGCTCTAAAATTATATATCTCCCTTCTGGGTCCTCTTCTACATATTTGATATTGCTATTGAGTGCACTGGAAAATAAGATTGCGACCCCTCTTTTTTTTATTTTTATTTTTTTTATTTAAGGAGGCCAAGATAAGTAATAGATATTTTTGCTATTTTATTTTCATCTTATCTTGAAATTCCAGTGTGTCTCTTGGAGACAGCAAATATGGATTTTTTTTTTCTTTGTTCAAATATTGATATAGCAATGATCTTTTCTGAGGTGAATTTAGACCCCGTACATTTTAATCATAAAACCTAACACTCATGTCTTTCCCTCTTAATGTGTGCCACATGTCCGCCAACATATAATACATAACTACAACATAACACAACATTACATAATTACACTTAAAACGAACAGCCTTGCATATCCCATATATGTAAGCCTGTATCCGCATCTTAGTCCCCTCTTGCGGATATTGGGTGCTATAAATACTATGACGGTGGAGCTAGAGTGGTTCTTACAAAAAATATATTTTACACTGCTAGGAGTACTAATTTATTAATTTTTAATTTTTGAGTTCCCTTAGCTTTTCAAATGGGTATTAGTAGAACAGAAAAAAAGAGAGGGGAAAAAAACACTTTTTACTGGCCTACAGCATATGTCCGTTTCGGCACACCTCAACCGACTTTTTCATATGAAGATTAATAACAACAATCTTACTTGAATCATAACCGTTGTAGCCCCAAACACAAATTGGAAGGCAGGGCCTGAAATTGTGGGAGGGGCTTATGGACCTTTAAAAGAGACTCCCCCATTCCCTACCTTACCGTAATTGGTCCAACGATCTTTAATTAATATATACTGCTAATGTAGGCCCACTTTATTTACTGGCCTACAGCATACGTCTGTTTCGGCACACTTCAACCGACCTTTTCATATCAAGGCTAATAATCTTACCTGAATCATAACCAATGTAACCCGAACACAAATATAAATAAATATATATATATATATATATAAATATATAATAAAAAGAATGAGTTATAATCTTTTTCTCTTTCCCTTTATCTTTTTTATTCTGCTCCCCTTTATTTCACTTTTTATGTATCAGGGCTGTGCTGACAGTGGTTCATGGGAGCGCTAGTTCACTAACTGATCACTGAATAAACCAACATGTCTGGCAGTTCTATTTATTTAATGTAGTCATAGGACACTATTAAAGGAAGAGTCATTCTGAAAGCTGTCTTTCTTGGTGGAAGATATATATAACAACTTTGACTACTCTTCCAAATCAATTTAAATAACATCCTGAGTAGACAGAATAACTGGTTTGGTTTTGTTTTTTTAAGAAGCACAGCTGACCATGCAAAGGGTGTTTTTAAGACTAAACATTGACCGGACATTCATAAAATGTACAACTGAACATAAACCACAGCTTTGGTTGCAGAGTTGGGATATGACATGACTTGTGGTTACTACACCTGGCTGCCACCGCTGGCTGCCAATTCAATGATAGCCACAGTGTGCTGAATAAGGTTTGCGAAATTCTTTACAGACAAAAACCTGCAAGTCAGAGGATCCAAGAAAAGCAGGGAAGGGTAACGGGAAATAAAAAGCTAAGATCCACTTGGCTTTGAAATGGCTGAATATGTTAAAAAATGAAAAGAAAAAAAATCCACATGATAAAAACAGCTATCTTAAGGCTAAAAATAAATTAGCTTCACAAAAAAGCGAAGGCTGTTTGTTAGCCGTCCAAGATAAACAAGTTTATGAAAATACTATTTAACATGTATGTGTCAAAGGAGTTTGCAACAAAGTAGGTTTATCTGTTTTGTCTTTAAAGAGTTAAAGTTAGCAGAGTTGTTTCCTTTTAGGCTAAAATAACTGGATTGGAAAAAAGTCTCCAGTTCACATGTCACAGCTTGGTTATCTCAGCTGAGTGAACACTTACTGTAGGGCTGTTGCTACAGCTATCTAAACCAAGTATGCACTTTACCGCTGTTTATACTTTCAACAACTGTAATGATTTACCATTTCTACAAAGTGTGAAATAGTGAAAGCTAGTTATGTAATTTCTTCATCATTAAAAGGACACCATTAAATGCCAATGTAATGATTATGGTGCCATTAGGTGTCCTCCACTGGTTAACAGTTAAACTGTTTTCGAACAGCGTCATCAAAACCAGTGGCCCCTGAAGCAACCACAACCTGGTCCTCACATGCGAATGTTCCACTTCCCTGTTAGCACTATAAATTTCATCCACATATTTTTTTTTTATTCTGTATTTTTCACAAGAGAAATTTAAATATTTATACATTTCACAAAGACCACAAAATATGTTATTTTTAAGTTTTCAAAAATTGTGCTAATTTGCCTAGGACTAGGGAGAGAAAGGAAACACTTGTGTTTGGATTCCTTGGTTGCATCCTAGCTGTATTTGTCCTTAAAGTGACTCTTGTATACTCCAACCAGTGAATCCAAATGTTGTGGATGGATGTATAGCTGCTATTTACCAATTCGGTAAGTTCATCTATTATTGTAGTGATCTATGTTTTAGCAAGTACTATCCTTGAGCCATATCGCAGACAGTGCCTGACTTGGCTGTAGTAGGATCTCATTAAAAATGTTTGCTTATGTATAGTTTTTCCAATGGGAAAAATGACAGTGGATCCATCTTTATAGACAGGTTAAGAATCTTAGACAACTCCTCAACGCTTCCCCAGAAAGGTACCATGCATGTGGATATATTTCCTAATCTGCAACTCATCAACACTTCCCCAGAAAGCTACTACCATAGGTGATTTGACTCAATCCATATTTTGACATCATTCATTGAATGACTGATTCAGGCACCATGCTCAGTCAATGAATGTCATTAAAATCTGGGTAAAGTTAAAATTGATAGCTACCATCAGTTTGTATTCAGTCCAGTTTTGTGAACTGTGTTGGGAGCAACACAGCTGCAGCCTGTACTCGGGCAGACGGCCTAATAACTCTCTCTGTGGAGGTGTAAGAAACCTGCCACTTCTGCATGCAGTTGCCACATGTGCAGTTTTGCATTATTGGTCAAGTAAAAGAGGAAGTGAAAACTCTCTTAATGCATTTTTACATAG